TCCGCTTGGAGTTTGCCAAAAGGCCCCTAAAGGAATCTCAGACCATTAGAAACAAGATTCCTGGTCTGATGAAACCAAGATTGAACTCTTTGGCCTGAATGCCAAGCGTCACGTCTGGAGGAAACCTGGCACCATCCCTAAGGTGAAGCATGGTGGTGGCAGCATCATGGTGTGGGGATGTTTTTCAGCGGCAAGGACTGTGAGACTAGTCAGGATCGAGGGAAAGATGAACGGAGCAAAATACAGAGAGATCCTTGATGATAACCTGCTCCAGAGAGCTCAGGACCTCAGACTGGGGCGAAGGTTCACCTTTCAACAGGGCAACGACCCTAAGCACACAGCCAAGACAACGCAGGAGTGGTTTCGGTACAAGTCTCTGAATGTCCTTGAGTGGCCCAGCCAGAGCCCAGACTTGAACCCGATCTAACATCTCTGGAGAGACCTGAAAATAGCTGTCCAGCGACGCTCCCCATCCAACCTGACAGAGCTTGAGAGGATCTGCAGAGAAGAATGGGAGAAACTCCCCAAATACAGGTGTGCCAAGCTTGTAGCATCATACCCAAGAAGACTCGAGGCTGTAATCGCTGCCAAAGGTGCTTCAACAAAGTACTGAGTAAAGGGTCTGCATACCTTTGTAAATGTGATATTTCCGTTTTTGATTTTTAATAAATGTGCAAATATTATACAAACTTATTTTTGCTTTGTCATTATGGGGTATTGTGGGTAGATTGATGAGGGAAAAAAACAATTTAATCAATTTTAGAATAAGGCTGTAACGTAACAAAATGTGGAAAAAGTCAAGGGGTCTGAATACTTTCCATATGCACTGTGTTTGAGGCTACTAAGCCCATGAAACTGGTCTGCGAGATTCTTGATATGATTAGCAAGCTCAGACTCCATGTCACCAGATAAGACCTTGTGTGCCTCTGCTACTCTATCATAGCCTCTCTTTCACACAGGTACATGTTTGTTTTCTTTTTTGTCAATGTAGCTATTCAGCTTCACTATCTATGTTTCCATCCAATTGGCGACAGATTTTCATGCAAATATTCAAAAATATGCATTAAAACAATATGCACATTTTCCCACAAGAGATGTGTTTCCAACAAATTGACTTGTTGCGGATAAAAGGCTGTGTGTTATGACGTAGTGCACATAAAAATAACTAGGTGTAGGACCTCATATTGTAGCTTATAGAGACCCCAACTGATGCACAATCCATCTTAAAACGATCTACTTTGATTTAGATACCAGCATCATGAAACCTATAACACAATAAATTCATTTCTGTTTTATTACCTAACTTGCTTACCACTTTTTCCATGTGGTTTCTTCCTTCACAGACTTCATGAAATGATGACCTCTTCCTAAATATTTGATCACATGATTCATTTTGTGTATGGTTTCCTAGAAACAAGGGGTGGCTCAACTAACCCTTTGGCTCAACATACCCCACTCTCCCCTACAATAAAGCCAGATAGTAGTCTTGAATTTGCATACTTTCAGTGTGATTATAAATGTTCTGATTTTCAGGTAACTGTAAAGATCCTCATCTTCCTTTAGTTTCTTAGCACAAAGTGCAGCTATCTAATCCCTTACCTCTGAAGTTTATATAGCCTCATTTTATCTTTAAATACATGCAATAATTATTATTATCCTCAAAACCTCCTGTGTTTGATGAAGGTGGCTCATTTAACTAAGTTCTAACCTTTCATCCTGTCTTAATTCACTTCCACAGATCTACAAGAGCAGAGGAGAGCGTTTGATGATGAAGCTCCACCTTGTTTCTCCTTCTACTTGAGGGGAAAACTGGATGTCACAAGTGGAGGAAACTCACGACTCGCTGCTCCGATTCCTTATCCATCCATTTATCTTAAGAGGCTCTCTCTCTGTTCCTTTGCACCATCAACATGAGTGCTGCATTCTCCCACCCCTTCGTAGACCAGCGGCCCACCTACCTAAACAGAGGCAGCAGCCTGCCTTATAGTCTGTCTCCCTCTAATGGCCACTATGAGAACCGCCCCAACACCCACACCCACTCCCACCGCCTCCACTCTGGCTCTGACCCTCTGGCCCATACAGTGCCCTTCCTCCTTTACCCAACCACAATGGACCCTGGAGGCCTATATGAAGCCTCGTTCCGGGGCCCTGGAGGCCCCAATCTCCTCCCCTACCTGTCCCCATTCCACCACGGGCACTTTGGGGTGTACGAGTGCCCCTTCGAGCCGGCGTTCATCCAGAAGCGTAACGAGCGGGAGCGTCAGAGGGTGAAGTGTGTGAACCAGGGCTATGCCAAGCTGAGGGACCACCTGCCAGGGGGTGCCAGTGAGAAGAGGCTCAGTAAAGTGGAGACACTGAGGGCAGCAATTAATTATATTAAATACCTGCAGGGGCTGGTGGACGGGCAGGGGAATGGGAGAGAGGTGTATGAGGGGGGACAGGTGTGCCACAGCCCCAGTTCTGTCCACTGTAGGACGGAAGACTCGGACCACAGCAATGGGGGGTCACCTCGCTCTCTCTCAGACTCCTCCTCTTCCTCTGCGGGGATAGACTGTGAGGAGTCAGAGGGCTCTGGGACCTAGGGGATTATGGGCAGTGTAGTTTGTGAGAGAGACTGTGGATAGACATTTGTGAAATGAGGTAGGACTTCCCTCTCTCCAAGGACTGCCCACAAAAACATCAAACCCTGAGCACAAAGATATATAATTTAAGACTTTTCCACTAGATACTATGTTATGTATTGGCAATGTGTCTTGTTTTTTGCCACTGAAATGATTTACCAAAACACTTTCGGAAGCTGATTATGTTAAAGCATGATGTCATGAACACTTCAGATTTGAAGATTAACACCTGAAACTCAGAGAGCAATCCCAGCTAGCACATAACGTTCTGAGAACAGCTCTACGTTTTTTAGAACTTGGTGAGACAGTGGTTGTCCTATGGTTATTTTGCATACAACCTCCCCACAACTTTCTGGGAATGGTGCATAGTTGTTTGGCTTTGGAATAGTCTCCACACTTTTAAGGAACTTGACAAAACAAAAATAAATCGTAGTATTTCATTACTTTAAAATAAAGTTTCTTAAATGTTCAAACAGGGTTACATTTCATTTCAATTTTGGTAATGATCTTGGAATGTTCTCCAACTGGTTTGACATTGGGAATGTTCTCAAATAGTTCAGAGAACGTTAAGAAACAATGTTTTTCTGTGGAAATGTCAGTACTTTAGCATAACGTTTCTTAAAGTGAAGTTCTCAAATTGTTCCGAGACGTGAAGAAAACATACCATTAAAACCACAAGAAAATGTAAGTAATGTTCAGAGAACGTTCAAAGAATGTTATTTAAAAACACACACTGTTCTCAGAACGCAGAACGTGAAGAAAACTTACCAGAATAAACACAAAAAAACGTTTTAATGCTGAGAACATATACAATCTATTCTCGGCATCAACAAAACTCTCTCTATCCACTATCCTGTTAAGTGTGTTAAGGTGTGTTGGCTGAGCCCACTAATTGGCCACACCTGATCTTATTGAGTGCTTGTTTCCTTTGAAATGGGGTCTGTTTGAATAGACTAAAATAAACAGCTTTGTATGCATAAAAAAACATGGCATGCTAGCTCCATCCTGGTGGCGCAGTGGATTAAACCCATGAATAAAGAAGAGAAGATTATAGGTTTGAATCTCGCTGAATAAAAAAATAAAAAAATATATGTTTGCATGATTAATGCCTAAGAAAAGGAGTTTCCATGTGTCCTATCTGGGCTTGGAATTCAAAAAAGTTAACCCAAAATAAGCTAGCAGTGTTATTAAAAGAAACATTCAGTGAAAGTTTTAAGGAAGTTCAAAATAACCTATAATTTCAGTTCTCAGAGCATTATAAAACCTCCCAGGAAAGATTTCAAGGAACCAGAGTAAAATGTTCTCAGAACCTCCCTGCAACCTAAAAATAAGCATTCCCAGAACAGTCAACATTTTCACTTCTGTTCATAGAACGTTTAAAAAACGTTCAGTTCCTACAACCAATGTGAAACTAAAAACATACGTTTCCACAACTTCCAAGGAACCAAATGTGTTAACTGGGATGAATTAAAGTATGCTATGTTTATTGTATTTCAAGATGAGAAACTGATCATTGAAGCAACACATTACTGTTATCAAAAGAAACAATATTTCCCAAAACAAACTGTAGTTCATTTTATTACAGCACAAGACATCTTTTGGAAATTTCAGTGTGATATTAAGTCACAAAGCTGGTAATAAAGAAATGTGATTCCTCTTTTCACAAATACAGTTTTTGGAAAATAAACAGATTCTACAATGGGACAACTGATACTTGGAGGCACATTTCTTTTTATTTATAATAATGTTAATCTAATTGTCTAATTTGATGCAATACAGTAGTTCAGCATAATTGTGCTCATTCCTCAGACCTGGGGCCTGTCATTAATGTTTGGGTTCTATATATACAAAGCCTTTCACAAACCATGTTATATAACACAAAGCATTGGGCATGATAGAGCACAAATTGATACCTTAAATAGTATGTGTTTCAATCTTAAGAGTCACCAACTGTTGACAAAGATCTCAAAGGCAATAATTCACAGACACGTTTCCCACCATCGACTCCATTCCATGATGTTAACTCTCAACCAATGAGGAGACACCCCAACTCCGTTAGGCACCGTAGTAGCCATCATGTCTGTCAAGGCCAAGAAAAAACTTTTGAAAGTCAAATAGTACAACCAATGTCTGGGGACTCGGTGTTACAACCAATGACAGGACATCACTCCAACCCTGTTAGCCAATGACATGATAGTACTATAGGGCCGACAACAACATAGTATCTGCCTTACCCTGCCTTAACCTTCACTCTTGGTAAATGTACCCCCCACTTCCAACACCCCCACCAGAATGACACTCATTGTCTATATTTATTCTCTCCGCTGACCAACTGTTCGTCCAACCAATACACAGGCACAGATCTGTCATCTCAGAAAGGGAGAGAGAGAATGCGAGTGTGTGAGAGAGAGGGGGAATGACCGAGAAATAGTACAGGGAGATATAGACAACAGAGAGGAGATAGGAGTGTTGTGGAATAAACAAGTGCATACCCAGCAGGTTATGAAGAGGACTAGTAGGAGTAGAACACCAGAGCAGACCTGGACTAGTTGAGCAGGTGAATTGCTAGCTGACCTGGTGGAATACAGCACTGAAAGCAACCATCTTCACTTGGGCCAACTTGGTCCAGTATCTGGACGACCAGGTCAAGTTGGGGGTACAGTAGCTGGCTGGCTGAAGAGGCCATTTTAGCAACCATCTTCACTTCATCCAAACTCCCCAGGTAGAGCCAAGATGGCGGACAGTGGCGGCGAGCCTAACCTGCAGTCCTACATTATGGACGAGGAAACTCTGAAGAGGAAGCAGAAGGAGAAGCTGAAGAAGCTCCTGGCCACAGGGGGAAACCCTCGGCCCGCACGCTCCCTCTTCTTCCTCACACTGAAGAACCCCTTCCGCAAGGCTGCCATCAACATTGTGGAATGGAAGTATCCTTTAGGGGTCAGGGGTCAAAGGTCAGGGGTTAGGGGTCAGGAGGGTGTGGGAACAGGTAACGGCTGTCACTAGATAACCATGCTCAAATTACGTAGCTTCGTCCCAGATCTGTTTGTGCTGTCTTGTCAACACAGCTGGCTAGATATGAAAGGTTTGGCCACTGACTTTTAAACCATGAAGCATGGTCAAGCTTTTAGACATTTGTGGTTTGAATGCACTGCACTTCCATTGTTTCTAACATGGCCAAATAGTGAAGCCTGTCTGTGGATTGGTGGTATAGTAAATGACTGTTTATGACATTGATACATTTGGTCTTGTATTAATGGTCAATGCAACCCAGCAGTGTTTCGCACATCGTGCCCCAAGCCCAGTTTCTATTGAGGTTATGGATAACAACTGGGTTGTTAGAGAGTTAAGGCTTTGTGTATTTGGTGGATGAAAGAGAAGTCTTTGAATGGGTGGTAGCAGCAGAGCGTCTGGGAACAACTGCTTCAGGGATCTGAGGAATGGCTGACTTAGTGATGACTCAACACTTTATAAAGCATCTCTCGTTGAGTCTTGTATTGTCTTGTATTGAATAACCATATCTATGTATAGCCATAGAGTTATAATCACTCTGATATGGTCACACATTATAATCACTGGACACAGCCCTTACATTTTCCGGTGGTCCAGTCCAGTATGCAGACCTGCTGAACTGTAGAGTGGCTTGAGCACCAGAGCAACAGGTTGATATCCCTGCTAAATCAACAGCTATTGGCACAAACTATAGGTTTTAGAACAACATGCCGTAGCATCAGGATAGAGTGGAGATGACCCATATTGGGTTGTGACTGGGAGACAACATACAGAGTACATTTCTGTTAGAATCATCTTGTAAATGCAAATGGTCTTGAGGACAAATCCACCACAGCTCAGAATCACTTTTTAACCCTGTGCATACCATGAATCCCACATCCAAGGTTACAGTTCTGTTTTGGTAGTGAGTAATGACTGTGGCTGCAGTAATGGTCCACTGAGATGTGTTATAATCCAGTGAAGCTGTTGATGGAAATATGTAAAATATGAGTTTGTTCAAGCGGCGTGATGATATTCCTGGGGATGGATGGACAGCTGTCCTCCCACGTCACAGCCTAAAAACAGACACGCTAAGCTAAGAGAATGCTGCCTCAGACACAGACTGGTGGTGGAACTAGGTACTGCAGTTTGAGAGGGGAACAGCATGATTACTATAATAATGTAGTTGTAGTAGGTTATCCATGGTGTTACCCTGATTACAGCTTTGTATTATTACACACCCAGGAGTGCAATATTGCACAGTATTGACCGTTTGAATGTGCTGTACTGAAGGGACCCAGATATTTGAACTCGCCACCATCTTTACCACAGGTGCCAACATAAATAGATCAAATTTTCTTCTAACTGATCCATTGTTGGCCTCAAATGTCTTCCAGTGTGTTTTAGATAGCCCTGGCTATATGGGAGAGTCCCTATTGAGGGGTTGCACATACATCAGTTAAACTGAAATAGACTCACTTTATTGATGTGTTTGACATTTTATGATTCAGATGCATGGCCAAGATTGCTAGTTATGGTTACTCTGTCAATAGTTATCCTGTAACTGATACAAAACTAGCCCAAGCACTAGTTTACTGTAATATGAAGTCTACGGTGGCATGTTAAACCATACACCTTATGGCTACTTAGATAGTGTACTTCATCTAATAGGTGGGTGAGGTTGAAAGATCTCATTGAGATGCATGTGTACTTCCTGTAGGCCTCGAATGGTGGAATAGCTATCCATATCCATCCATATACAGTGGGGAAAAAAAGTATTTAGTCAGCCACCAATTGTGCAAGTTCTCCCACTTAAAAAGATGAGAGAGGCCTGTAATTTTCATCATAGGTACACGTCAACTATGACAGACAAATCGAGAAAAAAAAATCCAGAAAATCCCATTGTAGGATTTTTAATGAATTTATTTGCAAATTATGGTGGAAAATAAGTATTTGGTCACCTACAAACAAGCAAGATTTCTGGCTCTCACAGACCTGTAACTTATTCTTTAAGAGGCTCCTCTGTCCTCCACTCGTTACCTGTATTAATGGCACCTGTTTGAACTTGTTATCAGTATAAAAGACACCTGTCCACAACCTCAAACAGTCACACTCCAAACTCCACAATGGCCAAGACCAAAGAGCTGTCAAAGGACACCAGAAACAAAATTGTAGACTTGCACCAGGCTGGGAAGACTGAATCTGCAATAGGTAAGCAGCTTGGTTTGAAGAAATCAACTGTGGGAGCAATTATTAGGAAATGGAAGACATACAAGACCACTGATAATCTCCCTCAATCTGGGGCTCCACGCAAGATCTCACCCCGTGGGGTCAAAATGATCACAAGAACGGTGAGAAAAAATCCCAGAACCACACGGGGGGATCTAGTGAATGACCTGCAGAGAGCTGGGACCAAAGTAACAAAGCCTACCATCAGTAACACACTACGCCGCCAGGGACTCAAATCCTGCAGTGCGAGACGTGTCCCCCTGCTTAAGCCAGTACATGTCCAGGCCCGTCTGAAGTGCATTTGGATGATCCAGAAGAGGATTGGGAGAATGTCATATGGTCAGATGAAACCAAAATATAACTTTTTGGTAAAAACTCAACTCGTCATGTTTGGAGGACAAAGAATGCTGAGTTGCATCCAAAGAACACCATACCTACTGTGAAGCATGGGGGTGGAAACATGATGCTTTTGGGCTGTTTTTCTGCAAAGGGACCAGGACAACTGATCCGTGTAAAGGAAAGAATGAATGGGGCCATGTATCGTGAGATTTTGAGTGAAAACCTCCTTCCATCAGCAAGGGCATTGAAGATGAAACGTGGCTGGGTCTTTCAGCATGACAATGATCCCAAACACACCGCCCGGGCAACGAAGGAGTGGCTTCGTAAGAAGCATTTCAAGGTCCTGGAGTGGCCTAGCCAGTCTCCAGATCTCAACCCCATAGAAAATCTTTGGAGGGAGTTGAAAGTCTGTGTTGCCCAGCGACAGCCCCAAAACATCACTGCTCTAGAGGAGATCTGCATGGAGGAATGGGCCAAAATACAAGCAACAGTGTGTGAAAACCTTGTGAAGACTTACAGAAAACGTTTGACCTGTGTCATTGCCAACAAAGGGTATATAACAAAGTATTGAGAAACTTTCGTTATTGACCAAATACTTATTTTCCACCATCATTTGCCAATAAATTCATAAAAAATCCTACAATGTGATTTTCTGGATTTTTTTTTCTCATTTTGTCTGTCATAGTTGACGTGTACCTATGATGAAAATTACAGGCCTCTCTCATCTTTTTAAGTGGGAGAACTTGCACAATTGGTGGCTGACTAAATACTTTTTTTCCCCACTGTAGCTTGGTTAGGTATTATCAGTGTGTTCCTGAGTGTTTGAAAAAGAAAGGAAAATACCCCACACAGCATCTTATTGTATATTTAAAAATGATATTATTTCCTACACCCTGCAGTTCTGTCATCTGCTGGATGTGTATAATGTCGGTTGAACCTTTCCTGAGTGTTCCCCTTCAGACCGTTTGAGATCATCATCCTGCTGACCATCTTTGCCAACTGTGTGGCCCTGGCTGTGTTTCTGCCTATGCCTGAGGAGGACAGCAATAACACCAACAGCAACCTGGTGAGTATGGACCCAGTACCCACCATTTCATATGGATTGAAAGTGATGGAGATCGTGATGCTACTAGTTGTGGTTTAATTAATGTAGGTTGAGAAACAGGGTTCTCTTTCAAATACTTGTTTCGATGTCTCACTATGGGATTCGCTGTCGGAGATAGACAGGTCGAGTTGCGAATGAGGTGAGCCCCTCCCTCTTTATAAGGTGCCACTCGCCCCACCCTCTGGTCATTATCGCTTTCTTCCTTGCGAAGATCAATACGCTCTCTGAAGCTCTCCTCAGCACGACTTGACCCCTGTCTTCCTGCTTAACTGTTCTCAGGCGAACCGCAAGGTTAACGCTGCCAAACGTAGGACCTCAGCTCTCGCTCTTTGTGTTGAGTATTGACCGAAAGGAACGTTTTTGCTTAGAGTATAATTTGTTTTCAAAGTATTCTACTCATTCTAAGTCTCCGGTTGCAGCTAGCGTCACACGGCTAGCTACTGAGACTTGGCTAGCGCAAGCCGCAAGGCCTATCTAACCCGGCTAGCTATAACTAGCTTTGCAGCTACACGCGGCTAGCACTCACTTAACCCAAGTCTACAACCTTTATGTTTTCTTCTCTGAGTTATGGAACCTGCTACCCGAGCAGGGCCCCTGCCCTAGCACCACACACCTGTGTCCATGCAGGGCCATGATAGCAGGCAAGGATACACACTCCTTGTGTATCACCTGCTTGGTGGTTGAGCATGCCAAAGTAGCACTCACTAACCCTGAGTCCTGTGTGCATTGTAGGAAGATGCCTAAGACCGGCCTCAAACGGACCGTTCTCCCTCACAGCCTGAGGGCAATGAGGCTACCCCGCAACCCCAACCCTCCTGGGCTGAGGTAATGGATGGTTTTGAAGACCTAGCAGCGGGGAAGGGGGGAGGGGACATCTCGAGGCCCTCTAGCACCCTAAGCACAGCATCTTTACCCAGACAACAAAATGTCGGGCTCATCGATACCTGCAGGCGGGCAGCGACCAGGCTCAATATTGAGTGGCCTGTACCCGTGGGGCGTGAAAGGGACTGGCTCAATGGGAGGAGGACTGTCTCAATGGGAGGAGGCTCCCCTCTCACACCATCCCAGGGAAACAACTCCTCCCAGCAGTCCCAGCTTGTGTGGCGGAAAACCCTGTCTTGCAAGGTCCTGACCAGACACTTAGTCGGAATGGACATGAAGGGTATGGAGAACCCGGTGGTTGAGCCATCCATGCCTCGTCACTGTCCAGCACAACTCTCCCTGGAAAGACGGAGCGCTTTTCTGTCTCCATCTTCCAGAAGGTGTATGTGTAGGCGGCACGTTCAGTACGGGCGTTGAAAGTTACGTCCCTACTGATGGCTTATCAGAATGGTTTGTTGCCATTGGCACAGCCAACTCCGACTTCTGGGAGGAGATCTGCGTTGTAGCAGACCTCAACCTCTGGGCCTCCATACAAGGCTGTGGGTGTGCCATGAGCCTCGCTGTGGGGGAGGAGAGAGCCCTATGGTTAAAATTGTCCAGCTTGTCGGACAAGGAGAAAGCAGATTTCCTTGACGCTCTGATCGAGCCTAAGGAACTGTTTTGGCCGGCTGTCACCACCATGCGGCGGAAATGCGAACATTGAAAGAAGGAGGGCGAAGCCTTCGACTTCTGCCTGCCCTGCAGATCCGGGTACCATGGCAACCCGGTCTACCCTTCCACAAGCCAAGGCTTCGCGGCAGGGAGAGGGCAGCACACTGGCTCCAGCGGTAGAGTGGGGCAGCCAACAGTTCACACCATGTCCTGGCCTGTTCCCTCTCAGGTGGAGCACAGACTTTCCCCCCACATCACTATGGGGAAGAGGCACATCCGTGCTCCTTAAATCCTATCCCCTGTGCAATGGCTCATTCCTATGCGTCTGCTCACAGGGAAGGCGAAGGGAGCTCACTCAACCCCCAAGTGCCCTCCTTGCCACAGAGCAAAAATACAACAAAAGGGCGACTCGTCACCACTGGTGAGCAAGAGTCATCTAACTTGTGGGCGACTTGCTGCAAGAGCAGGGAACTGCAAAATGCGCAGTCCAGCCCAGGGTCTTGTCCGCAGTTCGCTATGAAGCCACCCGTTTTCAACGGAATTCTGAATTCAGTAGCAAGTAATGACTCAGCTCGCATGCTAGAGCAGGAAATCTCCTATCAATTGAGTAAAGGGGCAATCAGAGCTATACCAGCCGCAGAGAGCCATTTCGGTTTCTACTCCCGGAACTTCCTGGTTCTCAATGCCACTGGTTCACTTCAGTCGACCTACAGGACACTTATTTTCACATAAGTATTCTGCCAGCACACAGAAGGCTTTCTCGGGTTTGCCTTTCAGGGCTCTGTAACACTTTATTTGGATAGTCCATCTGTAGATGCTCTACAGACTATCTACAGACAATCAGTAACATTTCAACTATCTACTAACTCTAACCCTAGCCCTAACCTTAAACCTTATCCTAACCCTAAACTTAACTCTTAACTCTTACCCTAATCCTAACCTTAAACTTAACCCTTACCCTAACCCTTATTCGAAACCTAACCCTAACCCTAACTGTAACCTTAGTAAGCAGTTGCTTACCAACAGATAGTTTGTTGATAGTATGACCATCTGTAGATATCTGTAGACCATCTGATACATATGGACTATCCGGACTATCCAAATAAAGTGTGACCCAGGGTAAAGCCAACGAATACCTCGCTGTCCCCTTCGGGCTAGCACTAGCTCCCTGGACGTTCAGCAAGTGTGTGGAGGCGGCTCTAGCGCCCCTGAGAATCAGAGGACTCAGAGTCTATGCCTACATAGACAATTATCTGTTTTGCTCCACGACACAGAAGCAAGCAGTACGGGACACGGCTTCCCTAGGTTTCAAGATCAACCAGAAAAAGAGCTGTTTGGTGCCAACACAGAGAATAGAATACCTAGGCGTCAAGCTGGACGACGATACGACTCTGGTGGCATACATCAACCGCCAGGGCGGCACCCACTCTCAGCATCTACACAGACTAGCTGTCAAGATTGTTCTGCGGAGCATACCTACTTTCACTATGCGTGACTCATGTCCCGGGTGTACAGGGAATCCCCTGTACAGGGATTGGAGACTCCATCCCCCAGTGGAGAACCAGATCTGGGTGAGATATGGTCGAGCCACCGTAGATCTCTTCGCATCGCACAAAGATGCACACTGCCCGTTGTTCTTAGTGCTGGCAGGAGACGCATCACTAAGGGTGGACGCACTGGCACACCCTTGGCCAAGGGTGATGCTCTACAGCTTTCTTCCCCTAGGCCTGATACTCCCTACTCTAGTCTACTCATCTTGGTAGCCCCTTGATGGCCAGGGAAGCTCTGCTTCTTCTCCAAGCTAATGGAGAGATTTTCCACCCTCACCCAGAAACCCTGGCCCTTTGGCCCTGGCCCATGAATCTGAATGCGACAGGCTTGCCATTCAGAGTAATTGAGACTATCCAGAGTGCCAGAGCACCTTCTACATGCTCACTGTATGGTAACAAGTGGTGCATTTCTTAAGTGGTGTGAGCTAAGGCAGATCATTCCTTACCAATGCTCTGCATCCGAGATCTTATGCTTTTTGCAGGACCTTCTGGACAGAGGGAAGGCTTTCTCCACTGTAAGCGTATATTTAGCCGCTATCTCTGCCTGCCATACAGGCTTTGACAACAACACAGTAGGGAGGCATCCCCTGTTATGTCATTTTATGAAGGGGTGCGTCAGTTACGTCGTCTCTAAGCCTTTAGCACCGTCTTGGGACATGTCTATTGTGCTTGAGGTTATTTCACAGCAACCTTTCGAGTTGCTGGAAAGCGTGGTTATGAAATATCTCTCCTTCAAAACCACTTTACTGATTGCCCTTGCGTCTGCAAAGCAAGTGAGTGAGCTGCACGCACTGTCAGTCCACCATTCGTGCCTACAGTTTGCTCCGGGGTTTTCACAAGGTGACTTTGTTAACTGATGTAACTGCACCTTCTTTGGTGCATACTGTCCTCAGTGTCGGAGCCTCTGAGGGGTGATAATGGATTTGAATAGCTTGTCTGCGATAAGGGAGTTGGCCATATCCCATAGTGATACATCGAAACAAGTATTTGAAATTGAACTCAAGATTACTTGCGTAACCCCGGTTCTCTGAGAATACGAGTGCGATGTCTCACCTAATTTCCCTGCTCGCAAGAGTGCAAGGAAGAGAGGCATGCTTGAGAATGGCCAGAGGGTGGGGCGAGTGGTGCCTTATAAAGAGGGAGGGGCTCACCTCATTCGCCACTCGACCTGTCTGTCTCCGACAGACGTTGTGTGATTGGTTCTTCCTTAGTTATGCGACTATCCAGTGAATCCCATTGTGAGACATCTCACTCATATTCTCAGAAAACTGGGTTATTCTAGTAACCTTGAGTTTTCCTCATGAAGCCTCCCCGTCTGTCATGAATACACAGAACATGTGTGTGTGCATATGTCTGAATGTGTAGTGAGCACTGTATGCATACCTCTATCATGGAGGTGAATTACCTGATTCTTTCATGGTCCTGCTGCTAACTGGTCACTGTTCTGTTGTATGAGCACAGTTCATAAATCAAGCAGACTGGGATCTCTGGAGCCTAGTGTAGTCACCTTGGCTTTTGATGGGCACAAAGGCCTGGATTCTTGGTGTAATCCAGTTTGACATCATCAGTGCAATCTGAGCCAGCAGCAAGTGCTAGAAAGTGGACCTGGTTTGTTTGTTTGGGCAAGATGCTAGACTGCCCACATGGAACTAACTGCTGTCCAACTCTGATAGTTCTGCTCATTTAGAGTTTTGTAACACTATCTGAAAAGGATCATGAAATCAACCACAAAATGCCCATGTGAGAAATGGATAGACAGATATTTCTGTATCTGAGTGACCCCAATCCGGAGACAAAGATAGAGGGGTCGTTCCACCGATTCGGTGCCTTATGGGAAGTGTGTATAACATGATAAAAATAATGATAAATGATTTCACCTAATTTTAACATTCTGTCATTAAGAGCACATGTTCAACTTAATACAAAACATGTTTTCCCATCTCAACAGGTTAGTAAGTACCTATAAAGTGCCAAATAAAGTAACAGGGTTGACTGTAACAGGGTTGACTGTAACAGGGTTGACGATTTCATCTTAAATCAGCCTTGTGACAGGGGGAATGGAAGCTTGTTGTGTGCAACAGGGAGTGGCAATTGAATGCAAGCTTCACCTCAAACAAATGAAATTGCTAAAAAAGATTATTGCCTGTCTATCTCAGTTTTCCACTACAAAACACCAGAAAATGGCCAAAAAGAGTAGAACCAGCTCACCTGCTTCTATACTATGATTTGGCTATCAGATGTTCAATGTTCGCTTTTGAAAAAACATTTAAAAAGGAATAATTTCACCATATTAAAATGAGAGTTTAGTTCACGCAACAGGGTTGACCTTAAAATGAGGGACAGACATAAATTAATCACTAATCACATAAAATAAATAATAATCTTCAGAAATGACTTTGTCAAAGCAACAAAATACCTAAGGCTTTACAATGATGGTGAAATGTGTGTGTGTGTGTGTGTATGTTGGAAACCTAAAGACACATACTATAAATGCCCCTATAGGAATGTCCATGACATGCCAGAATCTAACCCAATGTAATTTATGGTCACTGTGCTACAAGCAGTACAGTACAGCACTTTGAAACTTTATTAACAGGACTGTTATTTACGCTATAAAACTCCCTGCCCATGCCATTTCCCTGGTGATCTGAATAGTCATACCCTATTAAGAAATCAAGCATCAAATAGAACATAGCATTACATGTTACCCATTGCCACTTGTTACTGCATCCATCATCACTGACGTATGCCTATTTGTTTTCTTATTAATCGCTTGTCCATGCTCAAAATCACGTTTTAAGTTCAAGTTTAAGTTAATTTGCCATGTAGAGGACAGGCACAACAGTATACAAACATTCTATTTCTTGCAAGTCAACAGACAGGGTGGTGAGTGAGCGGGTGCCATCGTAGGGACCTCAGCTCTGAGGTGCCCAGTTGTTAGTCAGTGGGGCCATTCTCTGGATGCCTGGCCTGTAATGGGAGAGGAGGAGAGACACAAATACACAGAACACCAGGGAGCTACTGAGCTGAGGGATTTACCAAGCAGGATCAATGACTTAGTCAGTTTAACTCTTGCAAATACTCTAAATAACTCAATATTTCAAGTTGAGTGTAAAATGAATACACTTGAAATGGTTGTTGTGTCATTGACTCCTAAACTCTTACAACTAGCCATCAGCTAGAATGTATTTGGAGCATTTGTCACCAAGCAGAATCAATGAATTGTACTCCATTACACATATTAATTAGGGGTACTGTATTATGGGTACTGTAGTCATGTAGTTAGTACATCATGATACCCTAACAAGCCTCTATCGTTGTTTCACAGGAAAGTCTGGAGTACATCTTCCTCATCGTCTTCTCCATAGAGTGCTTTCTAAAGATAATAGCCTATGGATTTCTATTTCACGAGAATGCATATCTGCGGAACTGTTGGAACATACTGGACTTTGTCTGTGTGTCTGTGGGGTATGTAGGGAAGATATGAAAATGTTCTGTCATGTTCTGTCATGCTCTGTCATGCTCTGTCATGTTCTGTCATGCTCTGTCATGCTCTGTCATGTTCTGTCATGCTCTGTCATGCTCTGTCATGCTCTGTCATGTTCTGTCATGTCATAACTCTTCTGTGACTATATGATCTTGTTTATCTCTCTCTGCACTCCCTTTTGTCCTCCTCTATCTTTCAACCTCTTCCCTCTCCCTCCCATCTCCCTCTCCTCTCCTCTCCCCTCCCATCTCTCTTCCCTCTCTCCCTCTCCAGGCTGTTTGCTGTCATCGGGGACTTCATCACCTATATCAGTGGTGTCGAGGCTCAACCAGGGGACAAGGGAGGAGGCTTCGACATGAAGGCCCTCAGGGCGTTCAGGGTGCTCCGGCCCCTCAGGCTCGTCTCTGGAGTCCCCAGTAAGGACCACTGTACAATAGGGACCTTGTAGCAGTCGTAAGGGCAGGAAATCAGCAAAAGGCAAGGCAGGTTAAAGTGTAGAATTACAAAATAAATAGCCTCTGAATCAGGCTTAACATGTCCTATTTATATTAAATAAACCAAAACGTATTTCTCACAAGTGTAGCATAGTTTGTATAAGCTCTACAAACAATATGTCTATTCCGAGAATGTGAATGGTAAATTAATGTGATAATATATTGAATGAATAAAAATAAATTACCGATATAACAAAACGCTAACGTTATAGATTACTGGGAAATGACAGGGATTAACGGTAAACTCATTACTGGTGATATATTTAGAGGGTAATTGCTAAGCATTTAAAAAACCAAGGGCAAGACAATGAATGCTCCTGAATTGGTGGGAAGCAGAGAGCTAGCTCATTTGTGGTAAGAGGAGCCTAGCACTCACTTCACCACAACCATATTCTGAAAACACTTACCTTCAGAAACCATGCTAGTGTTAAATACAATATGATTTGGTTCATTACAGTGAGTTTGCAGTTTGATCTAGTTATATTGGTCAACTACTACAGTGGTTCCCAACCAGGGGTACTAAGATCCCTGGGGGTACAGTGCCTTCAGAAAGTATTCAGACCCCTTGACGTTTTCCATATTTTGTTACTTTACAGCCTTATTCTAAAATTGATTAAATAAATAAAAATCATCAGCAATCTACACACAATACCCTATAATGACAAATTGAAAACAGGTTTTTAGAAATGTTAGCAAATTTATAAAAAATAAAAAAACTGAAATATCTTATTTACATAAGTATTCAGACCCTTTGCTATGAGACTCGAAATTGAGCTCAGGTGCATCCTTTTCCCATTGATCATCCTTGAGATGTTTCAACAACTTGATTGGAGTCCACCTGTGGTAAATTCAATTGGTTGGACATGAAAGGCACACATCTGTCTATACAAGGTCGCACAGTTGACAATGCATGTCAGAGCAGAAACCAAGCCATGAGGTCGAAGGAATTGTCTGTAGAGCTCCAAGACAGGATTGTGTCGAGGCGCAAATCTGGGGAAGGGTACCAATTTTTTTTGGCAGCATTGAAGGTCCCCAAGAACACAGTGGACTCCATCATTCTTAAATGGAAGAAGTTTGGAACCACCAAGACTCTTCCTAGAGCTGGCCGCCCGGCCAAACTGAGCAATCGGGAGAGAAGGGCCTTGGTCAGGGAGGTGACCAAGAACCCGATGGTCACTCTGACCGAGCTCTAGAGTTCCTCTGTGGAGATGGGAGAACATTCCAGAAGGACAACCAGCACTCCACCAATCAGGCCTTTATGGTAGAGTGGCCAGACGGAAGCCACTCCTCAGTAAAAGGCACATGACAGCCCGCTTGGAGTTTGCCTAAAGGCACATAAAGACTCTCAGACCATGAGAAACAAGATTCTCTGGTCTGATGAAACCAAGATTGAACTCTTTGGCCTGAATGCCAAGTGTCACGTCTGGAGGAAACCTGGCACCATCCCTACGGTGAAGCGTGGTGGTGGAAGCATCATGCTGTGGGGATGTTTTTCATCGGCAGGGACTGGGAGACTAGTCAGGATCGAGGCAAAGATGAATGGAGCAAAGTACAGAGAGATCCTTGACGAAAACCTGCTCCAGAGCGCTCAGGACCTCAGACTGGGGCGAAGGTTCACCTTCCAACAGGACAACGACCCTAAGCATACAGCCACGACAACGCAGGAGTGGCTTAAGGACAAGTCTCTGAATGTCCTTGAGTGGCCCAGCCAGAGCCAGGACTTGAACCTGATCGAACATCTCTGGAGAGACCTGAAAATAGCTGTGCAGCAATGCTCCCCATCCAACCTGACAGAGCTTGAGAGGATCTACAGAAAGGAATGGGAGAAACTCTTCAAATACAGGTGTGCCAAGCTTGTAGCGTTGTACCCAAGAAGACTCGAGGCTGTAATTGCTGCCAAAAGTGCTTCAAGAAAGTACTGAGTTATAGGTCTGAATACTTATGCAATGTATATTTAATTTCTTCATTTGTTATACATTTGCAAAAATGTCTACAAACCTGTTTTTGCTTCGCCATTATGGGGTATTGTGTATAGATTGATGAAGAGAAAAAAACAATTTAATCAATTTTAGAATAAGGCTGTAATGTAACAAAATGTGGAAAAAGTCAAGGGGTCTGAATACTTTCCGAATGCGCTGTACTTGGCCTATCCACAGGGGGTACTTGAGAAGACTCATGACACCATAGGCCTACTGGTAAAATGTAAGAGGGGGTACTTCAGGGGTACTCCAGGCAGAGCAAAATTCATTTGGTGGTACAGTAACTGAAAATGATTGAGAACAACTGGACTACTAGGTCTACTGGTTTAAAATGTGTCTGCTCTTCCCCTGCAGGCCTGCAGGTGGTGATGAACTCCATCCTGAAGTCCATGCTACCTCTGTTCCACATCTCCCTGCTGGTCTTCTTCATGGTCACCATCTACGCCATCGTGGGACTGGAGCTGTTCAAGTGCAAGATGCACAAAACCTGCTACTACACAGGCACAAGTAGGAAACACACACATGCACGTGCATGCACACACACACACACACACACACACACACACACACACTACCTATATCTTCTCCCCCGTTGTCCTGCAGATATCATAGCCACAGTGGAGAATGAGAAGGCATCTCCATGTGCTCAGGCTGGTAATGGTCGGCGCTGCACCATCAACGGGACAGAGTGTAGGGCAGGCTGGGCCGGACCCAACAACGGCATCACACACTTTGACAACCTGGGCTTCGCTATGCTCACTGTCTACCAGTGCATCACTACCCAGGGCTGGACCGACGTGCTCTACTGGGTACTGTGTTACATCACCCCTATACCTTAATATTACTGCACTGTTTCATCCTGTTCCATTATGTTCCCCTCTTAATGTAGCCCATACCTGTACTCTCACTCAGTCTCATTATCTGTCTGTTTCTCCATCCATCCATCCATCCATCCATCCATCCATCCATCCATCCATCCATCCATCCATCCATCCATCCATCCCATCCATCCATCCATCCATCCATCCATCCATCCATCCATCCATCCATCCATCCATCCATCCATCCATCCATCCATCCATCCATCCATCCATCCATCCATCCATCTCCTCTCTCTCTCTCTCTCTCTCTCCCTCTCTGTCTCTCTCTCTCTCTCTCTCTCTCTCTCTCTCTCTCTCTCTCTCTCTCTCTCTCTCTCTCTCTCTCCTCTCCTTCCACTCCTTCTCTCACTCCCTCTCTCTCGCTCCTCAGGTGAATGATGCCATAGGTATGGAGTGGCCGTGGATGTACTTTCTGACGCTCATCTTGGTTGGCTCTTTCTTCGTACTCAACCTTGTTCTGGGTGTGCTCAGTGGGTAAGAGGACACACACACACACACACAAACAAACACACATACACACACACACCTTGTCCTTCTATATCTCTCTTTCCCCTCCATCAGTGAATTCACTAAGGAGCGAGAGAAGGGTAAGGCGCGTGGAGAGTACACAGAGATGAGGGAGACCCAGCAGCTGGATGAGGATCTGAAGGGCTACATGGAGTGGATCACACAGGCCGAAGTCATGGATGCCAATGGGGAGGGACAGGGTACTTATGACTTCCTAACCCTATCACCAACACACAATAGAATAGAGGAGTACATACATTTACATTTTAGTCATTTAGCAGATGCTCTTATCCAGAGCGACTTACAGTTAGTAAGGAGTCAGCCCGTTGCAAACGTCATGCAGGTTAGCATTTTTTGTCATGAATCTTGTTCTGGTGGCAGGTCTGCAGAGTGGTCACTAGCTGGCACAGTCACAAAGTCATCATATCTGATTTTAAACCTAACCCTAATCCTAACCTCGACCCTAACCTTAACCACAATGTTAACTCTAATGGCTAACCCTAACCTTAAATATTTTTGTTTTCATGAATTTTTACAATATAGACAATTTTGACTTTGCAGCTGGCCTATCTAAGAGGAAATCGCTCAGTTCTGCCTCCAGGACAAGACTTATGACAATAAACGTCAACCTGCTGACATCAGTGTCTCTTGTCCCCAGGCCTGCTAACCCTGGAGGATGGAGAATCCGAGGCAGGGAGCCTAAAGGACATGGACACCATGCAAAAAATCATGTACTACTAGTAAGTACACACCTACACCAGCCTCTGACTGGGACAACACTCAGGTGTTTTGATGAAAGAAAAGTCTGACAGACCTCCTCCTAACATACCATCTCTTCCTCCTCTCTCTCTCATCTCTCACTCTGTTCAGCAAGCTGGCGCGTAAATGGAACATTTTCTTCCGGCGTAAGTGTCTTGTTTATGTGAAGTCCCGAATGTTCTACTGGTGGGTGATCCTTCTGGTGTTTCTGAACACGCTGGCCATCGCTACTGAACACCACCAGCAGTCCCAGCAACTCACCGAGTGGCAAGGTCAGTATCTACATATCACATCTATAGCTTCAACACATACTGTATATACACAATCCCAGCATCTAACAAGGCTGTTGTCTATGCCATGGCTAACACATGCAGACCTCTCTCTCTCTCTACCCCATGTCTCTCTCTCCCCACCACTTCTCCCTTCCCCATCCCAGACACTGCCAACAAGGTATTGCTGTCTCTGTTTGCCATTGAGATGTTTATGAAGATGTACGCCCTGGGTCTCCAGCAATACTTCATGTCTCTGTTCAACCGCTTCGACTGCTTCGTGGTCTCCACCGGCATTCTGGAACTCATCCTGGTCCGCATGGACGTCATGACCGTCACGGGCATCTCGGTGCTGCGCTGCATTCGACTACTTAGGCTGCTCAAAGTAACCAAGTAAGACTTTACATTAGGCTGCATTAGGGTTTCAGGTGTGTTAGTGGTGGACTGGATTAATATCCTTCACACACCACGGCTCTCCAGGTCCAGGATTGGTCCAGTTGATGGGTTGATTGATTAATTGATTGCGTCTTACATCCCCCAACCCCCAGTAGCTTCACAGGAAGTGCGTAGCACTTACTCTCTGTGTGTGCTTCAGGTACTGGACGTCTCTCAGTAATCTGGTGGTGTCCCTGCTGAACTCGACCCCCTCCATCGCCTGCCTGCTGCTCCTCCTCTTCCTCTTCATCGTCATCTTCTCCCTGCTGGGCATGCAGGTGTTCGGAGGCAAGTTCAACTTCCCCAATGCGCCCAAACCCCGCAGCACATTCGACAGCTTCCCCCAAGCTCTCATCAGTGTCTTCCAGGTAGGCAAGGAAACACAGTTTTATTCATTATTATAACAGATGTATCCCACTAACAAGATGAAGGATGATATGGACATCTGAAGGAGCATATGTACATGTATGATATGAAAATGTTGGACATTAGCACTTGCTTTTTGTTTCATTCACTGTGGAAAAGCAGGCCGATCATTTGTCAATGGGACCCTGACTGTGTTGCTTCCCTGCCTCACTCTCTCTGTCAGATCCTGACAGGGGAGGACTGGAACTCTGTGATGTATGACGGCATCATGGCGCATGGCGGTCCCACCATGCCCGGGATCCTCGTCAGCATCTACTTCATTATCCTCTTCGTCTGCGGAAACTGTATCCTGTGTGTGTGTTTGTGTGTGGTGTGTGTGTGTTGTGTGTCTGCGTTGTGTCTGCACACTCAACTTGCTAGTCTAAACTAAAACAAACCTCAACAGACAGAAATTAGACTTAAATGCTGTCATTGGGTAAATTAGTCTCTCTTCCATTTCCTACTGTAATGAACTTTGACCCCTAGCTCTTAGACATCCTGCTGAACGTGTTCCTGGCCATCGCCGTGGACAACCTGGCAGAGGCCGAGAGTCTGACCATGGCCCAGAAGGAGAAGTCTGAGGAGAAGAAACGCAAGAAGCTGCTTAGGGCTAACATGCCTGACAAGGCCACAGAGGAGAAAGCCCTCCTGGCCAAGAAGCTTGCAGCGGAGAGAGCCAAAATAGAGGGCATCCCTACCACAGCCAAGGTCAGATATTTCCAGTAGAGGTGCATGGGTAAAATCACTGAGGAAGCCAAGCCAAGCCAGTAAAAAAGCAATATTGTGATAATTGCGTTCATACGCCACCGTGATATACAATAAGGCCGTGACAACAAAAAGACAGCAGTCACAAAGTGGCGGAATAAATTCAACTACACATACATTTGTTTCATCACAAAACCGGAGAGCAACATCTGTCCAGTGAAGTCCACAAAGCAAATATTGCATGAAACAAACAGTTATATGACCTGCAGCATGGTCAAGCAAGTTAATGTTTTCGACAGTTTACTAAACAACTACTGATTTAGAACCACGGAGTTACCGCAAATCAGCACAAAGACAACAGGAGCACTGCCTCAGCTATTCCAGCACCATTTCAACTTAAACATGCAAACATCATCAAATCAACAAGGCTATATATGCTTAGTTAAATACACTGAAAACAAACTTAAAGATGTCAAAAACCATTTAGTCCAATCAATGTTGCTAAATATCATGTGGCGGTCCATGGTACTGATTTATGTGTGTGTGTGTGCCCGCGCAAGTAAAACAAAACATGTACTTGTAGACTAGTTGAACGCCAATGCCATCCTCCTTTCTTTCATGTTGGCAAAACAGTCTATGGCTCTGTCATACGGTACACTTTTAGTTTTTGTTGTCATAAGCTACCTAGCTAAAATGCTTGCTAGCCTAACTTCCTTGCACAGACAGCAATGAACCAGCTAAGTTAGCCAGCTAGTTAACGTGAGCCAGACCCGTCGCCAGACCTCAGTCTTAAGGGGGGCATATGAAATGCATGGGAGGGCACAATTATTATTAGCCTACAGTACGTATATTTAATAATAAATTCCCTCAAGTGGGGGGGGGGGGGGCACAAGCATTTTTGGGGGCGGGCCCGGCCCCCTATGGCCCGCCCATAGCGACGGGTGTGACGTGAGCCTACTAGTCTACATCTAGGGTACATATTGAACTTCAATCATCTCAGGTCTGTGGCACAATATATTCATTCATGGTTAGATCAGAATCGCCATCATAATCATTGGCCTGTACAGAGAATTAAGTCAAAACCACAAGTCCAAATCCCCATCTCCATCATGGCTTAGGAAAGGGCCGATTTAGCAAGCTAGCTACCGCAGGAGATCAACACAAGCAGACCAGAAACAGACAAGTTTTTCTGAAAATGACAATTTTCTTGGGAAGTTATTTGATTGGCATTTTGCTGCACCAGGACAACCCACAGTTGAGCTCAGCTCAGCGCTGATTGGTTAATTATTTTATGCATTTTTCATCAAGGGAGACCAAATGCTTGCTGGCATCAATCAATCAAATGCTACGGGCCAACATTTCATACGCTTTTGGTCCAGACAGCATCAGCTAAACATACTGAGTCAGAGGGGCTCAGATGATTTCTACGTGAGATTCAGCCATTTTTCCGTATTGACGGAAAATTATGAAAACACAGAGAGACACAAAATATAAATTATTTTATCATTTGTATTTTTATTGGTCAAATACTTGGGGAAGCCTGGTTTCCCTTGGCATCCATGAATACACGCCAATGTATATTTCACACTGTTGGCTATTGTCCACAGAGAAACCTGCCCCACGTTTGGAGTTAGTGTAACCGCTGGAATTTGAACCCAGGCCCCCCTCTAATCAAAATGCTTGTCTTTGTCACAGCTGAGAGTGGACGAGTTCGAGTCCAACGTGAACGAGATCAAGGACCCCTTCCCCCCTGCTGACTTCCCTGGTAAGCCCCATTCTCTCACACACCTCTGGGCACATCCATGTCAATCGAATCTGGATCTCACTGAATTTTGAATTTAGAACATGTGTCACGTTCTCCTGTTCTTTCTTTCGTCCAGGCGATGATGAGGAGGAGGAGCCTGATATCCCTGACACCCCGAGGCCCCGACCAATGGCAGACCTGCAGCTGAAGGAGGAGGTGGTGCCTATTCCAGAGGCCAGCTCCTTCTACATCTTTAGCTCTGAGAACAAGTAATGATGATGATGATGGTGATGATTATGGTGATGATGATGTACTTGCTAAGACTGCGATATGTTGTTGTTTATCTACCTTATAGTTGAATGCACTGACTGTAAGTCACTCTGGATAAAAGCATCTGCTAAATGACCAAAATGTAAAATGTAATGATGATGGTGGTGATGATGAATGCATTATGATGTTGGTTTTATGTGATTGTTTTAGCCTCCTTACTTGACTGTCAGTCACTCTGTATAACAATGTCTGCAGTTAAATGCCTGTGATGTAAAAAGTATGAAAATGTATGAACTCACTACTCACTAGTCATTTAGCGTCTGCTAAATGACTAAAATGTCAAATGTAAAAATGTCCCCCTCCAGGCTCCGTAAGCTGTGCCACCGCATCATCAACGCCACCACCTTCACCAATATCATCCTCCTCTTCATCCTCCTCAGCAGCATCTCCCTGGCTGCCGAGGACCCCATCGACCCCATGTCCTTCAGGAACCAGGTGCCCACAGACATGCCTGCTCTGCCTGCTGTATCATTAACCCCCTTATCTCAGATGGAAAAGCATTTGTTTCAGTAAAGAAAGCAGAAAGGGAAAGAATTTTGACATAATAACTGACACAAAAGGGTTTTCTTAAGGTCTTAAACCTACACAGCATGACTGCAAGACTGTACGGAGTACTACATAGAGATTCTGCTAAAGGGCTCAGGTGCACTACTACTTTGAAATGAATCCATCCACATTGTCATGTTGCCCTGTTTCCCCTGTGTAGGTGCTGGCCTCCGCTGATGTTGTCTTCACCTCAGTGTTCACTGTGGAAGTTGTCCTCAAGGTAACTAGGCATTGCTTGTCTGTTCCACTACTAGTATAGCTGTACTGGTTTAAAAAGTCACTTTTCTGAATGGGATCATGTCTTACATGTTTACATTACCAAGTACATTAACGGGGTAAATCCCTTTTCTGCAGCAACGGTAAATCGTTAATGTGACAAACTCTCTCGACATTATGTTACATCCACTTTGCAGCACTTTTTTAACCTGCACTGCAGCACAATTCAACTGTAGATGTTTTCACACGAGTAGCTGTGGTTCATGTGGGTTCATAGTTTGTTGGTTTGAGAGGGTTTATGTGTCAACCAGTCTCATCATCTCAGTATCCATCCGCCTCTGCGACAGATGACCGTATACGGTGCCATCATGCACCCCGGCTCCTTCTGCCGGAACTCCTTTAATATCCTGGATCTGATTGTGGTCAGCGTATCCCTCCTCTCCATGCTCATGGAGTAAGTAGTACCTGGAAATGTATAATGTCATTCAAATCCTGTGACACAACTGAATCTATTCCATAATGCTTGATATAGCTTCAGTTATGAATGTGTGTCTCTCTCTAGAAATACAGATTATAGACAAGTAAAGTGTGAGATGTGGTGCCTGCCCTATCTAGGTCCAGTGCTATCTCTGTGGTGAAGATCCTCAGGGTGTTGAGGGTGCTGAGGCCCCTAAGGGCCATCAACAGGGCCAAGGGCCTCAAGGTGAGCTTACCTGTGCTCTCTCCAATCCCCTTCACATCTCTACCCCTCACCTGTACTCCTTACCTGTACTCCTTACCTGCTCCTCTGACACTATATTCACATTCTCATTGGTCTTTTACATGTTCCCATTACCTAATGCACCAAATGCAATACTTTGACCAACCCAGCAGCTGCATATTTTTCTAGTTCTGGTCCTGGAGTACCCGTCTGACATGCTGGTTTCTGCTGTCTCTTGTGGTCTAGCATGTGGTCCAGTGTGTTTTTGTGGCCATCAAAACCATCGGCAACATCGTGCTGGTTACCATGCTGCTAGACTTCATGTTCGCCTGCATTGGAGTCCAGCTCTTCAAGGTGAGCTCTAGATAGGGATGTAGAGTATTTTATAGGGATGTATGGTAGTTTATAGGGATGTATGGTAATTTATAGGGATGTATGGTAAGTTATAGGGATTTATGGTAGTTTATAAGGATGTATGGTAATTTATAGGGATGTATGGTAGTTTATAGGGATTTATGAGTTATAGGGGATTATGGTTAATTTATATAGGGATTTATGGTTAGTTATAGTGAGAGTTATGGTAGTTTATAGGGATGTATGGTAATTTATAGGATGTATGGTACGTTTAGTTCTAGGGGGGGATGATTTATGGTTGTTTATAGGGATGTATGGTAATTTATAGGGATGTATGGTAGTTATAGGGATTTATGGTAGTTTATAGGGATGTATGGTAATTTATAGGGATGTATGGTAGGTTATAGGGATTTATGGTAGTTTATAGGGATGTATGGTAATAATTTATGAGGGGATGTTGGTAGTTATAGGGATTTATGGTGAGTTATAGGGATGTATGGTAATTTATAGGGATGTATGGTAGTTATAGGGATTTATGGTAGTTTATAGGGATGTATGGTAATTTATAGGGATGTATGGTAGTTTATAGGGATTTATGGTAGTTTATAGGGATGTATGGTAATTTATAGGGATGTATGGTAGTTTATAGGGATTTATGGTAATTTATAGGGATGTATGGTAGTTATAGGGATTTATGGTAGTTTATAGGGATGTATGGTAATTTATACACCTGATGATCAAAACAGAAGTCTACACACAATCAAAGCTAATATTCTCAATCATGTTCTGTATGTATGTATGGGCTCCCGAGTGGCGTAGCGGTCTAAGGCACTGCATCTCAGTGCTTGAGGAGTCACTACAGACCCCCTGGTTCGATTCCAGGCTGTATCACAACCGGCCGTGATTGGGAGTCCCATAGGGCGGCGCACAATTGGCCCAGCATCGTCCGGTGTAGCCCGTCATTGTAAATAAGGATTTGTTCTTAACTGATTTGCCTAGTTAAATAAAATAAATATGTGTGTTCATCCCTGCAGGGCAAATTCTACGCCTGCACAGATCCTGACAAAATGACAGAGGAGGAGTGCAAGTAAGAGAGTGGTGATGTTGTTTAGTCCCTCGCCCACAACATTACATGACAGTACAGAATGGAGCATCACATTAATCCTGCTTTCTTTCTCTCCACCACACTCTTTCTTTCTTTCTCTTGCTTCTTCGTGTCTTTAGTTCTTCGTCGTCTTGATTTGGGCGGAGGGAGGGTACGGAGGGAGGGATCGGTTTTCTGGGAGGCTCTAGGGGCTCGAGAGGGAGTGCCTGATGTCTCTCGCTCCTCTCTCTCTCTGCTCTCTCTCTCTCTCTCCTCTCTCTCCTCTCTCTCTCTCTCTCTTTCTCTCCCTCCCTCACTCCTTCTCAGGGGTAACTACATTAGGTACCAGGAAGGTGCCATCCATCCGATGACCATCCATAAGAGAGAATGGATCAACGCAGAGCTCAACTTTGACAACATCCTCGAAGGCATGCTGGCTCTCTTCACTGTCTCCACCTTCGAGGGCTGGCCAAAGTGAGACATACATACAAGCATGGGATTTTGTATATATCACATGACACGCCTAATACAGTACTATGGAACACATAAAAGTGTATGTATTTCATGCTTGCTCAAATGCCTTTGTGTGTGTGTGTGTGTGTGTGTGTGTGTGTGTGTGTGTGTGTGTGGTGTGTGTGTGTGCAGGTTGCTCTACAAGGCCATAGACTCTAACATGGAGGACATGGGTCCAGTGTATAACAACCGCATTGCCATCTCCATCTTCTTCATAGTCTACCTCATCCTTATCGCTTTCTTCATGATGAACATCTTTGTGGGTTTCGTCATCGTTACATTTCAGGAGCAGGGAGAGCAGGAGTACAAGAACTGTGAGCTGGATAAGAACCAGGTGTGTGTATCTGTGTCTGTCTTTTAAGTTTGTTGTTTTAACACACTCTTTCTAACAGCAGTGTGTAACCCCTCTGTGTCCTGTCTTCCCTCTGACAGCGTGCGTGTGTCGAGTACGCCCTGAAAGCCCGGCCGCTGCGCTGCTACATTCCTAAGAACCAGTATCAGTACAATGTGTGGTACATCGTCACTTCCTGCTACTTTGAGTACCTCATGTTCCTGCTCATCATGCTCAACACCATGTGTCTGGGGATGCAGGTAAGGCTATTGGAGGTGGTTTAGGGAACATTTTCATTTCAAATACAAAACGGGAAACTTTGAAAGTACTTCTCCTGCATCACATCAATGCAATGTCCCTACAATATATTCCTGTGTCCATCCCTTCTCCATATCTAGGATTAAAAAATACAAAATAAAATGTGGACACTCTTGAAAATGTGATGGGCATCTCAAGAGATTGAATCCTGGAAAATGTCAAATAAAATAAATAAATAACTATCTTCCCTTTCTCATTTCCTTCTTCTCTCCTCCTCTCTTCTCTCCTCCTCTCTTCTCCCACAGCACTGTAACCAGTCAACCCATGTGACCGACCTGTCAGACATGCTGAACGTGATCTTCACTGTGCTCTTCACTGTGGAGATGGTCCTCAAACTCATGGCCTTCAAAGCTAAGGTCAGTGGTCCATAGAGATGTCCTGAATGCACTACATTACCCAAGATGCCTTGCAAATCAATGTAGAAGCAGAATGATTCCAGAATAATAGCACAGTGGTTATGTAAACCAGCTACTTCATACCTCTTCATTGTGTGCAACCCTCTTCTCAAACTCATGGCCGTCAATGTCAAGTTCAGAGCTGGAATGTCCGTAGATTAAGATACCTTTTATATACACACACACTTCTGATGAATGTCTTTCCCTCCCCCTAGGGTTACTTTGGAGACCCATGGAACGTCTTTGACTTTGTCATCGTCATCGGCAGCGTTGTTGACGTCATCCTGAGTGAAGTCGATGTGAGTATTGTCATTGCGTAATGTTAACCTGAAATATGTAAGTATTGTTCATTTTATGTACTGTAATACTCACAATCCCCACTGTTCCTAAAAGGTTTATGTTTACTAAACAGTTCAGGTAGACCCACTGTACATTTTTGTCTTCACATTTTGAATTTTTCCTCCCATTGGTTTCGGTTATTATTTATAAGAAGGCTGAGGAAAATCTACAGATATTTCCCCAAAAAGCTCTGTCCTGTCATCTGACTGTCTGGACTGTGTTTACACCCCTGTCTGACACCCCACCCACTTAGAGAAACTCAGGCCAGGCACCCCTGTCAGAACTCGGCCCCAACAATAGCACTGAGGATGTGGTCAGTATTCGCCAAGGGGTGACCCTCGCACTACCACCCACCTCTGCCCCGGCTGCACCCTCAACCCCCCTGAACACCCCCCTCCCCCTGAAGCCCTGCAGCACCTGACTGGAGCTTGCCTCACCCACCTATTTGGTTACTTTATGCCCCTAACATAACACCTGGTCTCAGACCTGTTTGGTCATTTCCCTAATTGGTTTTACTGTTTGAGACTGGGAATGAGATGGCTGATTCCAAATCAGTTGTTAAGGGCAGAAAACAACCACTGTCACCTTGTTTCACCTCCCACCACCATGTGTCCAGCGAACTGTCAATCATTCCTGCTAGTAAGTAAGAGACTGACATCCTTCTGTGGTTTTTACTGTGATTCCTGTACAAGGGACTGAGTCAACAGGTTTGGCGTCAGGCTCTAGATTTAAAGCAGCATTTCACATGTTTTGCTTCAGAAAAGTAAAGGTAATTTTAGAAAACGAAATGTTAACTCAAGTTGCCATTACAGTAAACCTTCAGAAGACCCCATCAACCATTTTCACATCTTCACCCCTCAGCTGTCATCCAGGGGTATAGTAAAATGTCGGCGGGGATGTTGGGGCAAATGAATTATATGGAGTGCGAAAGAGAGCGAGAGAAGAGAGAGAGAGAGAGAGAGAAAGAAAGAGAGAGAGAGAGGAGAGAAAGGAGAAGAGAGAGAGAAAGAGGAGAGAGAAGAGAGGAGAGAGAGAGAGAAGAGAGAGAGAGAGAAAGAGAGAGAGAGAGAGGAGAGAGAGAGGAGAAAGAGAGAGAGAGATAAAATAGAGAGGAAAGAGAGAGAGAGAGAGAGAAAGTATAGAGAGCGAAGACTTTTAGAAATTCAAGATATATATAATAATCTCAATATATCCTCCTATCTCTCTCCCTCTCTCTCCCTCTCCCTCTCTCTCCCTCCTTACTGCAGTCTTTCGTCCTCCATGTTCTCCGCCACCTTTGCTATACGCATACCTCCAAAGCTGGCCCCGCCCCCTTTGCCACTTTCTGTTCCACCACCTGTTTCTGATGTCACTTCATGTCTGACTTCACTTCCTGTGTCTCTGTCTCTCCCCCTCACAGGCAGCCCTGGCCTCCTCTGGAGGACTATACTGTCTCCACGGCTGCGCTGTAAATATTCGCCCGTAGACACTGCAAGAGCATTGCATGAAATCACAAGAAACATTGCATGAAACTGTGCATTAGCATTGTTTATTTATTGTACGAGACATTGCATGAACACTGGATAAAACATTGGGGGGAAACTTTGCATAACTCATTGCATGAGCATTGCAAGTTCATTGCCTGGAAATAGCATGACTTAAAATGTAATACAATTAAAAAATATATGTTTTATTGTCACATACACCGGATAGTTGCAGTGAAATGTCTTGTTTTACAGGGTCAGCCATAGTAGTACAGCACCTCTGGAGCAAATTAGGGTTAAGTGCCTTGGTCAAGGGCACATAGACAGATTTTCACCTTGTCAGACCAGCGACCTTTCGGTTATTGGCCCAACGCTCTAACCGCTAACATTCCAAAAGCATCATCTGTGTTTACATTGAATGTCTGTATTTACAGCATGCTGAATCTTAAATTGATAGTGTTTAACATCTCAGGAACCACTTGAACATGATACGATCCAATAATTCTCTGAAGAAAATGTGTATCTGGAGAGCGCCCATTGCTTGGCCCCTGCTGACACTAACCAGACTCATACATGACTGCTTCAGATACCCTGTGAGAAGTGAGATCTGTGTCCTTGCAGACTGCTGTGTTTTGCGCACACAGGCACACATGCATGCACACACACACACACACACACACACATAGCACTCTGTCTCCTTTGCTGGAATGTTGCCCTTAATGAACTAAACTGTGCTACATGCAGTAGAGTCACAACATCTTCAATCTTAGTAAAAGCCAGGACAAGGAGCATTTTCAGCAACTGTTTATTTATTTGGTGCCTTCAGGAGGTGAACCCAATGCAAGCAATAGCGGATTCTGAAAATGCCCGTGTGTCAATCACCTTCTTCCGACTGTTCCGTGTGATGCGTCTGGTGAAATTGCTGAACCGTTCTGAGGGGATCCGGAACCTTCTGTGGACCTTCATCAAGTCCTTACAGGTCAGAGTTCTCTCAATTTTTTTGCCTTTCATTCTGTAAGATTCATTAAAATGTTGCCTTTCAAAAGTCTCAGGATTTGATTGGTCAGTGTGCACCAGTCTGACAATGTGATTGGTTGTTGTGTTGCAGGCTCTGCCCTACGTCGCCCTACTCATCCTCATGCTGTTCTTCATCTACGCTGTGGTTGGGATGCAGGTATTGGACACACACACACACACACAGACACACACACAGACGCACACACACACACACACACACACACACACACACACACACACACACACACACACACACACACACACAGACAGACACACACACAGACACACACAGACAGACTCTCTGATGAGTTGTGTGTCTGTCTCCTGCAGATATTTGGTAAGATAGCGCTGTTAGACGGGACTTACATCAACAGGAACAACAACTTCCAGACATTCCCCCATGCTGTGCTGCTGCTCTTCAGGTGGGGGATCTGATCTATCAGTCCACTAACTCTGTTTCCATTATCTTCCATTCACTTTGCAGTCACTTTACACAGCAGACTCGTATAGCAAGAGTACCTTACACTCAGTGATTACAACACAAGGGCTGAAAACAAGTTGTACTCTCTCTCCCCTACCCTCCTCTCTCCCTCTTCATCCCTCTCTCTCTCCCTCTCTCTCCCCCTCCCCCTCTCTCCTGCTTCCTCCCTCTCTATATCTCTCTTTCTCTTTCCCTCCCTCTCTCTCTCTCTCTCTCTCTCTCCCTCCAGGTGTGCGACAGGTGAGGCGTGGCAGGAAGTAATGTTGGCGTGTCTGTATGGGAAGAGGTGTGACCCTAAGTCAGACTACCTGCCTGGGGAGGAGATGACCTGTGGAGCCAGCTTCGCCATCATCTACTTCATGAGCTTTTACATGCTCTGTGCCTTCCTGGTGAATGACACACACACATGCATACACACAAACACACACACATTTGCATGCACAGACATATATACACACGCACATGCACACACACACACACACACACACACACACACATATGATGCTGTTGTCCTCCACAGATTATCAACCTGTTTGTGGCGGTCATCATGGACAACTTCGACTATCTTACACGTGATTGGTCCATTCTCGGTCCTCATCACCTGGATGAGTTCAAGAAGATCTGGGCAGAGTACGACCCAGAGGCCACGTAAGTGTGTGTGTTTGTTACCCCTTCATGTACTATATGTGGACTGTAAAAATGGGGCCTACAGGTTTATCTTATGATGCGTCTTTTCATCCTAATATCAGTGTACTGCAGTTAGATTATTTACAGTAGCTGTTGTTTTTTCCCCTCCTGTCCTGCAGGGGGCGTATTAAGCACCTGGACGTGGTGACTCTGCTGCGTAGGATCCAGCCTCCTCTGGGCTTTGGAAAGTTCTGCCCCCATAGAGTAGCCTGCAAGGTGAGAGATACAGGAGAGAATCTGTTCATTTATTGTATGTTAATTTAACATATCTATTAATGCAGCAGACATCTTTTTTAATGATATCTTTATTGATTCTGCCTGCAGAGACTGGTGTCCATGAACATGCCACTCAACAGTGACGGAACGGTCACCTTTAATGCTACGCTGTTCGCACTGGTCAGGACCGCACTGAAGATCAAGACTGAAGGTGTGTGTGTGTCAGTCAATTACAGAGTACTGTAGTCAGTGTCTGGTCCAATTGAAAGTGTATTAATATCCCCGCCTCACTGTTGTTATCTCATTGGTCAGGCAACTTTGAGCAGGCCAATGAGGAGCTGAGGGCCATCATCAAGAAGATCTGGAAACGCACCAGTATGAAGCTGCTGGACCAGGTCATCCCACCAATCGGAGGTGAGTTCAAACATCCTATCGTAATCCTCAACTTTATAGTCCCACAACAAGTTGTCCATTCTAATTTGTTGCCATGTTTGATTGGTGTGTGTGTGTGTGTCAGATGATGAGGTGACCGTGGGGAAGTTCTACGCCACCTTCCTGATCCAGGACTACTTCAGGAAGTTGAAGAAGAGACAAGAGGAGTACTATGGCTTCCGCCCCACCAAGAAGAACGCCACCAACGAGATACAGGTGAGACCTTAGCCACCTCAGAATTTGATAATTGCATACCTTCTAGTTATCTTAATGACGTGTAATATAAATGTAATCTAGACTTTTTATGAATGATCTAACAAGTCTTAATTTGTATCCCCTCACCATATCCCTCTCTCTCTAACCCTCTCTACCAGGCAGGTCTGAGGAGCATTGAGGAGGAGGCGGCTCCAGAGCTGCAGAGAGCCATCTCAGGAGACCTGATGAATGAGGAGGAGATGGACAGAGCCATGGAGGACGCAGCGGAGGAGGGAATCTTCAGGGTGAGAGTAGAGAGGGTGTGGGGCGAGGTAGGGAGGACAAGTTCAGGGTGAGAAGAAAGAGAATAAAACTCCTCTCTGTTGTGAATGTTGTCACTTTCTTCCTCCCAGCGGGCGGGCGGTCTGTTTGGGAACCACGTTGATTCCTTCACCATGGAGGAAGGAACCCGTAACCCTAACGCTACACAGGTCATACTTTCATAATTTCAACCATTTCAGTATTAACACTTACAGTATGTAACCTTCTTCAGACACAAAGTGCTTTACATGGTATGGACTCTGAGTTTTTCCAGATCACGTAGACAGGAAAAACTCCTGTCCTGATGGAGGTAACTCTGTGTCTCCATGCAGGTGACCAGCCAGCGGCCCCTGCAGATGAGCAGGTCAGACGACGGGGAGGCTACCAGCTCACCTGCCTACAATGCAAACGAGGACTTCTTCTCCTCAACGCCTAACAAAACTAACAACAACAATGTCAACAACAACGCCAGGGAGAGGTGAGTGTGTGTGTGTGTGAGTGCTCATTTTTGTGTGTTTTGTGTGTTTCTTTTCCTTACCTGAGAGGTCACATTACACAGTAATAAAGCAGGTGGATAACAAGCTGACTCTTTGTCCTTCTGTAGCTTTTCTTATGGGACACATGACCGGGTTCAGGTCTATACCATCTCAACCAGCAGAAGTTCGCAAGACAGAGACTGGCAGCTGCAGACAGTAGCTGGACCCAGCCAGGACCCTGAGACCCACAGAGAGCTCCTCAGCCCCCAGAAAGCCCAGGCCCACGGCCCAGACAGCGCCTTCGATACACTCATACAGGAAGTGAGTGGAGAGACCAGGCACTGCATTTCACACATACTGAATTCATATTGTATTAATGATATTGACATGGAACACTAGTCAAAACGCCCTGACATTTTGACAGACACTTGGAGTCATTCTCTCTCGCTCTCTTCTCATGTCTTTCACCTCTGTTAGGTCTTGATAAACGGGGGGTTGGAGAGCTTGGCCAGGGACCCTCGTTTTGTGTTGGTGACGAAACAGGAAATGGCTGAAGCTTTGAACTTTGATCCTGTGGACATGGAGAGTTCTGCTACTGAGCTTATGAATGGTCGCAGAGGGAGGGTTGCCACACCTCCAATCAGGCCCCCTCGCAGATCACAGAGAAAGGCCAACCAATCAACAACACCCAAAGATGTTGTGTAGGACAATAGGCCTGTCTCGCGTAGCACCACAGCATGTCATCGAGTGACATAACCTGCTGAGGCATAAATGCTAAATGACAAAAAATAAAAAAATATGACAGTCCTTACTGCAGGGTGTCCCAACTGGCGGTCCACGGGATGAATTTGGCCCATGTGTGGTTTTATTTGACCCCCCAAGTTTTCTTAGCCAAAAAAAATAATATACAGTACCTGTCAAAAGTTTGGACACACCTACTCATTCAAGGGTTTTTCTTTATTTTTACTACTTTCTACATTGTAGAATAATAGTGAAGACATCAAAACTATGAAATAACACATATGGAATCATGTAGTAACCAAAGAAGTGTTAAACAAATCAAAATATATTTTATATTTGAGATTCTTCAAATAGCCACCATTTGCTTTGATGACAGCTTTGCACACTCTTGGCATTCTCTCAACCAGCTTCACCTGGAATGCTTTTCCAACAGTCTTGAAGGAGTTCCCACATATGCAGAGCACTTGTTGGCTGCTTTTCCTTCACTCTGCCGTCCAAATCATCCCAAACCATCTCAATTGGGTTGAGGTCGGGGGATTGTGGAGGCCAGGTCATCTGATGCAGCACTCCATCACTCTCATTCTTGGTAAAATAGCCCTTACACAGCCTGGAGGTGTGTTGTGTCATTGTCCTGTTAAAAAACAAATGATAGTCCCACTAAGCCCAAACCAGATGGGATGGCGTATCGCTGCAGAATGCTGTGGTAGCCATGCTGGTTAAGTGTGCCATGAATTCTAAATAAATCACAGACAGTGTCACCAGCAAAGCACCCCAACACCACAACACCTCCTCCTCCAAGCTTTACAGTGGGAAATACACATGCAGAGATAATCCATTCACCCACACCACGTCTCACAAAGACACGGCGGTTGAAACCAAAAATCTCACATTTGGACTCCAGACCAAAGGACAACTTTCCACTGGTCTAATGTCCATTGCTCGTGTTTCTTGGCCCAAGCAGGTCTCTTCTTATTATTGGTGTCCTTTAGTAGTGGTTTCTTTGCAGCAATTAGACTATGAAGGCCTGATTCATACAGTCCCCTCTGAACAGTTGATGTTGAGATGTGCCTGTGACTTGAACTTTGTGAAGCATTTATTTGGGCTGCAATTTCTGAGACTGGTAACTCTAATGAACTTATCCTCTGCAACAGAGGTAACTCTGGGTCTTCCATTCCTGTGGTGGTCCTCATGAGAGCCGGTTTCTTCATAACGCTTGATGGTTTTTGCGACTGCACTCGAAGAAACTTTCAAATTTTGACTGTCGTTTCTCTTTGCTTATTTGAGCTGTTCTTGCCATAATATGGACTTGGTCTTTTACCAAATAGGGCTATCTTCTGTATACCCTCCCCCTACCTTGTCACAACACAACTGATTGGCTCAAACACATTAAGAAGGAAAGAAATTCCACAAATTAACTTTAAAGAAGGCACACCTGTTAATTGAAATGCATTCCAGGTGATTACCTCATGAAGCTGGTTGAGAGAATGCCAAGAGTGTGCAAAGCTGTCATCAAGGCAAAGGGTGGCTATTTGAAGAATCTCCAATATAAAATATATTTTGATTTGTTTAACACTTTTTTGGTTACTACATGTGTTATTTAATAGTTTTGATGTCTTCAATATTATTCTACAATGTAAAAAAAAGAAAAAAGAAAGAAAAAACCTTGAATGAGTAGGTCCAAACGTTTGACTGGTAGTGTACGTTTAGTTCAGGAGAACATCCAGTTGTCCCGATTTAACATGTTCTCGAGTCTCAACTTAAGGAAGTTTTGCTTGTATAATATGTCGGCCCTGTTTGAAAACTACTGTATTTCCCTCCATCCTTGAAGTAATCACTGATGCACCTGTAGTTGGAACTGAATACGGTTGTGTCAGTGATTAGCTCAAGGAGGAAGGGAAGGTTGTGTTTTCTAAGTATTCTTGCAGGGTCAGGACGTTACTTTTCAGGGGGCATTCTTTGAGTTCTGTCATGATGACAAGGCAAGACATAGCTGGATCAGGATGTCTCTGGGCTGTATCATGTATACGGTGTCGATATTAGGACCATCTCAGGATGTAAGCTGTATTGACAAAGCTAACGTGCATTTTCAAGATACACAGATTCTGTACAGGTCTCCACATATCAACATATCTTCACAATGCCTGGACTTTTTGCTGTAAATCCTATATCTCAAACATGTACATCATCTCTAGCATGGACAGGAAGACCATGTAGTGTAACATGGGCGAAAAGCCTTATGGTGTAGGGTAGTCACTAGCTGGTCATGCTACTGTAGAATGGACTAAAGTGCAGATAATTGGATGTGGTTAAAGATTAGGTTAGGATGAAGAATAAGGTTAGGGTCAGTGGTTGGAATCGTATTTGTGGTTAGAAAGCAGTATGTATGAGATATTTTGAACTTATGGTGTTGTATAGCAGGGGTTTAAAGTCCTGTCTGTAGATGGTATTTTGTCTGTTTCTATTATTTTCAACATGATTGTTTATTTTCTTTCTGAGGTCGATCTATTTGGTTGAAATCTACAGCCTTTACTATGAAAATGTAATTTTTGATTATTTATAAAGAATATTCATTGTTGTACCTGTAACCCCCCCCAACTAAAACATTACGAAATAAAACAATGTGTCACAAAAAAAGAATATTCATTGTTGTTTAAGTATTTAAAGGTGCTATCTGCAATTCAAACAATAACAAAGCAGCAACCTCACCACTGTTTTGGTAAACAGCTGAGGGATGGGGCTGGAGAAATGTAACCACTCTCAAATTCATAGACAGAGCTTTTTTCACGTTGCTCGCTTTGGGATTCGAAACAGCAACCTTTCGGTTACTGGCCCAACGCTCTAAACCGCTAGGTTACCTGCCGGACTGTGTGAGAGTGTGATTTGAAGGAGTCAGGCGCAGGAGGGTAAATCACAGAATACAGAGTTTATTCCTTAATACACAGTTACGCTGGATAGCAGTGCGCAAAACAGGCGCCCTGGAACAAATACAGGCACACGGGGAAAAATATACCCCGGCAATACAAAGTACAGGTAGCTCCACCGAGCTACACTCATCTCACATGAAACAATCACCCACAAGGGGGCAGAGGGAACACTTAAATACATACTAATGAGGAAAATATGAACCAGGTGTGTGTAATTGACAAGACAAGACAAATGGAATGATGAGATATGGAGCGGCAGTGGCTAGAAGGCCGGTGACATTTACATTACGTTTGACATTTTAGTCATTTAGCAGACGCTCTTATCCAGAGCGACGGTGACGACGAACGCCGAAGCCTGCCCGAACAAGGAGGGGAGGCAGCTTCAGAGGAAGTCGTGACAGACTGACCATCCATGATATCAACACATATAGTTGTAAGAATTATTTGAAGGTACAGTGTGTTATCACATTATTTACCAAAATTGGAGTAAAACAAGCTTATATTTTGGGTTCTGATGGGGTATGACGACAGTTGAACTAAACTCATAAGGCATTTATAAGTTATATTCTTCAATAATTAATGTGTATATCATTTATTAGAAAGTCCAAAAATGCATATAGCAATCACAGATTGCCCCTTTAAAAGCCTAAAAGAGATTAGGTTGTATTTCGTGAGGTAGTGGTATTGTCTTTTTAATGACTAATCTGTTATTTGGTTAAATAAAGGCAAAATAAAATAGCCGTAGTGTGATGAAGGCAAAATATAAAATAACATTTGAATCTCAATAAGTTTTGAATGATAAAATCAGTTGTTCCCACATACCTTTTTAAACAAAGTAAATGTGTGTAACGTGTAGCCTAACGTCATACTAGATTTCACTAAAAGGTGGGTGATGTCGTTACTGCCACCATCTTTTTATCATACATTTACATTTACATTTTAGTCATTTAGCAGACGCTCTTATCCAGAGCGACTTACAGTTAGTGAGTGCATACATTTTGTAATGTAACATTATTTGAGACATTTTATTGTTTTCTCTCTGTTTCGGATATCTGTTTCAATATTGTTTCTCTAAACCATATCAGACCAATAAATATGACTTTATAAAGTGAAAATAGTTCCCCCCCGTCAAATTATTGGGGATTTATGGTAGAGGTCAGTTGAGGAAAGATAGATACACAGTAGCAATTCTGCGCCGTGAAACAAACGGATTTGGAATTCTCTCACGAGAGTCTCTGGGTTTCTACACCGGGAGTAATTGGATTTGAGAGCACTGATCCGCTGTCACCGTATGGGCTGGGGCGCTTTAAACCCATATTCCTGCACCCCGCGCTCTGGCACTTGGCATCGTGTCCATCGTTCGCTTGACAGACCGGGTACAGAGAACAGCCGTTTTTACTCAGACGTTGTGGTAAGGCTGGTGGTTAGTCGTTGTCTGGTGGTCTCCGTCGGGTATAGCTTATGTTTTGGTAATATGTCTGCAATTGTATCTGAATGTTATTATGGTGTTTTATAATACAGCTCTGTATTTCGGTTATGACGTATGCAGACCGTGATGCGGGCACGTAAACTCCAGACATGTTGCGCAGCATAATTCGTAGCACTGTCAAATTGACATCTCAAATCAGCAGGGATGGCTACAGTGAAAATCGTCGACAGTCAATGCTGTTTATTAGCTGGACAATACAGAATTGTTGATGGGGTTGGGGCTATATGGTGTATGGGTTGGGGTAGCCTACAATATATCTTGATTTTGGCCTTAGGCTACCAGTTCTGTTACAGTGCAGTGTCAATATTATCAGCTCTCCTCAACAGTTGTTGTTATAATTTACATCCCATCAAACTCTTTTCATCATTGTGTTAGATTAGAACCTGTCTGTCTTCCACCTGTTGGCTACAACTGAATGCTGTGCACTGCACACCATTGAATACCATTGTTACAACTCAAGTGTCATACCAGAGTAACTACCAGTAGAAAACCTATGCATTAATTACCCTTTAACTGAGTAGTACTACATCTATTTTACTTTTAAAAAACTAAATTAACATAGGTACTGTATGTAGCTTACTGCATTTACTTGACAGTATATTACACTGGTTATTCTCTCATTCCCCTGGAATAATGCCTACTCTGTGTCCAGTTGCCCTCCTCTCAAATTCACTGGGTATTGTCACACATAATGATGACTTTATCAAATCTGTAATGCTCTGTTTATGTGTTACTTTTTGGATGTCTGTTGTCTCAGCTGACTTCCAGGTTTAAGTGCAGGTGGGATGTCACTGCCCTATTGGTGGAAGATGAATGCCAGGTTTGTTAGTAGCAGAACAATCTTCAATGTCAGAGACCCAAGCAGATACTGTATGTAAGACAGAGAGTATTATGGGCACTGTTGACGACTTCGTCACGCTACAGCTATTCCCAGTATTCCCATGTCCCTCCTGCTGCTGTCTGTATCAATCCCAGTCCAGAGAACTGGGAGAACTGGTGAGGCTGGAAAAGCGGGCATGGTACTGTGCCGCTATGGTACGCTACTGCGGTAATCTCCTCCTCCTCTCAGGGCTTAGTGAGGAGGCTGACAGTAGCAGATGGGTCCAGGGCACCAGGCTAATAGGCTCACTGACTCTGTGGGACGGCCGGTTTGAAGGCCTGTATACTACTAGTTGTCTTGTTCCACTGTTACCTGACCCCTTACCATCAATTAGACCTACAGTACAGTAGGGCAGGTCTTTGCTACAGCCCACCTTTGTTTCCATCTAACCCTGATATGGCTGTAGCCTCCATTTGTTATGGTGTGTTGGAGTAATGGGGGATAAAGCCATATCAGAGCCAGTGTCCTCTCTGCCTCATGGTTTTGGCCACATTTGTCAGTTGACATATTCGTAGGATATCTCTTGCACAAATGTAAATCCATGAGATTAACTGTGATTGCACTTGTTCTCCCCCAGACATTGAGATGGCAGCACGTCCAGACTTCCAACATGAGGGGAGGACTGAGAAGAACCTGTCTCCCCTGTCTCGCCTCCCCTATGAGCGGGTGACCCTGATGGTGGACGGGACTCACTTTGTGGTGGACCCCGCCCTGTTCACCGCCCACCCTGACACCATGCTGGGGAGGTAAGGTCCAGACTCTGTGTGTCAGATTTAGACTATTTTATTATAGTGTAACAGACTCTCACAAGACTGTGTTAGCCCACTGAGCTAAATCAGCCAAAGCCTTAGCGCAAGTCTTCAGGTCTCAGACAAGTTTAGTCATCACGCGAGCGTGGATCACCACCATGTCCAATACAGTAGTACAGCCTATTATTAGACCAGGGAAAGATATACAAGAAACACTAACAAAGCCCTAATCCCTCAGCAAACATGTGGTTTGTTTCTAATCTCAGAGAGTAATGTTTACTCTGACCCAGTGGCCATTTGGGTTAATCTGGGCTAATAATCGGAGATTGGTCAAATATTACACAGGAATATTCCTCTCATTAACACCTTCTCTCGCATACACAATGGAGGCATTGCTATGATTCTGACAAGTTACACTGTACTAAGAAAGGAAATTAGACTTGAATGGTAAATGGACAGGGCTTTCAACAAGCACTAAACTCAGAAATGCATATTGTGAGGACATTTAATATAATTAAATGAATAAATAAATAACACATTTTAATTCTCAGGATGTTTGGTCCTGCCCGTCACTTCACGCGGCCAAACGCCAAGGGAGAGTATGAGATCGCTGAGGGAATCGGAGCCAGCATATTCAAAGTCGTCCTGGTGAGTTTCTCTTAAGATAGTTCACCTGAATTATGAAATTACTTATATCTTCCCTTACCTAAACTAACCTACTGTGTTTCTCTCTCCCCCCTCTCCCTCTCTGTCCCTTGACTCTCTCTCCCTCTCTCTACCATTTCCTTTATTATTTTCTCTCTCTCTCTCTCTCTCTCTCTCTCTCTCTCTCTCTCTCTCTCTCTCTCTCTCTCTCTCTCTCTCTCTCTCTCTCTCTCTCTCTCTCTCTCTCTCTCTCTCTCTCTCTCTCTCTCTCTCTCTCTCTCTCAGGACTTTTACAAAGTAGGTCTTCTGCAGTGTCCAGAGGGAGTGGCAGTGTCTGAGCTCAGGGAAGCATGTGACTACCTCTGTATTAACTTTGACTACAACACCGTCAGGTGCCGAGATCTCAGTGAGTAGCATGGTCACATCGGGTCTGACCAAGGCCCTATTCAAGACCGAAACGTTGAGTAATGCTTTGCAATGTTGCATGCACAGTTTTCAGAACTAAGTTACACTATTTTTCAAAACCTATTCCTAATTGCTTAGTCTTCTTAATCTTTAATGTTCCCTATTGAAATATACATTTTGCCATGCACAAGAGACTATAAGCTATGATATCAAATCAGAGGTCATAGTTCAAATGGTGTGACCATTCATTCCTGTCCCAGGTGCATTGCTGCATGAGCTGTCCAACGACGGTGCTAAGCGTCAGTTTGATGTCTTCCTAGAGGAGCTAGTTGTCCCGGTGATGGTGTCCAGTGCTCAGGAGGGGGAGAGGGAGTGTCACATCGTAGTTCTCACAGATGATGACATAGTGGATTGGGACCATGACAACCCTCCACCCATGGGAGAGGAGTACTCACAGAGTAAGTGACCTAGTCCTTCACCTCTCTCAGGGTAATTATAATGAATCATACATTATTCATAAAATAGATAATTTACATTATCTTTTGGACAGTGCTGTTTGTCTCATTTTCTATACTTTATATTTTGGGAAATCTTGTACCCCAACCTTTTTTGGAAAATAATAATGAATCATTTTGGAGTGAGCATTTTGTTTGATATTATTTCCTGTTCTCTCGCTCTTCAATGTGCCCAGTTCTGTATAGCACCAAGCTCTATCGCTTCTTCAAGTACATCGAGAACAGAGACGTGGCCAAAGCACTGTTGAAGGAGAGAGGACTGAAGAACATTCGCATTGGCATTGAGGGTGAGTTGATTACCATGTCCCAAATCAACCCCCTAACTCTCAGCCTCTTCTCCTAGCCTCTTCTGCTTCAGTGTTTTAATATCTGAAAGAAACAAATAGGTATAAGCATTCAATCCGTATCGCGGAAGATCCGTGCTATATATGGGTTAGCTGACAATGTCACGAAAACGATGCACATGCTTTAATGGGGAAGAAGTCCTTGTGTTATTGTGATTCTGGATGGCCAGATACAGTGGGGAAAAAAGTATTTAGTCAGCCACCAATTGTGCAAGTTCTCCCACTTAAAAAGATGAGAGGCCTGTAATTTTAATCATAGGTACATGTAAACTATGACAGACAAATTGAGAAAAAGAAATCCTGAAAATCACATTGTAGGATTTTTAATGAATTTATTTGCAAATTATGGTGGAAAATAAGTATTTGGTCACCTACAAACAAGCAAGATTTCTGGCTCTCACAGACCTGTAACTTCTTCTTTAAGAGGCTCCTCTGTCCTCCACTCGTTACCTGTATTAATGGCACCTGTTTGAACTTGTTATCAGTATAGAAGACACCTGTCCACAACCTCAAACAGTCACACTCCAAACTCCACTATGGCCAAGACCAAAGAGCTGTCAAAGGACACCAGAAACAAAATTGTAGACCTGCACCAGGCTGGGAAGACTGAATCTGCAATAGGTAAGCAGCTTGGTTTGAAGAAATCAACTGTGGGAGCAATTATTAGGAAATGGAAGACATACAAGACCACTGATAATCTCCCTCGATCTGGGGCTCCACGCAAGATCTCACCCCGTGGGGTCAAAATGATCACAAGAACGGTGAGCAAAAATCCCAGAACCACACGGGGGGACCTAGTGAATGACCTGCAGAGAGCTGGGACCAAAGTAACAAAGCCTACCATCAGTAACACACTACGCCGCCAGGGACTCAAATCCTGCAGTGCCAGACGTGTCCCCCTGCTTAAGCCAGTACATGTCCAGGCCCGTCTGAAGTTTGCTAGAGTGCATTTGGATGATCCAGAAGAGGATTGGGAGAATGTCATATGGTCAGATGAAACCAAAATATAACTTTTTGGTAAAAACTCAACTCGTCGTGTTTGGAGGACAAAGAATGCTGAATTGCATGCAAAGAACACCATACCTACTGTGAAGCATGGGGGTGGAAATATCATGCTTTGGGGCTGTTTTTCTGCAAAGGGACCAGGACGACTGATCCGTGTAAAGGAAATAATGAATGGGGCCATGTATCGTGAGATTTTGAGTGAAAACCTCCTTCCATCAGCAAGGGCATTGAAGATGAAACGTGGCTGGGTCTTTCAGCATGACAATGATCCCAAACACACCGCCCCGGGCAATGAAGGAGTGGCTTCGTAAGAAGCATTTCAAGGTCCTGGAGTGGCCTAGCCAGTCTCCAGATCTCAACCCCATAGAAAATCTTTGGAGGGAGTTGAAAGTCCGTGTTGCCCAGCGACAGCCCCAAAACATCACTGCTCTAGAGGAGATCTGCATGGAGGAATGGGCCAAAATACCAGCAACAGTGTGTGAAAACCTTGTGAAGACTTACAGAAAACGTTTGACCTGTGTCATTGCCAACAAAGGGTATATAACAAAGTATTGAGAAACTTTTGTTATTGACCAAATACTTATTTTCCCCCATAATTTGCAAATAAATAAAAATCCTACAATGTGATGTTCTGGAATTTTTTTTCTCATTTTGTCTGTCATTTTGTCTGTCATAGTTGACGTGTACCTATGATGAAAATTACAGGCCTCTCTCATCTTTTTAAGTGGGAGAACTTGCACAATTGGTGGCTGACTAAATACTTTTTTCCCCCACTGTAGCTCGCAACAATGAGGGGAATCGTAAGTGGCTCATTTAGTCTTGTTATTGATACCATGTCTTGTTTTGAGGTGTTTTGTCTGATTTTAGTCCGCTAATATGGCAAAATATTTGCTAGCTAGCTAACCAACAACTGTAACAATGTATTTGAGAAACAACACGTGCTCATTGTGCAAATGTATTTTCAATAAACATTGGAGACAAAATATAGTTTGCATGTTGTCAACAATCTAAGTTTTGCCCCATAGTTGCGCATACAGCGGTTTTGTTGCTAAACAATCAACCCGTCTATAGCGAGAATGACATTTAAAGGCTATGTTCCTGCATTCGCAGTACACGCTGCATCCCACTGGGCAAACACTGGTTGAATCAACGCTGTTTCCACATTATTTCATAAAAAAAAAGTAATGTGATGACGTTGAATCAATGTGGAAAACTGATTGGATTTGCAAAAAGTCATCAACGTAAGGACATTTCAAATTTTTTTACCCAGCTTTTAATCTAAATCCAATGACATGGTGAAATTGTTTGTTGATTTCACGTTGTTGACAACTCAACTAAATTTAAATCAAAACTAGACGTTGAACTGACGTCTGTGCCCAGTGGGTATGTCGTCTCAATCGAAAATTACCGTAAAATTTAAATTGCGCTATAACGCAAATCTTCCGGGATACGTATTGAATCTAGCCCCAAGTCTTCCAATGCTATAGGCTACATTTTGCTTACCTCTATCAAGTTCCCTCAAATCTGCAAACCCTACAGAGATACTGAACATTACGTGCATCTGGTCCTCATGTATCCCAGGGTACCCCACCTGTAAGGAGAAGGTGAAGCGCCGTCCCGGTGGGAGGTCAGAGGTCATCTATAACTACGTGCAGCGGCCCTTCATCCAGCTGTCCTGGGAGAAGGAGGAAGGGAAAAGTCGACACGTGGACTTCCAGTGCGTCCGCAGCAAGAGTGTCCCCAACCTCATCGCCTCTCTGGGGGAGCCAACACGACCCGCAGCCACACCCAGCCCGCAGGTCGATGAGCTGGATAGACTGATCAGCCCTGATCCCCACCCCCAGTCTCAGGCCCCACCCCCACCCCCACCCCCACCCTCCAATGACAGTTGAGGAGGGTAGAAGTTGACCTTAGGCATATATTTGGTTATGGTCAGGGTTTGGCAAGGTTAAGGTTGTGCTGATACTAGGGCCTAGATTCAATCAGATCAAGCGTTAACCAGCGATAGCTGACACCCGTATAGCTGATGTTTTGGCGTGTCGGAGATGTAACTGGGTTGGAGCTGTCAAATCGGTGAGCAGCTGCACTTGTGATCTCACGAAGCCACACCCTTCCCACTTGTGTTAGAAGTTCAGAATGAGAATGTGTAGGCTATATAGAAATAATGATGCTCAAAATGAAAATCATTCAAATAAATGAGGATTTCTGTCAGCCTAATCGAGGTGTAGATTACATCTCACGTTCCAGCATTCAAAATTGTAAACAAGGCTGCATGGGATTTCTCTTAATGCAACCCCATGCAGCCAATGGGAATGTCCACTTTAGGTATAATGCCGGGAGCGCTTGTTGATTTGACAGCTCTAACACAGTTCCACCTCCGACACCGCAAAAACAACCATTATGCAGGTATCAGCAAGTGCGGATCTGATAGAATCTAGCCCTAGATCTGTGTTTGGGGGCAACTTCTACCCGAGGCCGTCATCAGTTACCATGTTAGCCTGGCTTCCACTCAGGGTGTTTGAGTTTACAGACACACTCAAACAAACCTCAATGACCATACAGTCCAACCCATGTACACATACAGAAACAGATACGCATGAAACACAGACGTGTATATACACTACCGTTCAAAAGTTTGGGGTCACTTAGAAATGTCCTTGTTTTTGAAAGAAAAGCAATTATTTTGTCCATTTAAAATAACATAAAATGTATCAGAAATACAGTGTAGACATTGTTAATGTTGTAAATGGCTATTGTAGCTGGAAACGGCAGATTTTTTATGGAATATCTACATAGGCGTACAGCAACCATCAGTCCTGTGTTCCAATGGCGCATTGTGTTTGCTAATCCAAGTTTATCATTTTAAAAGGCTAATTGATCATTAGAAAACCATTTTGCAATTATGTTAGCACAGCTGAAAACTGTTGTGCTGATTAAAGAAGCAATAAAACTGGCCTTCTTGAGACTAGTTGAGTATCTGGAGCATCAGAAAGTTATTTGTTTCTGGCCATTTTGAGCCTGTAAACGAACCCACAATTGCTGATGCTCCAGATACTCAACTAATCTCAAGAAGGCAAGTTTTATTGCTTCTTTAAATCAGCACAACAGTTTTCAGCTGTGCTAACATAATTGCAAAAGGGTTTTCTAATGATCAATTAGACTTTAAAAATGATAAACTTGGATTAGCAAACACAACGTGCCATTGGAACACAGGACTGATGGTTGCTGATAATGGGCCTCTGTACGCCTATGCAGATATTCCACTTAAAAAATCAGCCGTTTCCAGCTATAATAGCCATTTACAACATTAACAATGTCTACGCTGTATTTCTGATCAATTTGATGTTATTTTAAATTGACAAAAAAAATGCTTTTCTTTCAAAAACAAGGACATTTCTAAGTGACCCCAAACTTTGTACGCACACATACAAACATGGATTTGGACAAGGAGGATGTTTACAGTAGATAACTAGACCCTACCAGAGTCTATCTAGTGTTTCCTCATTTAGAATGCATTATGTCATAATAAGTGTGTGTGTGTGTGGTCTTTTTTTCCTTTTATGACCGATTACATTTTATATACTTTGTACATTTATATAAAGGTTGCAGTTAATATTATTGTTTAAAGTATTTACATAGTTTTTGTTCAAAGAATTTGTTCAAATAATTGTTGCAGCTGCACAGGAAACCTAAATAAAATGATTGATGGCATAACTAACTTCATGATTTTAAGTTCTGCTAAATAGAACCTCAGGTTGACGTCTCATATAAAAGATGGCTATGCTAACATAAACATAAAAAGGAAGCTACAGTATGCCACAATTGTACAAAAGTTTTATTGAATGATGAAATAATTTTATCAGCATTTAAAGCTTTTTTCTCATAGTGAACATGTTCCTTTGCTGAAAAACATTCAAACCTCATACAGAAGGATTCAATAAGATACACACACATACGCGCATACGTACACACACCTATACATAGTATATGTGTCATCCAGCAGAGAGAAATGACTGCCGTTTATACATGTACTCATTTGCATATTGATATTTTTACTTCTTCAAAAGGAACAGCTTGGTGAGATTGTTGATACAAAATATAGGCTCTTTAAAAAAACATCAGCAGATGTAATGGCAATTATTGTACCGTCTATTTGGTATGTGCACCTTTTCAAACAGCATTACAAAAGTCTATCATGCTAAGAGTAAGAGTCTATCATGCTAAGCAGCTGCTCAGGGTTTACTTCTCCAGCGGGTACAAAGACCTTAAAGCACTCGAGTGAAAATCAGAATGAGAGGAGAACTAACCGTCAACGTCATTCAGTCGTCCATCTGGAAATGTATATATTTTTAGCAACACTTTACACGGGTATTATTACTGGGTAACTACGTGGGAATAATCTATGTAATTACATTTAAGTACAAGTAGTTACATAGCACATACCATGTTATTCTCTTGAAAAATGAAAGAGTGAGAACAAATGGTTAGTGTTAGGCCTACTACTACCTGACTGCAGAGTAATTCGATTTAGTAGTTCACCTAGTAAAAGGTATCCTGTAGTTACTCATGTAAGTTGTAAAGTGAGGCCAAGTTTGTTTTCCTTTTTTACATAATACGTACATACACACACTAACAGTGCTGAAAGTGCTGTAACACAGATATATGTGAAAGTTCAAGCTCTATATTTAATATTTGGTGACATTTTAAATGTACGTGAAATTCATGAATCCCCAGCATTATGCATAAAACAGTGGTTCCTTTGTGAGTTAAAAATACTATATGGAAAAAACTGTAACATGAGAAGCCTTTAATTAAATACCAGCTTTCGAAAGAGCAGTTGTAAAAAAAATCCAGCACTAACTCGGGAGAGCAAAAGTCAAGAGCTTTCCATCCTGCATACAAACAACTTAACATGAAACTAAAAAAGGGGGGATTCCAATTTCAAACTAATGTACAAACTAATGTACAGCTCTTGGAGTTCTTTGGGTAAGGTACATAAATGGACATGACGTCTCAAGGTAGTGCCATTCAGACAGCTCAACATACACACACAACCAGCATTTGTTACATCCCTGAAGACTAGTACTATTTCAATCCAACACAGCATTTGAATGAACCTTTCTGAATTCAAAACATGATACATTACAAAATTATAAAAGAAATAACTGGGCACATTAAAAGTTGAGAAAACCAACAAAGGCAGTGAAGGAGTGGTGCTTGCTCATTAACCCCTTATTGAGGAGTAGCTAGACTACGATGGAATTTTCTGTCGTCCTTTGTTGAACATTCTCACTCACTCTAACTGATGACATCACAAAACCGCCAGAAATACAATGCTAAAAATAGCATTGTTAGTCTCTCCAAGGCAAGCAGAGATCTAATGGCGTCACAGGGGTAGTGAGACAGACTGCTGGGAACCTGCCAGCTTCCAGAGAACAGCAGAGAAACTTCCCTATGAACAGTATGACAGGTTGAGGAGAGGAGTGGGGAGAAGGTTCTGGAGGGACACAAGGGGACAGCTATAAGGCTGTACAGCATAGAGTTCAGTGCTGGTGGAAAAGTTAGAGCCAGGCTTCAGCTCTGAAACGCTGGGCCCTATTCAATTAAAACTGATATCCCGGTTTCTAAGATAAAGTTGACATTCTTCCTACACAGCGAGAAAGCATATTTGAGATTAGTTATTGTTACACACTGTAAACATTTTACTGAAAGAATTCATCCAAACATGCACTGACAGTGAAAGAAGAATGGTGGTTTTCATATCCTGGAAACTCGGTTACTGGGCCCCAAATCACAGAAGGCCAAACAGTGGTTACAACCATGTATCCACAGGGTATAATGAACTGGTTAGTATTGGTTCAACCAGATTTCTCTGAATACTGGTTCAGAAGGCCTGCAGGAAATAGAACAGCTTAACTGAACTGTCAATTTAGTAAAAAATTATTTCATATTTGTACTATGAAACTGAACCGTTGCGTGAAGGTATCTGGGTGCTGCGTGGGGTGAGGGGATCAGTGGGTCATTGTAGCGCAGGTTATAGGGTCAGAGTTCATCTCTTGCTTCCCTTCATGTAGGAAGGGATGGCTCCCCTGGCTGTCAGGCCCTCGAAGCGCTTGTAGGTGTAGTTGATGAAGACCCAGTCCTTATTCTTATAGTCAGCCTCCGCTGCAGCTGCTGCTGCTGGAGACTTCGTGGGTGCTGCTGCAGCTGGGGAGAGAGAAAGACGGAGAGGGGAAGGAGAGAAAGGAGAGTGACGAAGGCGGGAGAGGAAAGAGGGAGCGGAAATAAAAAAAGGAGAAAGGGAGAGAGATTTAGAGTTGATAGGGTATACTGTACAACCACACACACAGAGAGTCAAGAAAAATACACAACCTTTGAGAGACACAGGAAAATAGTTTCTGCTGAAACTCTGTCTTTCTCTTACCTGTGGGTGAGAGGATGTCCGACTCAGGGAACTCGTCGAAGTTTGACGTGTCGTCGATGCTTTTGATCTCAATGGGGATCGCTGCAGGTCTCTCCCTGGGTTGGGTGACAAATACAAAACTGTAGTAAGACCTGGACTTTTGGACCACTGAAGTATAAAAACCTAATTGTTTTGCATATAAACTGTTCCTTGTAAGAAGTCCCTGTGTACCTGATGTGGTCGTAATCGACTCCCTCAAAGAACGGATTTCTCTTGATCTCCTCCACCCCTGTCGCCCCGATCCGATGATCTCCCTCACAGCAGAACCTAAGCAGTAATATACCTACATTTAGATCCTGAGAACAACCACATAAAGGAATATAGAAGTGTGTCTGCCATAGATACAGTATTAGTTTGAGATGACATTCATGTTTTACATTTGAACCATTTAGTTGATGTTCATTCTTATCAAGAAGAACATACTGTACAATGGGCTCTATAGACCGTTTATTCATCTCTCTCTCTTTTTAACCATCTTATATTTAGTGCACTCTTAGAAAAAAAGGTGCTAAGTAGAACCATATAGGGTTCTTCGGTTTGTCCCCATAGGAGAACCCTTTTTGGTGCTAGCCCTCTATGTAGGACCCTTCATAGAAGCCCCTGTGAGATGTTCAACCTAGAACCCTCTATGAAGTGTTCTTCCTAGAACCCTCTATAAATGGTTCTACCAAGAACCCTTTCAACATCTAAAGGTGTCACGAATTCAGCCGAGGCTGTCCCTCCTCCTTGCTTGGGCAGGCTTCGGCGTTCGTCGTCACCGGAGTACTAGCTACTACCGATCCATGTGTCTATGTTTGACTTGTTTTGTCTTTATTGGTCACACCTGTTTCCCATCATGTAGTTATGTCTTCCCTATTTAACCCTCTGTCTCACACTGTGTGTTGTGCGTGTTTGTTCATGTTTTGGTTGTCGTTAGTGTGTGGGTTTGTTCCTCCCTGCGTGGAGGTTTGTTCTTTCTATTACCTACGAGTAAAGTACGTTTTTTCGATTAGCTCTGTGTCCTGCGCCTGACTTCGTCCTACTGCATTACACTGACAACTTGACAGAAACACGCATCAAAATATGGAGTCAGCAGGTACAGCAATGCCAGCCGGATCGATGGAGGAACGCGTCCAACAACAAGCGACCATGATCCAGGCTCTCGGCACCGCTATGGAACGAGTGGTGAATACTATGGAGCGATGGGAGAGAGGAGGTTTCCCTATACCTCTTCCAATTACACCACCACCTACACCGCTGTCCACCTCTTCACCATCTGGGTCCAGTGGGATTCGGCTCTCGCTCCCGAGGGCATATGACAGTACAGCTGCCGGGTGTCAGGGTTTTCTGTTCCAGGTAGAGCTCTACCTGGCAACCATCCACCCGGTTCCCTCGGGATACGAGAGCGTGTCCGCCCTAATCTGCTGTCTGTCCGGTAAACGCTTGAGTGGGCCAACGCCGAGTGGGGGGGAATAGACGCTGCAACTGTAAGTTATGAGGAGTTTACCCGCCGCTTTAGGGCGGTATTCGATCATCCACCAGAGGGGAGAGCGGCGGGTGAGCGTCTATTCCACCTCAGACAGGGGAAGAGGAGCGCACAGGAGTTTGCACTGGACTTTAGGACTCTGGCTGCCAGCGCAGGATGGAATGAGAGGGCCCTTATCGACCACTACCGTTGCAGCTTAAGGGAGGACGTTCATCGGGAACTGGCCTGCAGGGACACCAACTTTAACCTGTACCAACTGGTGGATATGTCAATCCGACTGGATAACCTGTTGGCCACCCGCGGACGTCCGGATCAGGGGCCGTCCATTCCATCCCCCAGCACCTCCGACCCTACCCCTATGGAGCTCGGAGGTGCTGCTCTTAGGGAGACCGGTAGAGGGGCCGTCCCCTGCACCAACTGTGGCCGCAGAGGACACACTGCTGGTCGGTGCTGGGGAGGGTCTTTAAGGAGTCGAGGCAGTAGGCAGAGCACTGGTGGACCGTTTCAGATGAGTAGGCACCCAACTCACACAGAGCTCCCTGTTGCGCATATGTGTATAGATGTTGTATTTCCAGAGTTTTCTTCTCATTCCCAGCATAAGGTGCTAGTAGATTCAGGCGCAGCTGGGAACTTTATTGATAGTCAGTTTACCCGTAGGTTAGGGATTCCTATTGTGCCAGTTTATGTGCCCTTCCCTATACATGCCCTAGATAGTTGCCCTTTAGGGTCAGGTCTGATTAGGGAGGTCACAGCTCCACTCTGGATGAAGACGCAGGAGGGGAATGAGGAAACAATTAGTCTCTATCTGATTGATTCTCCTGCGTTTCCAGTGGTGTTGGGGCTTCCCTGGTTAACCTCTCATGACCCCACTATTTCATGGCAACAGAGGGCTCTCAAGGGATGGTCAAGTCAGTGCTCAGGGAGGTGTGTAGGTGTTTCCGTAGGGGCAACTACGGTGGAAAGTCCAAACCAGGTTTCCACCATGCACATTCCGCCTGAATATGCCGATTTGGCTCTCGCCTTCTGTAAAAAGAAGGCAACTCAATTACCACCCCATCGACAGGGGGATTGTGCGATAAACCTCCAGGTAGGCGCTGCGCTTCCCCGGAGTCACGTGTATCCTCTGTCACAGGAAGAGACGGCGGCTATGGAAACATATGTCACCGAATCTCTGAGGCAAGGATACATTCGGCCTTCCACTTCCCCTGTGTCATCAAGTTTCTTTTTTGTGAAGAAGGAGGATGGTGGCTTACGCCCGTGCATTGACTACCGTGGTCTTAATCAGATCACTGTAAAATACAGCTATCCACTACCTCTGATTGCTAGTATGACGGAGTCATTGCACGGGGCGCGCTTCTTCACGAAATTGGATCTCAGGAGCACGTACCACCTGGTGCGTATCCGGGAGGGAGATGAGTGGAAGACAGCATTCAGTACCACCTCTGGGCAGTATGAGTACCTCGTCATGCCATACGGTTTGATGAATGCTCCATCAGTTTTCCAATCCTTTGTTGATGAGATTTTCAGGAACCTGCACAGACAGGGTGTAGTGGTGTATATTGATGACATTCTCATATACTCCGCTACACGGGCCGAGCATGTGTCCCTGGTGCGTCAGGTGCTTGGTCGACTGTTGGAGCATGACCTGTATGTGAAGGCGAAGAATTGTCTGTTGTTCCAAGAGTCCATCTCCTTCCTAGGACACCACCTGTCCGCGTCAGGTGTGGAGATGGAGATTGACCGCATTTTGGCCGTGTGTAATTGGCCGACTCCAACCACGGTGAAGGAGGTGCAGCGATTCTTGGGTTTTGCCAACTACTACCGGAGGTTTATCCGGGGCTTTGGTCAGGTAGCGGCTCTCATTACCTCCTTGATGAAGGGAGGACCGGTCTACAGTGGTCAGCTGAGGCGGACAGGGCTTTTGGTCATCTGAAGGACCTGTTTACTTCGGCTCCAGTGCTGGCTCATCCGGATCCCTCCTTGGCATTCCAGGTTGAGGTGGACGCATCCGAGGCTGGGATAGGAGCTGTACTGTCTCAGCGCTCGGGTACGCCACCAAAATTCCACCCCTGTGCTTTCTTTTCTAAGAAGCTCAGTCCGGCGGAGCGCAACTATGATGTGGGGGACCGGGAGCTGTTAGCTGTGGTTAAAGCTCTGAAAGTGTGGAGGCATTGGCTTGAGGGGGCTAAAAACCCTTTTCTCATTTTGACTGACCATCGCAATCTGGAGTACATCCGGGCGGCGAGGAGGTTGAACCCTCGCCAGGCAAGGTGGGCCATGTTCTTCACTCGTTTTGTGTTTACTCTTACTTACAGATCAGGTTCACAGAACGCTAAGGCAGACGCTCTGTCCCGACTGTATGACACAGAGGAGAGGTCCATTGAGCCCACTCCCATACTTCCGGCGTCGTGTCTGGTGGCACCGGTGGTGTGGGAGGTTGACGCGGGCAGGCTTCGGTGTTCGTCGTCACCGGAGTACTAGCTACTACCTATCCATGTGTCTATGTTCGACTTGTTTTGTCTTTAGTGGTCACACCTGTTTCCCATCATGTAGTTATGTCTTCCCTATTTAACCCCCTGTCTCACACTGTGTGTTGTGCGTGTTTGTTCATGTTTTGGTTGTCGTTAGTGTGTGGGTTTGTTCCTCCCTGCGTGGAGGTTTGTTCTTTCTATTACCTACGAGTAAAGCACGTTTTTTCGATTAGCTCTGTGTCCTGCGCCTGACTTCGTCCTACTGCATTACACTGACAACTTGACAAAAGGTTCTTCCTAGAACCCTCTATGAACAGTTCCACCAGCCTTATTAGCCTTTAAAATTAAACTCTTTATGACAATACATTACATATATCATATAGCCTTTCTTTGAGGGCATAGTTTTAACCCTAACACAGTGGTGTGTGTTCAGGCCTGCAAGTCACATTATGCTGGCTTGGAAAGTGATGATAGTAATTCCTATTGGAATCCAGCCAGAGTGAGGGTATCCAACAATAGGTACTTTTAATCACCTGCAACCTGCATTCAGAATAACTCCCAAGGTAGGGAAGATTGATAACTGAGACTACCTAAACCATCTAAACTGGAACAACCATCTCAGTAACGGGTGGAAAAAGTCCAACTACTAACAGATTCGATTAATTTAGAAAAATGTATGTTATTTATTTTTGTGTAGCATAAGATCAATCAATCAATGTACATGCAAAAACACAGATACTGAAACAAAAAAATATAAAAAATCAACCTGCTATAGAGCACGCTAGGTAATATGATAATGATGGGTGTGGTTTTGAGTGTTTTACTTTACACAGAGTACAAATGACACAATCACACTCACCTCTGGTTATTAACACCAACACTGGGGTTATTTTACACCACTGAGTGTTAATTTGCCTTTTTATAGTGTTAACTTAACTCCTGAATCAACTTTAGAAATGTTACACTGAAAAATCAACACTAGGTAAAACTGGCCAATTTGCTGTGTACAAATATTCCCATATAGGTACAGTTTTAAAAAATCTTACACCTTTCCTTTTAAGCTCAAGAGGGTTCAACTTTAAACACTGAGATAAACACGAATGCTCAGGCACTATTTAAAATAAAATAAAATACAATAAAAAAGCTTATTCAGATTCAGAAGGGTTCTATGTAGAACCCTTCTTGCCTTTCAAAGAATCCTTATTGTCATCCAAATAATCAGTTCTTAGGATGAGAAAGATTCTAGGTTGGACCCTTTGCCTTACAAAGAATCCTCATTTTCCAAAAAGGGTTCTTCAAATGAAAATGGTTATTGGTAGAACCCTATCCCTCTGCAAAGAACCATTTTGGAACCCTTTTTTCTAAGAGTGTACTGGTGCTCACCTGAGGATGAGGTCCTTGGCCCTCTCTGAGATAGGGACTTCCGGAGGGAACACCAGAGTCTCCTTCCAGTTCATCACCTTCTTATACGTCTCCTGGGGCGTCTCCGAACAGAATGGGGGGTAGCCTGGAGAGAGACAGGGAAACTTAGACAGCAATCCTAATTCAATCCTAACTTACTTCTTGCTTCTTTCGTTAGTGCCTGTGTTTCCAATCAACAAATCACTCCTACCAATCAGCATCTCGTACATGATGACCCCCAGGCTCCACCAATCACAGAGCTTGTTGTATCCGGTCTGCATGAACACTTCCGGGGCGATGTAGTCTGGAGTTCCCACAGTGGAGAAAGCCTGAGAGAGGGAGATGAGAGAGGAAAGGAGAGAGGAGAGGACAGGAGAGGAGAGAGGGTAAGAGGAACGCCCTGCTTTAGACACAGCCCAGTCAGTAAAACAACCTATAGCCCCCTAATGTTCTGAATTGACCTTAGCCTTTTCTCTTACCTTGCCATACAGTACATTTGCTGTGGAAACCAAGCTGACGTAACTGTAACTATGCTGTAAATGTCAGCCCATAAAAGGGACAGAAATCCAACCATCTGCACACCAGATGTGTACTGTATCTCTGCTACTACGCTGGCCTTCTTCACTTCATCTAGAAAATCAGGTCTATAAAGAACGACAGGCTCTCTAGCATGACAAAATGCGTTTTTGGAGATGCTCTACTCTTTACATGAGAGGACACTTTTTTTCCTATGAGTGAATGAACACATAGATAACCAACACATTTCAAAAACAGAGGCCATTGGTAAACCGTCATATACCATTATTAACAACTACAGTCATCTTTGCTGTGTTTATGAGGAAGTTTGGGGTTAAGACGATCCTCCAGTGGAGTAGTGACTGAAGGTAGCCAGAGCTCCATGACACTCACCAGCTGTCGTCTGTTCCTCTTCCAGGTCTCTGCTTTCCTCTTGGAGTTCATGTACTGAGACGCTGTGGAGAATAAATAATTTGTCTTAGGCACAACTCAGTTACAGCTACGCACCCAGGTGGAAGATTCATGACAAATCATGACAGATATATAGTTGTATTAGCTTCATAATTTGATCTACTTAAATGAATTGAGTATGCCTTTATGGTTGTACTCACTGAAGTCGTTGGAAACGCTGTGGTTGAGGTTCCTGTAGAACTCTGTCCGATGGGCCTTCTTCAACCCTGTACACAGGCCGAAGTCTGATAGCTTCACATGGCCCTGAACACACACACACACACGGTTATTTGTGTTATACCACTTCCTGGGGATGTTTCAGTAATACTGCATGACAACACCAGAGTGTTTCTGAAATCACACTTTCTGTGGAACTGTGTTTGTGGATTTATCATTTCAGACAGACTTGACACTCAGGAAGATCACCGCATTCTAATGCTGATGTCATCCTCCTGTGTGTGTGTTGATGTAATTTCAACTAGATTTCAACCTGTTTGAAATCTGTATGATTCCTTTTTTATAACCAAATAAATAAATAAATATGTAAATGGCATGTTATAGAAGGGTCCAGAGCGCTTTTTTGCGATTTCACTTGTTTTTGAGAAACTTATCCCAACCAGCGATTCACTTCCTCATCCTCGTTGTGCAGTACGGGGGGCTCTGAAAACACACGAACAAGTGCTCCAAAAACAACCAAATACGTCCTTTTAGAAACGGAAACGCTCTGAGTATAGTGATGCAGTTCTTTAGATGTTGTACACATAAAATTGTCATTCTGAACTTTATCTGCAACGTTATATTGCATTTTGCGCGACTCAAGCTGTTTCCCTTATCCAGCTGTTCCATTCTCCGTGTAGCTTGCTGCTAGTATAGACGGAGCAGTATCGCTCGAGTAGCAACTAAATTAAATATAACGTTCCAGATAAAGTTCCAAATGAAATACTTTTGTGTACAACATCTAAAGACCTGCATCACTATACTGACAGCTTTTCAGTTTCTAAAAGGACATATTTGGGTGTTTTTGGATGAGGAAGTGAATCGCTGGTTGCGTTAAGTTTCCCAAAAACAAGTGAAATCACAAAAAAGTGTCTGGACCATACTATAACATGACATTTACATTAAAATATATAGATTTTGTTGTAAAAAAGCAAAAAAAAGTAATGACGTTATTTCAACCAGATTTCAATCTGTTTGTAATGACATAATTTCAACCAGATTTCAACCTGTTTTAATGACAATATTTAAACCAGATTTCAACCTGTTTGTACTTATGTTTTTTATTTACTAGATTTTAACCTGTTTGTAATGACATAATTTCAACCAGACTCCAACCTGTGTGTAATGACGTAATTTCAACCAGATTTTAACCTGTTTGTATTCATGTTATTCCAACCAGATGTTTTACGTGTGTGTGTGTGTGTGTGTGTGTGTGTGTGTGTGTGTGTGTGTGTGTGTGTGCAGGCAGACAATCTGTGGGTGGTCAAGATGTTCGCTATTCTTGGAATAGTAAACAAACAATTTTGTTAGCCCCCACAAGGTCAAATGCTATTTCTAGGGGGTTTAGAGTTAAGATTAGAATCATTCCGCCCTCCCGTATCGTTGGCCCCGTGTTTTGGGACGTAGATGTGGACATCCGCCAGGCTCTGGAGAGGGAACCCATGCCTGCTACCTGCCCTCCTGAGCGCATCTACGTTCCCATGGGGGTGAGGGATCGGCTGTTGACCTGGGCGCACACATCCCTTGCCGCTGGACACCCAGGTATCACCTGCACCATTCAATCCATCTCCGCTAAGTACTGGTGGTCCACCTTGGCGCAGGACGTCGCCTGCTATGTCAACTCCTGCTCCATATGTGCCCAAACTAAATCTCCCTGGCACGCTCCAGCAGGGAAACTCCTTCCCCTTCCCGTGCCTCAGCGGCCTTGGTCCCATCTGTCCATAGACACTGATCTCCCTCCATCTGATGGTTTCACCACTATTATGGTTGTTGTGGACAGATTCTATAAATCCTGCCGTTTTATCCCTCTCTTTGGTCTCCCTACTGCTCTTCAGGTTGCTGAGGCACTGTTCCAGCAGGTCTTCCGGCACTATGGCCTTCCGGAGGACATTGTCTCCGACCGTGGCCCCCAATTCACGTTGCGGGTATGGAGAGCCTTCATGGATAAGCTGGGGGCCACGGCCAGCCTCACATCCGGGTACAGGCCTCAGTCCAACGGGCAGGTGGAGAGGACTAACCAGGAGCTGGGGAGGTTCCTTTGGACCGGCAGGGGGAGTGGGCCCGGTTCCTTCCCTGGGCGGAGTACGCCCAGAACTCACTTTGTCACTCCTCCACTGGGCTGACTCCCTTCCAGTGCATCCTGGGATATCAGCCAGCCCTGGCCCCGTGGACCCTGAGCCAGACCGAGTGATTCGGGCGCGCAGAGGAAGTTTAGAACGCTGCCCACATGAGGCTCCAGCGTGCCGTCCGTCGCCAGAAGTAGCTTGCTGACCGCCACCGCAGTGAAGGTCCCGTGTTCCATCCTGGTGATCACATCTGGCTCTCCACCAGGAACCTCCCGCTCCACCTGCCCTGCCGGAAGCTGAGTCCCCGGTTTGTGGGGCCCTTCAATGTCCTCCGGAGAGTCAATGAGGTAACTTATCGTTTAGAACTTCCCACCAACTACCGGATCTCACCCTCTTTTCATGTTTCCCTCCTCAGGCCGGTGGTTCTTGGTCCCCTGGCTGGTGCCGTTCCCCGCGACACCCCTCCGCCTCCCCTGGACATCGATGGGACCCCTCCTATGCCGTCAGGTCCCTACTGGACTCCTGACGTTGTGGGGGTCGGCTTCAGTACCTGGTGGACTGGGAGGGGTACGGTCCAGAGGAGCGCTGTTGGGTCCCGGTGGCCGACATCCTGGACCCCAATATCATCCGGGATCTCCGCCATCCGGACCGGCCTGCTCCTCGCTCTCGGGGGTGTACTCCTGGCTGGCGTCGTCCTGCGGCTAGGGCCGCGCGTCAGGGGGGGTACTGTCACGCCTACTCCCGCTGCCCCTCTCAAGCGCTTGACGTCGCCAGTCTACTAACCACCGGTCCTGGCACCATCATTGCGCACACCTGCTCCCCATCACTACGCACACCTGGACCTCATCATCACCTTGATTATTCTCCCTTTATTTAGCCCTCAGTAGCCTCAGTCATCAGGCAGTATTGGTTTTGTTCTCGTTCAGTACGCTTCTCCTGTTTTGTTTATCTGCCTTCTCTTATCATTAAACTTACCTTCTGCACCTGCTTCCTGACTCCAAGCGCATACATTACAGAGTGTGTGTGTGTGTGTTTGCTTGCATGTATGTATTATATAGCATGTTCTGTGTATATGTACCTTAGAGTCCAGCAGTACATTGTCAGGTTTGATGTCTCTATGTATGAAGCCCATCTGGTGTATCGAGTCTACGGCCAGGACCGTCTCAGCCACATAGAACTGAGTCTCTTCCTCTGACAGAGTATCCTTCTTCATCAGCAATGTCATCATGTCACCTGCAGGGAGTGCCACAAAGAGCATCAGCATCACACACATACACACAATTGCAAACATGCACGCGCACACGTGCACACACATACACACACACCTCCAGGTAGGAACTCCATGAGTAGGTAGAGGTTCATCTTGTCCTGGAAGCTGTAGAACATCTTGACCACCCACAGACTGTCTGCCTGCACCAGGATGTCCCTCTCAGCCCGGATATGGCCCACCTAACATAGAAACACAAGACATAGATCACATAAAATGAACACACACACACACTACACAAGGCTAAAGGATGAATGTGGAGTAACCCTGTGGCCTTAGATACAGTACATGTCCTTAGATACAGTATATGTCCTTAGATACAGTATATGTCCTTAGATACAGTATATGTCCTTAGATACAGTACATGTCCTTAGATACAGTATATGTCCTTAGATACAGTATATGTCCTTAGATACAGTATATGTCCTTAGATACAGTATATGTCCTTAGATACAGTACATGTCCTTAGATACAGTACATGTCCTTAGATACAGTACATGTCCTTAGATACAGTACATGTCCTTAGATACAGTATATGTCCTTAGACACAATTCATGTCAGAGCTGAGCGAATAAAAGAGACGCAGGGCTCTATTATCAGCAGGCGCTAAGGAGGCGCAAGTGTCAAACACACAATAGTTTGCAATTTCGTCAAGTAAAAACTGGCGCACTGACATTTTCCAGCCCTTACGCCAGGTTCAGCAATTTACATCAGCTCGCTTGCGCTGAGGTGGGAGGAGTGGCAATATTTGAGGTATGTCCTTAAAAACAAGCGCATAGTGACAATTTCATGCAGTGCTAAAGGGAAGTTAAGACCTACCAAAAACAGGACTTAACGGTAACACAGTTGGTAACGGCATGGATTTTGAGAGCGGAAGTGCAGGCTATCCAGCCGTGGCGCACAGTACCCATGGAACGAGAGATGTGCCTTTTGTGCCGCTGAATCTCGTATTTAGAAACATAAAAAACTATTGGTTCCCCCCCCCATTTCGTTTAATTTGATTAAAAACCAAGCATAGCCTACCCTCCCCTTAATCAAGGCTGGTTTAGCAGCTTCGCATAGGTGCATCTTTTAATCCTGGCCATGCATTATCTAAATAGCCTATGAATGAAGAGGTTTTAAATGGTCTACTGAGAGTGCCTTGAAATATTTTGGAGGTCTTTGCTCTCATTCTTTTTTATGATTCACAATTCACATACCTGTATACTTCTCTTCATTTCGCTTGTTCAAGTAGGCTATCCATCCCCATTTCAAAGAGCGCACCTCATCCGATTACAAAAGACACGCTCCTCCAAACTATTCAGTCCTCCTATAATGTCATATCAATGGCCAATTATTTTTTTGATGTGCCTCGCACATAGGCAACGAAATAATTGACAGGAGCCTAGTATTTAAATAGACGTGCGAATGTTATGTAAAGACATTGACGTCTATGTGTGCACACGGTGCAACGAAACGAGAGATGCGATTTATGATATCACGCTTCTGACCCCATCCTATTTAGAAATATTGTTGTTGTTTAAAAAACCAGATTGCTTGTTTTTTATTTAATTTGATTAAAAACTAAACCTAGCCCCCCCTCCCCTCAATGAAGGCTGTTTTTTTGGGTTCTGCCCAATGCATTGGCCAAATAGCAGCCTATCAATAAATGGTTTGGCTCGTGAGACTGCTTTGAAATAAATATTAATCACCAAAGCTTTATTAAAAGATCAAGTTTGGGAGCAGCAAAACAGTGAGCGGACATCCCCTTTTTATAATAATTTTTGCCTACTCACGTTATTATTTTGGATGTGCGTAAAAGCAACACCTTTTAAATAGGCTATGCCTAAATACAGTTACAGGCACCAGAATTGCACCCTGTGGGTACAGTGAGGGAAAAAAGTATTTGATCCCCTGCTGATTTTGTACATTTGCCCACTGACAAAGAAATGATCAGTCTATAATTTTAATGGTAGGTTTATTTGAACAGTGAGAGACAGAATAACAAACAAAAAATCCAGAAAAACGCATGTCAAAAATTTTATAAATTGATTTGCATTTTAATGAGGGAAATAAGTATTTTACCCCCTCTCAATCAGAAAGATTTCTGGCTCCCAGGTGTCTTTTATACAGGTAACGAGCTGAGATTAGGAGCACACTCTTAAAGGGAGTGCTCCTAATCTCAGCTTGTTACCTGTATAAAAGACACCTGTCCACAGAAGCACTCAATCAATCAGATTGCAAACTCTCCACCATGGCCAAGACCAAAGAGCTCTCCAAGGATGTCAGGGACACGATTGGCTGGAATGGGCTACAAGACCATCGCCAAGCAGCTTGGTGAGAAGGTGACAACAGTTGGTGCGATTATTCGCAAATGGAAGAAACACAAAAGAACTGTCAATCTCCCTCGGCCTGGGGCTCCATGCAAGATCTCACCTCGTGGATTTGCAATGATCATGAGAACGGTGAGGAATAAGCCCAGAACTACACGGGAGGATCTTGTCAATGATCTCAAGGCAGCTGGGACCATAGTCACCAAGAAAACAATTGGTAACACACTACGCCGTGAAGGACTGAAATCCTGCAGTGCCCGCAAGGTCCCCCTGCTCAAGAAAGCACATATACAGGCCCGTCTGAATGAACATCTGAATGATTCAGAGGAGAACTGGGTGAAAGTGTTGTGGTCAGATGAGACCAAAATCGAGCTCTTTGGCATCAACTCAACTCGCCGTGTTTGGAGGAGGAGGAATGCTGGCTATGACCCCAAGAACACCATCCCCACCGTCAAACATGGAGGTGGAAACATTATGCTTTGGGGGTGTTTTTCTGCTAAGGGGACAGGACAACTTCACTGCACCAAAGGGACAATGGACGGGGCCATGTACCATCAAATCTTGGGTGAGAACCTCCTTCCCTCTGCCAGGGCATTGAAAATGGGTCGTGGATGGGTATTCCAGCATGACAATGACCCAAAACACACGGCCAAGGCAACAAAGGAGTGGCTCAAGAAGAGGCACATTAAGGTCCTGGAGTGGCCTAGCCAGTCTCCAGACCTTAATCCCATAGAAAATCTGTGGAGGGAGCTGAAGGATCGAGTTGCCAAACGTCAGCCTCGAAACCTTAATGACTTGGAGAAGATCTGCAAAGAGGAGTGGGACAAAATCCCTCCTGAGATGTGTGCAAACCTGGTGGCCAACTACAAGAAACGTCTGACCTCTGTGATTGCCAACAAGGGTTTTGCCACCAAGTACTAAGTCATGTTTTGCAGAGGGGTCAAATACTTATTTCCCTCATTAAAATGCAAATCAATTTATAACATTTTTGACATGCGTTTTTTTCTGGATTTTTTTGTTGTTATTCTGTCTCTCACTGTTCAAATAAACCTACCATTAAAAGTATAGACTGATCATGTCTTTGTCAGTGGGCAAACGTACCAAATCAGCAGGGGATCAAATACTTTTTTCCCTCACTGTATATAATTTTAAGGTGTCTACCTTAATATTACACTACCAGTCAAAAGTTTGGACACATCTACTCATTCAAGGGTTTTTCTTAATTTTTTACTATTTTCTACATTGTAGGATAATAGTGAAGACATCAAAACGATGAAATAACACATATGGAATCATGTAGTAACCAAAAAAGTGTTAAACAAATCCAAATATATTTTTATATTTGAGATTCTTCAAATAGCCACCCTTTGCCTTTATGACAGCTTTGCACACTCTTGGCATTCTCTCAACCAGCTTCATGAGGTAGTCACCTGGAATGCATTTCAATTAACAGGTGTGCCTTGTTAAAAGTACTGTATATGCCCACAGGGAGCAATTCTGGTGCCTGTAACTGTATTTAGACATAGCCTATTTAAAACAAGTTGTTGTTTTGTTTTGATTAGAATTTTATTCGAATTATTCACTCTCTTTAAGAATATAATATTGCTTATTGACAACGTCTGACATGTCCATGGCTCAGACATGGCAGACATAATGCAATTTACAGTAGGCCTAGCCCCTATATCAGTGTGAATGCTATGTTCAACAATATATCTGTATTTCCATATTGAAGCCATGCAATAAGGCTTCTTACAATGTGGATTGCAAACATGTTCAACATATTTAGCAAAGATGGGATAGGCCTACATACATTTTGTTATGCTGTTCCTGTAGGCTATTTAACAAACTAAGCTATAATGGACTCAGTTGATGAAAAAGCAATACATAAAAGACCGTACACAACTTGAAGCAACCACATATTTAGCCATGGAGCATGTTCTGATTGACCAGAGAGGGGTCAAGCCTCAACACACCTACAACTTGTTTATTCATCAAAACCCAGCCTTTTCGTGCCACCTCCAGCTACCGCACCCATAATTCCGGTTGTCAAATAGCTCAAATATTTCTGACACGCCCCTTAACCTATAGTGCTACCGCCTGCGCTATGATTTACCATTGTGTTAGGTTTGTTAAAATAGAGCCCACAGAGACAGATACTGAGAGAGACAGAGAGAGAGACAGGAAAGAGAAACACACACACACACACCTGTTCCTTCTCCAGCATGTCAGCCTTGCGCAGGATCTTCATGGCATAGACATGACCTGTGTCCTTCTTCTGGACCAGACGCACCTGTGGGTCAAAGGGCAAAGGTGAGCCAACATGGCCAACATGAGTTCATGAGGTCATGGCCAATGGGAGGGGATTTACATCATCGTCATCATCAAATCATTTTCTGAAACAGTGGATTAGGCAGTTGAGACTGAAAAACACAGGACTGTAGGGGAGAGTGGGGTAAGTTGAGCCACCCTTGTTTGTCGGAAACCATACACACAATGTATAGTTTGACCAAATATTTAGGAAGAGGTCATCATTTTATGGAGTCTGTGAAGGAAGAAATCACATGGAAAAATATTTTCACCAAGTCAAATTAATTGATTGTGTTAAATATTTCATGATGCTTGTACCTAAACCAAAGCATAATTTTGGGGGGGATTGGTCTATACATCAGTTGGGGCTTCTATAAGCTTCAACAGGAGGTCCTAAACCTATCATGAAAGTGCATCCTTGTAGCTTTGTGGGCTAATATAGTCAAAATGTTAAGTTGAGCCAATGGCCATCGGGTAAATTGAACTAATCGTTGAGCCAATGTCAAGTTGAGCAAATTGAAGTGTTTTCTTCCCAGGCGTAATGCAAGGCATTATCGCTGGCATGAGGTGACAACAGGGTCTGGCCTATGTTAAAAGTGTTGGTTAGGTGTTAAGCCTGTGTTAAAAGATGCTTACAATTATTAAAAGACAAAAAGCAATTGTGATTGTGTTGAATTTGGGAAATAAAGATAGACATGGTTTTAAAAAGGTAGTGATAATATTTCAATCAGTACAGGAGGCTTAACTTACCCCATACCCGGGTCAAATTGTACCAATAGGCCACTTTTTTTGGACAAGCTATGTTTTCAAAACTGTAACGTTTATATGAATTCTGATTATTTCCAGGGATACACAACAATTTGAAATATATGCAGATATCAGTGATGCTGAATGTAAAAAAAATCTCAACTTACCCCACTCTCCTCTATTGCTGCTGAGTGATAGAGAACTTACAGCAGGCAGTAGAGAAAATGGAAAGATCCACTCCAGAGCATGATAACAAACATAACTCAGCTACGCTTTATTGACGGACCCACTTTTTACCTCGCAAAGCTATTATATTGTGAAATGATAACTAATTACATAGTAATAACCTAATTAGGATTTCAATAGCTCTATGTATGCTTACCTCTCCAAAGGCCCCTCGACCAATCACCTTGAGGGACTCAAAATCTTCCAATCCCAGCCTGGTTCTCTTCAGCCTCAGGAACTCTGTCTCCTTACGCGCGTGCTGGGAGCGCCGCATACACTTCTGCAACACAGGGTGTGTGTAAGTGTGTGTGTGTGTGTGTGTGTGTGTGTGTGTAAGTGTGTGTGTGTATGTGTGTGTGTGCTACTACACTCACCTCCTCATCAGGCAGTCCCTCCTCATCCATCACCCTCTCCAGCTTCTGTTGCCTGGCAATAAGATAGGGGTCAGGGGTCAAGAGTCAAAGGTTAGGGTCAAATATGTTGATTCAGGAAGTCACCTCCCGGCCTGCAGCTCCATACTGATCACTACACTACCTGTTCTATAATTTCTATGGGGCAGTTATAGAGGAATGGTAACAGAACAGGAATGACTCATTCATATGTTCTCAAAGAGAAACAAACCATAAATACTTTCCTTGAAAAAATTTGAGGGAGCTTAGCCAAACCAGCTCCCATAACTCTAGTATATTCTCCTTTCTAAGCAGGTCTGTGACAGCATGAACAATATTCTTTGTGTGGACTCTTTTGGCACAGCCCGTTGGTGGGTAGGTTGAGCTGTGACTGGGTGTTTACTTTGTGCATAACTTTCTTTTTCATATGCCTCTAACGTCTTCTGAAGTCATAAATATGACATACAACTGCAGCCCCTCGACAAACTGTATTAACTGTATAAACCGTATAACTTTTCAAACACACTCTCTCTCGACTAAACAGAGCTCAACAGAACACACAGCACTGACAAGACACTATCTGGCCACATATACAAAGCTAAACAGTGGGTGTTCAAAACTGTTAAAACTGACGGATTACTGGCACTTTAGCACAACAGAGTTCCTGGGTAAAGGTATACAATTATTTAATTTGACCTTATCCCTGGCATTTCTGGATTCAGGTTTTATTGAATGGGAGTGCATTTTTAATTCAACAACTGAATATGAATATCCCAGGACCCTGGTAGGACTGCTGAAGCTCAACAGTGGGTAAATCAACATCTTATCAAACTAAAAGTACTTCCAGATGCATTGTGAAAAGCATTAGTCATGGGAAAAGCACATTTCACAGACACACTGAAACATTGTTCAGACTTATTTTACTTCTGCATTTATTGTATTGTATTGCCTAAATGCATTGGCAGGGTGCGGTTACACCCATTTCTCCCCCAGGCAGGGTGAGGCTCTAAGCAGAGAGAGAGGTCAAGTTAAAGTCAGTGACGTGTAACACTTCTATTCTCTCTTCCTCTTGTTTGTGACAAGCCACTGTGCTGCCTTCTCAGCTTCTGACATGTTTTAAGGAATTATCTTTGCTTTTCAGAAACCTTTCAATATGAATGATCTTCCTAGTTCCAGTATGTGAGAGCGTGTGTGTGTGTGTTAATGCCATAACACCTACCTCATCTCTCTCTCCTCATGCTGGGATATCAGGTTACTGTAGAAGTTCTCCAGGGTCACCTTAGCCATGGTCACTCTCTCCTTGGTGTGGTTACTCATCGAGGAGCAAGAGGAATGACCCCTCATCGCCATGGGTTACCTACCTACCCCCCCCCCCCGACACACACGCAAAAATTGGAGCACACATTAGTGTAAAGTATCCTATGTCCTACTATCTACGGATGTCCTCTATTCTATGGGCTCTGTTGAAGACAATTAATTGTCAGGCTGGGTGAGCTGCATGTTTGTGTAAGTGTGTGTGTGGACACACAATGCATCAGAACAGACACATTACGAGAGATGACTGGTTGTAAAGATAGCCATAGCCTCTCACTTCAAACACAGCTTTGAATCGGCATGAGTCACACATGCCCTCTCCACTCTGGTGTCTGTCTGCCATGAGTCCACACACAGCCCCTCAAGTAAACACCACAAGCTCTGGACAGCCAAGACAGAGACAATGAGACAGTCTCTACTAGGGATTTATACTCTCCATCAGCGGACACTCAAAAAAGATGTGAAAGCTTGAGTTGTGCGAGGTGAGAGAGAGAGAGAGAGAGAGAGAGCAAGAGAAAGAGACTATATGAAACAGACTCCTCTTGCAATAGCATTTCTCCTGAAAACTAAACTCATGATTTGTGGTCTGTAATGCTAGGCCGAGGACATTAAATTATCCCTGTTTAGACAAAGCAGAAGAACAGTATCCCAGAGAATGTGGAGCAACCAAGGTGAACATTTGTTTTATTTTGGATATTCAGTGGATATTCGGTTTTCTCTCGTCAATAACTATGGAACCAAGCATGCCATGAGTATTATTATTTTATATTTTTTACAAAATAAGGTTTAGTATTTCAATCTTCATTTTCATAGTCATGGCACACTTTGTTTAAGAGCCATTGAATATTGAAATCCGGAAAAACAATAAATATAACTAAATATGTTACTTATTTTTTTACTTTGATTTTTCTCCATCCTCCCCTGATTCAGAATATATCATTTTCATAGTCATGGCGGGCTTTGTTTATTTGTTTAAGGGCTATAGAAGATTGAAATCCGAAAAAAGTTGTTTGTATTTTATACACACAAAAAAAGGTTTGGATTGTTCTCCACCACTCCTGATTCAGAATATGTCATGGCATGCTTAGTTCAATAGCTATTGGCGAGAGAAAACCGAATATGCACCGAATATCCAATAGAAACATATTTTTCCTCGGTTGTGGAGCAGACCGAATTCCGTGAAATGAGAAAGGAGGCAGCGGCACAGACAGAGGCCATTCACACCTCCCAGCCTCCAACAGCGGTAAAGGAAAAAAGTATAAAAAGAAACAGTTGTTTAATTAACTGTGTGTACTCTTATCACTAGACCGTCTGCACTGCGTATACTATTAACCCATTGTGAACTAAACCGCAAATTGTCTTCAGGTGTGACTGAAGACCAGCCTAGGTCAGCTTCAGACTCATAAAATTAGAATATACAGTATGAAATGGTAATTTTTCAGATTTTCTTTTTTTTTAACTACATTTAGTTTGGCCAAAGAATTGCTATATTTTCCTTGAGAAAGGGTGGACAAATAAACTCATTTGGAGGAAAAGACTTAAGGGAAAATAAAAGTATATAAAGGCCAGGAAATAGTCTAAAGCCGATGAAATGAGAATAAGGTGTTGGCATCTAGATACAATTAGAGGTAATTGTAGGCTTCAATTGACCTTTAAAGAAAAAACTAAACTACCTAGCTACAGTAGTCAAATGCGGGTGTTACACTTTTAATAGCTTACAGATAGTCCTACAATAAAAAGGAACACACACAGGTATGCGAAATGTTTGACCGTTCTGCATTAATGGTATGGTTGGTAGGACTTTTTTGTGTAGACGAGGCTACTCAAAATAGCCACCCAGGCTGGAGAGAGGAGCCTTTGTTTTACCCTTGCGGACTTCCTAAAGTAAATCCCCATATCTACCAAATGCTATTATCTAAATCTGAACTCTTTAATAAAAGGTTACGATCACATATTGTTCAAATAAAGTAGCTGAGCGATACACTAGTACGCTCGTTTCTACTGGTTGCTTTGTTCAGAAAAGCCTAAACATCTGCTAAGCGAGAGATCGCTTTTTACCCCAACTCCCAAGCAACTACTACCTTTAGAAGGTTCATGAGATCAGTTGTTATGCCACATCTACAACGTCTCCATGATCATTGTCATATTAAATGTTACTCTCAGTCTCACCTCCTCTGTTATGGCGTCAATCGTTTAAATTCAAGTCGGATCCGCTCCCCTCGCTCGAGTCTGATGATGTTGACGGTCGGTATCCATTCGAATTACGGGAAGTGAAGTGCCCCTCCCCATAGAGCTCCAAATGACCCCGGGCCTCTATTACCGGGGCCATGGTCGTGTGGGCTGCTAGGATCAGTTTCAGGCTAGATCGAGGTAATGATGATGATGGTGATTATGTTGTTCATGATGATAGTGATGATTATAATAATAATGATTGATGATAGGCTGCCCTGACCCTTAATAGTATTCAAAGAGGCATGGCAGAATTATTTAGGTCACTTTCAACTATCACCTCCACCCCTCATACCCTACTATGTGAAGTAACCCCTAAGATCCCTCTAAATATAGCCTAATATTCATCATAGCTGTCAAAAGTGGCCTATTTGTCATCCTTTGGCATTAACCTACAGATCTATTATCAACATATGATAATATGTTTTATGAGTGTAGGTCACAGGTGAACTGTGTGCCACTGTTCCATCCATACTTATACATGCATTAAAGTAACTGTCCAGTGAAAATCTCACTTTTAAAAGTTAATATTCTGTTAACTCATACCCAAATAATGTTGTTGACTCATTCTATACTCATATTTGTGGCCAAAGCATAAATTGGAGGGGGAAAAAAAACTTCAAAAGCCCCACCTCAAACTTCTATCTATTACCTCATAGAGGATGATGTCATCGGATGAGCTGGCCAATCAGCGTCTACTCACATGATTATTTTTAAGGATCTATTATTTTCAGACCTCAGCTGAATCTGGTAATGAATGGTGTGGCTGTTGAACAAGTTGAGGAGACAAGTCTTGTGTAGCTCAGTTGGTAGAGCATGGCACTTGCAACGCCAGGGTTGTGAGTTCAATTCCCACTGGGGACCAGTATAAAAGAAAAAATTGTATGAAAATGTATGCACTCACTACTGTAAATCACTCTGGATAAGAGCGTCTGCTAAATGTCAAAATGACACTAAATTACTTGGTGTTACCGTAGATTGTAAACTGTCAAAGCATATTGATTCAATGGTTGTAAAGATGGGGAGAGGTCTGTCCGTAACAAAGAGATGCTCTGCTTTTTTGACACCACACCCCACAAAGCAAGTCCTGCAGGCTCTAGTTGTATCTTATCTTGATTATTGTTCAGTCATATGGTCAAATGCTGCAAAAAAATACCTAGTTAAACTGCAGCTGGCCCAGAACAGAGCCGCATGTCTTACTCTTCATTGTAATCAGAGGGCTAATATTAATACAATGCATGCCAGTCTCTCTTGGCTAAGAGTTGAGGAAAGACTGACTGCGTTTCTTCTGGTTTTTAAAAGAAACATGAATTTGTTGGAAATTCCAAATTGTTTGCATAGTCAATTTACACACAGCACTGACACACACACTTACCCCACCAGACATGCCACCAGGGGTCTTTTCACAGTCCCCAGGTCCAGAACAAATTCAAGGTAACGTACAGTATTATACAGAGCCATGAGTGCATGGAACTCCCTTCCATCTTATATAGTGCAAGTGAACAGCAAACCTGGTTTAAAAAAACAAATAAAACAACACCTCACGGTCTCCCCCATGTGACCTACTTGTTGTGTGTATGTACTGACATGTATGTGTAACTGATAGATGCACACACACTACATGTTAATGTTTTTAAATGTATGTCAATTGTTAAGTATTTTGTCTGTAATGTCTTTTTCATTATGTGTCGGACAGCAGTAAGACTAGCTGTTGCCATTGGCGTCGGCTAATGGGGATCCTAATAAAACAACAACAACAACAACAACACAATACACCCACACCATTCTGTTGTTGGCGTACACCCACCCCATTACAACACAGAAAGAAAAGCTGCTTTTTAACATACTTAATTTAAAAAATTGGAAGGAAAACTATTTATCTCATATTGTAATGAATAATAGGTCATATTTCGTAGAAATCTGGAAACACTGGATAGTTACTTTAACGTAGATGGACACTAGGTGGCAACGATGTCCTATACGTCTGCACTAAGCAACCTTGAAAGACAATTTTGTTTGGACTCAGGTTAGTAGCTAACTGTTAAATCAAGCAGATATCTCAGGAGATATCTGAGGCACGCCCCTATTCCATCCAAGTTTTGAAATTATTTGTAAATGCTGTCTTTTTCACACAAGCTAAAAAAATGCAGGTTTAAATTGATGCTCTTGAACGCACTTCGCGCTGGGGTCCTCGACTGCAACGGAAGTGACCAGTGTTTTACTGACGGTTAGTGCTATCTGGGATCCTTTGGAACGTCCCTAATCCTAAACCCTAACCTTAACCCATTTTAAATGTCAACTTCAATGGGGATCCCAAGGATCCCAGATTGCATTTTTCTGACAGCAGCTAATGTTAGCATAAGTTAGCCAGTCCCGGTTAGTGCTATCAGGAATCATTGGGATGACCCTACCCTAAACCTTACCTAACCCATTTTCAATTGAGATTTGAAATGACAATTTTCGCTCCCAAATGGCTCTCCGTTCAAAATGCTTAAAAGTCGATCTTGAACCAAGGAGAAATTGCAAAGACAAAAAGTAGGCTACTATTTATTCCAAATTGTGAGATGAGCGTACTAATACATTTTTACCTGGAGAAATTATTAGATCACCTGTAAAAAATAAAATAAAAATAAAAAAAACGTTATTTTTACAACTCTGCAAAAATGAGTTTAGACCAGAATGAAGCACTCTCACAACTATGTATTGTTTCTGCAGTGAGGATTCACCCTCTTTAGATAATTATTTTGTAATTTATCTGCAGGTAATCGTTGTTTTGAGCTCAAAAAGCAGTAGTAGCTGTATGTAAATCAGGGAGCCAAATGAACGGCTCTTTCTGGCTTTCACAGATGCGATTCGGTTCCCAACGTTCACCAAAAGATCCGTTCAAAAAGAGCCGTTCGTTCGCGAACGATCCATCACTAGCATCAGCTATCCAGTGGGACGGCCAGTGCTATCTGGAATCCTTCGGACACCCATTTTACATTTGAACTTCATGGGGTAGGGACGTCCCAAGGATCCCGGATAGCACGTACCCCGGTGGGACGTTGGAGTGGTCCCCGACGTGTTGTGGATCCTGCCTGTATTAACGTTCGCTTAGTGCTTTCCCACCATTTCTACGCCGTAAACTGTAAGACTGCAGCTACAACCCTACCAACGAGTCAGTCATTCAACGCGCTGTGAAGTGCCTCGACACCCTGCTGCCCTGTTTACTCGCCAGGTCAGTGGCTCCTTGGCAAACTGCTAGCCCACTGCTAACTAGTTAGCTAGCTGTCATTGTGGTGGGGGAAGGGTGCGTTTTTCGTACAGTAGTGGCAAATCAACGGATGGATTTCTAGAGATCCGCGGAGGAAACATTGACAGTTACATTGTAAATTCATCGAGGGATATCATGTGAAATAGCTTTGTGTCATGTCATTTGCTAGTGTTGTAGTTAGCCATCTAACTAGCCAGTTTTAGCCGGGATGCCACCGTTCAACAGACTGCCTGCCTGTCATATATATATATGTGTGCCTGTCATTTAGTGGGACAGCAGAGAAACCACTAGCAGCTTCTAGACAGGTTTAAGAGTTGCAGCATAATTGTATTGCATATGATTGCTCTCAATTCCCATTGATCTTCCCTTTGATTTTCATTGACGTCAGTATCAAACTCAGTTACTTTGCATGACTTTTTGACTGATATAGGTGCTAACGTTGCAAGTGGAAACTAGCCTGTTGGGAATGACCTGGGGTCTGACTGACTGACTGTTTCTGCATCAGATAACGTTACATTTGCTGCTTTGCTTTTATTTTCCTGCATAAGTAAAATCAGGATTATGTCTCTACTGCCATTCATTCCAATTAGACTGGGTTGGATTTCTCTCTGACCAATATGGCTGCCATTTTCACCCCATTCTGACCATTATGGAACATTGAGGGTTAATGACATAGTCCCTCTGGTAATTTTAATAAGATCTCTATGGGCTAAGATTTGTTTGAGAAGCCTCATGTTTAGTGGAGTGTGACGGCAGGACCTGCCATATCCTGCCCCATCACCTCTTTAAGACTGTGGCTGCACAGTGTTTTATAACCCAGAACTGGGTGAACAGGAACGTACTCGTGCGTATGGCAATAGATAACCCGTACTGGTCCTAGGGTTCTTTCTTATTCTCACTTTCATTCTCAACTATTTTTTGGAGCTATCCCACCACATCCTTCCTTCCTCTCGCTCACTTTCACTGAAGTGAGAACTTGTGTGAAATGAAATGAGTTCAGTTCAGTAAAACAGTTAAAGAAGCCGCTGGCAAGAGAGAATTACTAGAGCAAACAGAACTCCCAAGTCCTATTTCAGCACCTAGCCTACATGTAAGCCAACCTCACATTACCTGTTCTCTCCTCTTCCACCCCTCAGTGTGCGGCCCCATTGTGGATCCCCAGCTCCAGCGAGCGGCGGGGGGAGGCAGAGCCAGAGGCTGAGGCAGAAGGCACAGCGCTAGCAGGGCCATGAACATCACCGGGTACCAGCAGCAGCAGGGTGATTTTCAGACACGCCGAGGCACACTCAGGGAGAGGGATCCTAGGCAGGGTGTGGGCATGGAGACAGCCTGCTGCCTGGCCCCTGGAGCCCTGCGCAGACTGATTGAGCTGCCCGCTCCCCCGCTCGACCGCCATCAGCTGAAGAGATTGGAGGAGCACAGGTACTGTCATAGGAAAATCTAAGATCAATCAAATCCATATTTAGCTTTGATCTGATGATCATATGGTATGTGTTTTATACTTAGCGTCATTACATCAAACATTTTTAGATTAAAAAGCTCCTGTTTGTGAATTCTTAAACCTGGTTGATGGATTCTTGTTCCTGCTGTCTGGTTCAGAGGGGTATTCCAGAAAGCCGGATTAGTGAGTTAGCAAGATCTGTCAAAACAGAATTTGAGCAAACTCAGAATTTCTGGTTCCAGAAAGAGAACTTGATGTATAGTCTGATCAGAAACTATAGCAACGAATGCTCTGAAGAAAACCTGCTAACTACTAGGTAAGCTTGATATTAGCCTGTTCAAGTGAATAAAGACAGGGCTTCTCCGGCAATCAGATTCTTGTCCGTCAATATGGCCTGACCCTTTGCGGAAAATCCAATTGACATCGAAGCCTGCATTGTTTGCCGTGCATTACAAAGGGAACAAATTATTGGACCTCGAATAGATCCTTTAGATCATTCAGAATATTTTATTTTGGAATGTTATTGTTTTTCCGCACAATCAATCATACACTGAGTGTACAAAACATTAGGAACATCTTCCTAATATTGAGTTGCACCCCCTTTTGCCCTCAAAACAGCCTCAATTCGTTGGGGCATGAACTCTACAAGGTGTCAAGTGTTCCACAGGGATGCTGGCCCATATTGACTCCAATGCTTCCCACAGTTGTGTCAAGTTTGCTGGCTGTCCTTTGGGTGGTGGACCATTCTTGATACACACAGGAAACTGTTGAGCGTGAAAACCCAGCAGCATTGCAGTTCTTTACTCAAACCGGTGCGCCTGGCACCTACTACCATACCCCGTTCAAAGGCACTTAAATATTTTGTCTTGCTCATTCACCCTCTGAATGGCACACATACACAATCCATGTCTCAAGGCTTAAAAATTATTCTTTAACCTGTCTCCTCCCCTTCATCTACACTGATTGAAGTGGATTTAACAAGTGACATCAATAAGGTATCATAGCTTTCACCTGGATACCCCTGGTCAGTCTGTCATGGAAAGAGCAGGTGTTCTTAATGTTTTTTACACTCAGTGTATATCTGGCGAACTTACTCAACCCGTAGCAATGTAACCCAACACGGTTTCGCTTTGACTGTTATACAAACTCTGTATTGCGTTGTGACTTTTTTGCCACTGTAAGTTTCCTGTACAATGTGGGGGATGCTGAACGATTTGGCAAGGCAACTGTGTGTAGAGCTGTAAGAAGATTCTGCCTCGCATTGAATAAATAGTTTATGTCTTTGCTGCATTCCCTGGCCATCAAGCTGTCCATATAATCAAGGAGGACTTTTACAGAATTGCAGGTCCAGTAGGCTGTGGTCAGTTGACTGCCACTGATGCTTTGCTAAATTAAAAGGCAACATAATAAAGTAGAAAATCGCCTAATTCATCCCACATATTTTCCAAACGTGATTGATGCTATAGATGGGACACATATCCCCCATTCAAAGACCCTCTGGACCAAATGAAGGAGACTACATAAATATAAAATCTTATTACAGAATAAACAAACGGGTAGCTATTGAATACTGTAGCCTACACTTTCACCAAAACAAATCATTTTCAGAAACAGGATTCAATTCAATGATCTTCCTTACTTATTTTTTCAGATGATCTGTGACTCCCATTGGGTTACAACTAAACATAGAACACATTGTTGCCTGTGTTGACATGACAAGCACTCTGTAGTCAATAAATTATAATTCATCCAACATAGGCTATGGAATGGGCCTACCATTGCAATTGTGACATAGGCTACTACAACTTACATATTAGGCTATAGCCTTGACATGTAATATCACCCGTTTTGCAATAAAAGTGCAACTGGATCCTGGACTTCCTGACGGGCCGCCCCCAGGTGGTAAGGGTAGGTAACAACACATCTGCCACGCTGATCCTCAACACAGGGGCCCCACAGGGGTGCGTGCTCAGTCCCCCTCCTGTACCCATGACTGCATGGCCAGGCACGACTCCAACACCATCATTAAGTTTGCAGACGACACAACAGTGGTAGGCCTGATCACCGACAACGATGAGACAGCCTATAGGGAGGAGGTCAGAGACCTGGCCGTGTGGTGCCAGGATAACAACCTCTCCCTCAACGTGACCAAGACAAAGAAGATAATTGTTGACTACAGGAAAAAAAAAGAAAGAGGATTGAGTACGCCCCCATTCTCATCGACGGGGCTGTAGTGGAACAGGTTGAGAGCTTAAAGTTCCTTGGTGTCCACATCACCAACAAACTATCATGGTCCAAACACACCAAGACAGTCGTGAAGAGGGCACGACAAAGCCTATTACCCCTCAGGAGACTGAAAAGATTTGGCATGGGTCCTCAGATCCTCAAAGTTATACAGCTGCACCATCGAGAGCATCCTGACTGGTTGCATCACCGCCTGGTATGGCAACTGCTCGGCCTCCGACTGCAAGGCACTACAGTGGGTGTTAATTATTTATGCATAGTCACTTTAACTCTACCCACATGTACATATTACCTCAACTACCTCAACTAGCCGGTGCCCCCGCACATTGACTCTGCACCGGTACCCCCCTGTATATAACCTCCCTACTGTTATTTTATTTTACTTCTGCTCTTTTTTTCTCAACACTTTTTTTTGTTTTATTTTAACGTTTTTATAAATAAATAAATGCATTGTTGGCTAAGGGCTGTAAGTAAGCATTTCACGGTAATGTCTACACCTGTTGTATTCGGCGCATGTGGCAAATACAATTAGATTTGATAAAGTGAAAGTCTGCCATTTTCTGCCAGGCTCACTCTGGCCTTTGCGGCGGTGGGTGTATTACTTTTTAGGGTAAATATGTGAACATATTCGTTGTATGTTGTTACAGTTGTTTCTTGTTCTAGACTTGTGAAATATTGGTCTCTGTCTTTTGACTCCATATGTATAGTTTTTTCTGTCCTCGACATAATGACCTTTTTGAATGTTACGTGCATGCGCCAGTTGTCAGATCAACCAATCTGCGCTTCGCTTTGCCTAATAACTTAAACGAGAAGCAGCCATTCTGAAACCAAGAAATCCTGGACTCCCTTATCTGGTTAAGAGAAGCCGAATAGGTTCAGGGAATCCTGAATTTGTTTAACCATCTTTCCGTAATACTCCCCTGGTTCCCCCTCTACAGGTACAGCAGTGCAGGTCGCTCCCTGCTGGAGCCTCTGATGCACCGTTACTGGGAGTGGCTGGTGGGCCGTGTGCCCGCCTGGATCGCCCCCAACCTCATCACCATCGTGGGCCTGGCCACCAACGTATTCACCACCCTGGTGCTAGTCTACTACTGCCCCACCGCCACTGAACAGGTAACAATGGCAACAATACGTACAGTAGTACGTACACACTATTCAGGCAGTGTGTCCGTACTAGTGTACTGCCCCACAGCCACTGAACAGGTTGGTTATACACTTCCTGGCTTAGTGCCATGGACAGGTACAGTTGGAGGGTAAAGTGCTACCGTATGGTATTTACCTGTCCAGGCAGACCTTTGTACTAAAGCTACAAACAAACATTCAACCCCCCCCCCCCCCCCCCCCATGACTGTGTTTTCTATTCGCAATGGTTTTTATGTTCTGTTTATCTGGTTCTGTTTGATTGTTTACACTCTGTGCTGTTGAGGAGAGTTTTGTATAGCTCAGGTTCTGGATGAACACTTAGTGCCCATAGCTCTCAGGTTACAGCTAGTCTGCACCTGATTCCCCAGTCCCCGTCCCACACACCACACCAGCACCACAGCACTGCAGAGATGAGTGCATGCTAAGGACAGGGAATAGAGAGGACGCAGCAAAACATGCAAACTGTTAAGCTTAGTGGTTTCCCTCTAGAACTGGAAGCCTAGAATAACTTTATCTTCCCACAAGGGAATTGAATTGGTGATATCAGACTTCAAAGTACATGAAATTAGATTACATTCAAACTAATACTTTGTATACAAGAGGCACATCAAACAGCCCAATGCAATATAATGTATTTTGTTTGTCTATAGACCACCATGTGCTTTGTCCACAACACTAGTGTATGAGCCAAGTGTGTGAGGCTCACAAAACCAAGGACTTACAGTCTCTACTTATTTTTCATAGAAAGGCCAGTCTAACCATGGAAGAAAACATATCTATAATGTTTATAAGAATTCAAGCTTTCCCAGCTAGCAGCTGACTGCATATTTGACCATTGAAATGAATCCACAATTAACTTCCAAAAGTAGACCGAGCGTTATCTGCAAGGCAAAACATGTCCTCATCTTAGGGGTCTCTTTAATGCAGGTGTTATTCTATCCTGGTCCTTAGGTTGTGCAGCCCATAGGTTGTGCAGGTTTCTGTTCCAGCCCAGCAGTAACACACCTGATTCAATGAATCAAGGGCTTGATAATTAGTCGATTAGTTGAATCCGGTGCTGGGATGGAGCAAAATCCTGCACCCCCTGTGGGTCTCCAGGAGGCAGGATTGAAGAGCACTGCTTCACTGTCACCTGACTTCCCCTGTGCTGCTAAACCAGACTACGGTCTTAACAGTCAGCCGCTCAAAGGTGGGTTAGAGTAGTCAGTCAGGGTTGTAATTAGGAGGATCTGCAGGATTTGACGATGAGCGTAACTTGTTTTCCCTTTCTATAAATAGTGCACTGTCTCTAGTTCTCTACCTCCTCCTCCTCCTCTGTTTCTTTTGTAGGACAAAGGTTGAGAAATCGCTCTCCGCGCATGTATTCTCACGATGTGGAGAAACTGATTTAGAGCAAAGAGAATATCATCTGCTGGGCTGGAGTCGCTAGACGATAGGGACTTCAGTTGAGTTTAATACAGAGAGAACAGGCTTGGTAGGGTACTAGTTCTAGAGGGAGAGGCTCAGTGACTATGTACAGACATCATCATTATATTGCCTCTATTATGTCCATGCTCATTGTTGTAAGAATGATTAAACACCTGACATAACAGGTCATAGTTATGTTAACAGGATGAAGGTGTGGTTAGTTAAAGTGCTAAAACATCAGTGGCAGCACTGTTTCACAGTCCAGAGGAAATTGTATTTACTTAACATGCTGTACTAGTCAGTGGCCTGTTTTCTGATGGCCCAGGTCAGGATAGTTAAGGAAACAGTGCAGCTGATACAGGGTGTCTTGTTCTCTGTGCTGAGTTTCTCACCATGTGGTGTTTGAACAGAAAGTACACTTGCTCTAGGGGCTCTTAATTTCACAGCCCTGTCATCTTGTTAGATTTCTCACACCATTTTAATTCCTAATCATATGTTTACTGAGAACACAGAGGCAGTCGGTAGATCTTTCCACCCTGCTCTACTTTTCAACATCCCCATGCCCCACGAAAAGCACAGACTCTTTCCTTTCACAAATTCCACTTTTTGGTCAGAGTGAGAATGAATAAAAAAACGTAATTTATCGGGCTATGAGCCAGATTGTGCCGCTTTGCGATAACAGTGTTATTTATATGAATGCGAAATGGGCAAGCCTGTAAGTTGTAGGCCAGGCCGTGTCATATTCCAGTTGGTTTTAGTCAGTGTATAAACTGCTGTCAGCTCATCATAGACCCAGTGAGTACAGAACAGGAAATGAAGGCAGGCAACATTGATGATGCTGTGAAACTCTCTCCATGCTGATTGGCTAATGAAGGACAAAGCCCTGCCGTGTTCCAAAGGTATTTAAAGGAAAACCAACTATATATAAACCTCTTTTACTCAAGTTCACAAACATCTCTCTTTTGTGTAGCGGTAGCCTACATCTGCCAGAAGATCATGTTTTATGTCAGATGATGCTCTATTGATGATAATACCCACTGGTTCTCAAAGAACACAACTTCTAAATGCCTTGTGAGATTACCCTACCATAACCAAACATTTTTTATTTCTCCATTGGGAGAAAGGAAGTCATTTTTGTAAGTATTCACCAAGTCTTCCTTTTTCTTCAGGCACCTCTGTGGGCATACCTGCTGTGTGCTGTGGGCCTGTTTGTGTACCAGTCATTGGACGCCATTGACGGGAAGCAGGCCAGACGAACCAATAGTAGCTCTCCACTGGGCGAACTGTTTGACCACGGCTGTGACTCCCTCTCCACAGGTACAGCTGCTCCTCTGTGTGTCTACAGCGAGGGGGGAAAAAGTATTTGATCCCCTGCTGATTTTGTACGTTTGCCCACTGACAAAGAAATGATCAGTCTATAATTTTAATGGTAGGTTTATTTGAACAGTGAGAGACAGAATAACAACAAAAAAATCCAGAAAAACGCATGTCAAAAATGTTATGAATTGATTTGCATTTTAATGAGGGAAATAAGTATTTGACCCCCTCTCAATCAGAAAGATTTCTGGCTCCCAGGTGTCTTTTATACTGGTAACAAGCTGAGATTAGGAGCACACTCGTAAAGGGAGTGCTCCTAATCTCAGCTTGTTACCTGTATAAAAGACACCTGTCCACAGAAGCAATCAATCAATCAAACTCTTCCACCATGGCCAAGACCAAAGAGCTCTCAAAGGATGTCAGGGACAAGATTGTAGTTGGCTGGAATGGGGTACAAGACCATCGCCAAGCAGCTTGGTGAGAAGGTGACAACAGTTGGTGCGATGATTCGCAAATGGAAGAAACACAAAAGACCTGTCAATCTCCCTCGGCCTGGGGCTCCATGCAAGATCTTACCTCGTGGAGTTGCAATGATCATGAGAACGGTGAGGAATCAGCCCAGAACTACATGGAAGGATCTTGTCAATGATCTCAAGGCAGCTGGGACCATAGTCACCAAGAAAACAATTGGTAACGCACTACACCGTGAAGGACTGAAATCCTCCAGCGCCCGCAAGGTCCCCCTGCTCAAGAGAGCACATATACAGGCCCGTCTGAAGTTTGCCAATGAACCTCTGAATGATTCAGAGGAGAACTGGGTGAAAGTGTTGTGGTCAGATGAGACCAAAATCGAGCTCTTTGGCATCAACTCAACTCGCCGTGTTTGGAGGAGGAGGAATGCTGCCTATGACCCCAAGAACACCATCCCCACCGTCAAACATGGAGGTGGAAACATTATGCTTTGGGGGAGTTTTTCTGCTAAGGGGACAGGACAACTTCACCGCATCAAAGGGACGATGGACGGGGCCATGTACCGTCAAATCTTGGGTGAGAACCTCCTTCCCTCGGCCAGGGCATTGAAAATGGGTCATGGATGTGTATTTCAGCATGACAATGACCCAAAACATATGGCCAAGGCAACAAAGGAGTGGCTCAAGAGAAGCACATTAAGGTCCTGGAGTGGCCTAGCCAGTCTCCAGACCTTAATCCCATAGAAAATCTGTGGAGGGAGTTGAAGGTTCGAGTTGCCAAACGTCAGCCTCAACTTTAATGACTTGGAGAAGATCTGCAAAGAGGAGTGGGACAAAATCCCTCCTGAGATGTGTGCAAACCTGGTGGCCAACTACAAGAAACGTCTGACCTCTGTGATTGCCAACAAGGGTTTTGCCACCAAGTACTAAGTCATGTTTTGCAGAGGGGTCAAATACTTATTTCCCTCATTAAAATGCAAATCAATTTATAACATTTCTGACATGCGTTTTTCTGGATTTTTGTTGTTGTTATTCTGTCTCTTACTGTTCAGATAAACCTAACATTAAAATTATAGACTTATCATGTCTGTGTCAGTGGGCAAACGTACAAAATCAGCAGGGGATCAAATACTTTTTTCCCTCTAAGTGTTTGCCCTATTAGGATTTCATTGAATCTGTGTTCCTTTTTCCTCTCGCTCTCAGTGTTTGTGGTCCTGGGCACCAGTATAGCAGTGCAGCTGGGCACCAATCCTGACTGGATGTTCTTCTGCTGTTTCGCTGGCATGTTCATGTTCTACTGTGCCCACTGGCAGACCTACGTCTCTGGCACCCTGCGCTTTGGCATGTGAGTGTGTCTGCGCTCAGATGAGAGGGAGTTGGCAACAGTGGGAGTTGGGAGGAGGGAGAAAAGCGGGTTTAATAGTAATAATAGATTTATACTGAACAAAAATATAAATGCAACATGCAACAATTTCAAAGATTTTACTGAGTTACAGTTCATATAAGGAAATCAGTCAATTTAAATAAATTATGAATTTCACATGACTAGGAATAGGTCACAGGTACCTTTTTTAAAAAGGTAGGAGCGTGGATCAGAAAACCAGTCAGTGTCTGGTGTGATCACCATTTGCCTCATGCAGCGCAACACATCACCTTCGCATAGAGTTGATCAGGCTGCTGATTGTGGCCTGTGGAATGTTGTCCCACTCCTCTTCAATGGCTGTGTGAAGTTGCTGGATATTGGCGGGAACTGGAACACGCTGTCGTACACTTCGATCCAGAGCATCCCAAACATGCTCAATGGGTGACATGTCTGGTGAGTATGCAGGCCATAGAAGAACTGGGACATTTTCAGCTTCCAGGAACTGTGTACAGATCCTTGTGACATGGGGCCGTGCATTATCATGCTGAAACATGAGGTGATGGCAGCGGATGAATGGCACGGCAATGGGCCTCAGGATCTCGTCACGTATCTCTGTGCATTCAAATTGCCATCGATAAAATGCAATTGTGTTCGTTGTCTGTATGCCTGCCCATACCATAACCCCACCGCTACCATGGGGAACTGTTCACAACGTTGACATCAGCAAACCGCTTGCCCACATGACTCCAAACATGTGGTCTGCAGTTGTGAGGCCGGTTGGACTTTTATTGTCCCCAGCACAAGGTGCGCCTGTGTAATGACCATGATGTTTAATCAGCTTCTTGATATGCCACACCTGTCAGGTGGATGGATTACCTCGGCAAAGGAGAAATGCTCACTAACAGGGATGTAAACAGATTTGTGCACCAAATTTGAGAGAGAGCTTTTTGTGAGTATGGAACATTTCTGGGATCTTTTATTTCAGCTCATGAAACATGGGACCAACACTTTACATGTTGCGTTTTATATTTTTGTTCAGTATAGTTAGTCCGGGTAGCTATTTGGTCAAATATTTAACTATCTGCATTGACCCTTTTTGCATTAACTTTTTTGACTCGTCACGTACACTGCTGCTCCTGTTTACTATCTGTCACTTTATTCCTGGTTATATGTACAGTACCAGTCAAAAGTTTGGACACACCTACTCATTGTCCTGTTGAAAAACAAATGATAGTCCCACTAAGCGCAAACCAAAGTGCTGTGGTAGCCATGCTGGTTAAGTGTGCCTTAAAATCTAAATAAATCACTGACAGTGTCACCAGCAAAGCACCATCACACCTCCTCCTCCATGCTTCACGGTGGGAACCACACATGCGGAGATCATCCGTTCACCAACTCTGCGTCTCACAAAGACATGGCGGTTGGAACCAAAAATCTCAAATTTGGACAAACAACAGATTTCCACCGGTCTAATATCCATTGCTCGTATTTCTTGGCCTAAGCAAGTCTCTTCTTCTTATTGGTGTCCTTTAGTAGTGGTTTCTTTGCAGCAATTCGACCATGAAGGCCTGATTCACGCAGTCTCCTCTGAACAGTTGATGTTGAGATGTGTCTGTTACTTGAACTCTGTGAAGCATTTCTTTGGGCTGCAATTTCTGAGGCTGGTAACTCTAATGAACTTATTCTCTGCAGCAGAGGTAATTCTGGGTCTTCCATTCCTGTGGCAGTCCTCATGAGAGCCAGTTTCATCATAGCGCTTGATGGTTTTTGCGACTGCACTTGAAGATACTTTCAAAGTTCTTGACATTTTTCGTATTGACTGACCTTCATGTCTTAAACTAATGATTGACTGTCATTTGTCTTTGCTTATTTTAGCTTTTCTTGCCATAATATGGACTTGGTCTTTTTACCAAGTAGGGCTATCTTCTGTATACCACCCCTACCTTGTCACAACACAACTGATTGGCTCAAACGCATTAAGAAGGAAAGAAATTCCACAAATTAACTTTTAACAAGGCACACCTGTTAATTGAAATGCATTCCAGGTGACTACCTCATGAAGCTGGTTGAGAGAATGCCAAGCGTGTGCAAAGCTGTCATCAAGGGAAAGGGTGGCTACTTTGAAGAATCTGAAATATAAAATATATTTTGATTTGTTGAACACTTTTTTGGTTACTACATGATTCCATATGTGTTATTTCATAGTTTTGATGTCTTCACTATTATTCTACAATGTAGCAAATAGTAAAAATAAAGAAAAACCCTTGAATGAGTAGGTGTGTCCAAACTTTTGACTGGTACTGTACATATGTACCTCAATTACCTTGTACCCCTGCACATCGACTCGGTACTGGTACCTTGTATATAGCCAAGTTATCGTTACTCATTGTCTATCTATTACTTTTTTATTATTACGTGTTTTACTTTTCTATTATTTCTCTATTTTCTTTCTCTCTGCATTGTTGGGAAGGGCCCGTAAGTAAGCATTTCACTGTTAGCCCACACCTGTTGTTTACAAAGCATGTGACGAGGAGTAATCCATGCTACTGAAGGAATATTGAAAGATACATGTTTGCCATTAGTGCATCGTGATTGGTTGGGAGAGCTGTGGTCAGTTGGGTGAAGATGGTCCATAGGGCAGCTGTGTGGCGCTGTGCTTATGGACAGAGTAGATGACTGTTCTGACTAACCTCTGCTCTCTGCCTGCTTCTCTCAGCATTGATGTGACTGAGGTGCAAATCTTCATTATAATCATGTATTTGCTGGCCGCTGTGGGAGGATCCGCTTTCTGGCAGTCACTGGTAATTCTGATTGGCTCAAATTTCCACTGATTGTCTGTTGGTAATATAATGGTAGAGTTGCCTGCATCGGAATGTTCAAATTCTGTGTACAGTGTGATTCCTTACCATAGTAAATGCAATTTCACTTTGAGTAATGGAACAGTTTTATTAACAAGTACCCATCTTACTAACAATGTTCAGAGCTGTTTAATGTACTAAACACTCAAATGGTGGTGACTGGTTGTTGTTTTATAATACATTATATCTTTGTTCTCTCACCTCCACAGATCCCAGTCATAAACATCCAGATGAAAATAGTTCCAGCCATCTGCACTTTCTTAGGTGCCATCTTTTCCTGTACTAATTACTTCCGGGTTATATTTACCGGAGGTAAGGGCAAAAATGGATCCACAATAGCAGTAAGTCAACACTCGCGCTCAATTCCAAATCGACATGTAGCCTAGTCCCTGACCTTCATGTAGATAGGTATGTAAACATAATGGTAGTGACTCCTCCTTGCCCTGATAGACTCAGATTTTTTAAAATCTATCCAGTCCTTTAAGATCTACAGAAATGCCTAGGGGGAAGGGGGAATCTGACATCAGTCCTTCTCCCAAATTCCTTCACCAACCGTGACACAAGGTAGTTTACAATCACTATGTAGGCTTTGCCATGTACCTTCTAGATGGTGAAGCTGTCTTGATGCCTAGGTGCTTGTGTACTTGTTTCATCCATTTTACTGAGCTATCTATTAGCTTCAGAGGAAATGAAGGATGTGTATTAAGACTGTTGGACCTGATCCCAGTTCAGTTCAGTTGGCGAAGCGATATCAGTGTTTGTCAATTGGAAGTATTTACTTTACATGTTTTCCTTCGGGAGATACTGTATATTATGACACCTAGTTATACACAAATTATAAGAGGCCATCTGCGTTCTTTTAAGGTCCTTACTACTGAATAGTGTCTGTTCCAGGTGCGTAGGAGTCAAAATAAGAATACTGGAAGAGATTGAGACCCGCACTGTCGAAAAAATGAATACATCCAAATGTAAATGTAAAACTGAGGCTTGAATGCAAAATAAAGATGTTTATTTAACATCATGCTGCCCAAAAATCATAGTGCATAAGTGAAAGGTGAAAACAAAACAGAAATGTTTCCGCCTCAGGTGATGATGGATTATTCACACCAGCATTCATTACTGTGTGTTTTCTTTTACCCTAACTGCACTCACATGTCATTAACATACTGTATCATTGTGGCCTATTAATGTCATTGATTATACAGTCTCTCTCTCTTCTCCAGGGAACCAGTGTCCTGTCTCCTGTGTTACATATAGGCTCAGTAATAATCCTGGCCATGATGATCTATAAGAAGTCAGCTAACCAGCTCTTTGAGAAGCACCCCTGTGTTTATATCCTGGCCTTTGGCTTCGTGTCGGCCAAGATCACCAACAAATTAGTTGTAAGTGTGGTGTGCTGCTAATTGGTGTAATGCAATACCTGTGCATCCTGTGCACTGTAGATATTGATGTAAATGTGCTTGATGTAAGAACGTGAATGATATAAATGAACGTCATCCATGTAAATGTGCTTGCTGATTGGAGCATGACTGTAGCCTGTGTCTTGTTTGTTTCAGGTAGCACATATGACAAAGAGTGAGATGCATCTCCATGATATAGCATTCCTGGGGCCAGGCCTGCTGTTCCTGGACCAGTATTTCAACAGTTTTATTGATGAATACCTGGTGCTGTGGATTGCGCTGGTGAGTACACACACACACACACATTTCCATGGCTTAGAGGTCTATAGTATCTGAGCAAGTCCAGGGTGAAGTTATGCAACAACAATGTATGAGGGCATGCAATCTGCAGCATGTGTTCACATGACAACATGTATCTTTGAAATGAACCATCAGTCTTTTCATATGCAACACTGATTTATATTTCACCCTGAAACTCTGAAAGGTATAAAGACTTACTGTGCATTTTTCAGAGGCATGTTTTCAGTCTAATGCCACGTTTATTTGTAACTAATCGCCAAAACCCTTTCATACTTTTATCTTCGGCATCCTCTAGCCATCTACACATAAGGTCCATTGTGTACAGTGGTGTTGATCAAGTTCTTGTTTCCGGACTCTTCTTTTTCTCCTCTTCTGCTTTCCGTCTGCAGGTCCTGTCTTTCGTTGACTTGGTGCGTTACTGTTTCAGTGTTTGCAACCAGATTGCCTCCCATCTTCACATCTTTGTCTTCAGAATCAAGCCACTGACCCCGTCCACCCTTCAGTGAGGACAAGGACGCCATTACTGTCTCTCTCTCTCTTTCTTTCTCTCTCTCTTCATGTTAGTTAGTAATTTGTTGAGGCAGGGTTGGGGTGGATGTGGGTGGAGCTATTACCAGTAGATGTGCACGCCAAGTGAATGTGGGGATAAATTAAATATAATGAGATATTCATATTATTATTAAGTTATTTTCCATCGTTGCTTTGTGCAATATGTGTTGATTTCATCTTGTTACAGTAATCAGATTCCTGGACAAAAAGAATGCTTTGTCTCTTTTTCTGAAATGAATGGTCACATTGGACATGAATGCTCTTTTCTGTGCCAGAGAGGGCAAATAAGTGCAAGAAGACTGTAAGGGGCTTGAATAGGTACTACCTTATTCATTTAATAATGATCATTATTATTTTCTTATTGAACTTTAAAACAAATATTTAATGTGTTGTGATTGTTGGTTGTTCTTTACAAAGAAATGTACAGGAATCGAAAGAGATCTACACAGGATGTCAGTCTGCTTTCAGTTTTGTTTCGTAAGAGTGTTGTCTTTATTAAATGTATATATAATTTTGCAATATTTGCATAACCTCACTTTTCGGTTTCACAAATATCTAACTATTAGGGTGTTGATATTTGTAGTGTCTCAAGCCTTGCTTCCCTGAAATGGCTCAAGCATACATTGTCTCCAATGCCACCAACATTACACAGCACTTATGGCACCACATGCAGGATTGCTAGCAGTTGTCAAGCATACTATTCTGTATATCCAGTTTAATATTGCTTTTAAATAGTTTAATGTATAACATATTATTTACATTTTTAGCAGCAAAGAGTTTCTTGCTTTTGAATTGTGCCTGTTTATTATTGTATTGTCCTGTTGCACCTCTGCTCTCAGATACTGTAGTGTTGCATTTGTCTGAAAATGCTTGACGAAAACTAAATGCCAAGTGTTATTGAAGAAAAGTAAGAATGTGATTTTGTCCCAAAAAAGTAGTGTCATTCTCATTGGAAGCTAAAGATGTTGTCTGTTGTCCAAAGCTTGCTCATATCTAGAATCTAACAACATGTTTTAATTTTACTTAAAATTATTTTGTAACTTATTTTTAAATTACCTTGTAACACATCTACGAACAACTTTCTTTGTGTAGAGCATTCTGCCCTGTGCCAGGTCCACATACAGCGATTGATAGTGTTTTGGGAGAATTGGGGAGCTTCAATGTGACAGAAAAATGATATTCTGACTGTGCCCTAATCTTATTTGTCTGTACAACGTTTTTGCCTCTATACCTGCAGTCTGCTTATAATTCACCGTCAGAATCAATAGAAACTGTGATTTCAATGAAAAACAGACTTTATTTCTGTGTGTAATTTTATTGGCCAGTTGCTGAGCTCATTCGACAATGTGTACTAGTAATTTACAGATGGGTAAAAGGTTGCCTTAAACACAATTTTAGTTTTTTCTTCTTTTGTAAGATAAAGGTCAAGCCTCTTAAACAAATTAGGGGCATGTTGTCTCTGTGTGTGTTTACTGGCAGAGGCTTGTGATTTCTTCCTTGTTACTGTTGTTTTCTTTTGGCCAGACTGTCAAGCTCAGGTATATTACAGTGTGCAGAACAGGATGTTCATAGGCTACGAGAAAATAACTTCCAAGATCTCTCCCTCACCTACCAATGCAAATAAAATGTAATTCACACATGTAAGATGCTACCGGTTGTCTGTGTTATTTGTGATAAAGGTTTCTATACTGAGTGTACAAAACATTGGGAATACCTGCGCTCTTTCCATGACAGACTCAGTGCTTGACTTGGTCAGGAGCTCACCAGAGCTGAGTACAGGCACCTCAAATGTTCTACTGCTTGAGCTCCTGTTCCTCTTATAATATATTAGCTCAAATGTATTCTGGAGCTCCTGCACATAAATATAAACAGTACAGGCAACCAAAATGAGTACCGGCACCTATTTCAGTCCAAGTCACACACCGCATAGACTGACCAGGTGAAAGCCAAATCCACTTCAATCAGTGTAGATGAAGGTGAGCAGACAGGTTAAAGAAGGATTTTTAAGCCTTGAGACATGGATTGTGTATGTGTGCCATTCAGAGGGTGAATGGGCAAGACAAAATATTTAAGTGCCTTTGAACGGGGTATGGTAGTAGGTTTGAGTGTCAAGAACTGCAATGCTGCTGGGTTTTTCAAGCTCAACCGTTTCCTGTGTGTATCAAGAATGGTCCACCACCCAAAGGACAGCCAGCCAACTTGACACAACTGTGGGAAGCATTGGAGTCAACATTGGCCCGCATCCCTGTGGAACGCTTTCGACACCTTGTAGAGTCCATGCCCTGATGAATTGAGGCTGTTCTGAATAAATATTTGAAGATTTCAAAACGGTTCTTTGCAGATTACTGGATCAGGTTGATGTGGTTCCTGAGATGTTTAACACTTATCTGGGCATTGTAAAGGTCAATCTGAAACACATCCATAAACTACAGTAGAACAGGCAACCCAGCTCAGTGATATGTACACACAACAAGCATTTGGATGGAGTGGATTCTTCTCAGCTCCCTGCATTCTGAAGATCCTACATAAGCATCGTCTGCAGAGACTTGTGCACTGTAGCCATCTCTTGCTGTTGCTATTAATAAAAAAATGTCTGTTGAACCAAATTAAATGTTCTAAATAGAACATTTAAATAAGTATTTTCTAAATAATTTGTTTTGTGCTCATGCTCATAGTATGCTAATATTTCAAAATGGCACATATCAATTTGTATTCTTAGCAACGCTTCAGCTAAGCAAAGGGTCAACCAACGTAAGGCATGTGAACAATGAGTTAATAAATTGATCCGTCCTTTCACTTACTGTGTCCATGAGGATCTTTTTCTGAAACAGTGCCATCTCCAGGTGCAGATTTACCTGAACAGCACCCTGCTGGCTGACATGGGTCTTCTCCAAATCAAATCACATTTTATTGGTTACATACACGTGTTTAGCAGATGTTATTGCGGGTGTATCGAAACGCTTGTGCTTCTAGCTCCGACAGTGCAGTAATATCTAACAATTTCACAACGTATACCCAATACACACAAATCTAAGTAAGGAATTAATTAAGAATATATACATATATGGACAAGCGATGTCAGAGCGGCATGGACTAAGATACAGTAGAATCAAGGCTATACCAGCACAGCCAAACAAGGTGACATGTGAAAACCAGCTGAGACATAGATTTAAATCCCAACGTTAAAGACTACTATGAGATAATATACCTGGATGTACTGCTCCAGCAGCTACTTGAGAGTCTTCAGTCTCTGGCTCTGGGAGGCCCTCTTGTGCTGAAACATCTTCTGCTGGTGCTGGAACATACTCTATGGGAACACATACAGCCCCTACAATTAGCTCTAAAAGATGCCTTAGTTACTCCAGTGTTACTCTGTAATTACAGTTGAAGTCGGAAGTTTACATACACCTTAGCCAAATACATTTAAACTCAGTTTTTCACAATTCCTGACATTTAATCCTAGTAAAAATTCCCTGTCTTAGGTCAGTTAGGATCACCACTTTATTTTAAGAATGTGAAATGTCAGAATAATAGTAGACAGAATGATTTATTTCAGCTTTTATTTCTTTCATCACATTCCCAGTGGGTCAGAAGTTTACATACACTCAATTAGTATTTGGTAGCATTGCCTTTAAATTGTTTAACTTGGGTCAAATGTTTCGGGTAGCCTTCCACAAGCTTCACACAATAAGTTGGGTGAATTTTGTCCCATTCCTCCTGACAGAGCTGGTGTAACTAAGTCAGGTTTGTAGGCCTCCTTGCTCGCACACGCTTTTTCAGTTCTGCCCACACATTTTCTATAGGATTGAGGTGATGGCCACTCCAATACCTTGACTTTGTTGTCCTTAAGCCATTTTGCCACAACTTTGGAAGTATGCTTGGGGTCATTGTCCATTTGGAAGACACATTTGCGACCAAGCTTTAACTTCCTGACTGATGTCTTGAGGTGTTGCTTCAATATATCCACATAATTTTCCTTCCTCATGATGCCATCTATTTTGTGAAGTGCACCAGTCCCTCCTGCAGCAAAGCACCCCCATAGCATGATGCTGCCACCCCCGTGCTTCACGGTTGGGATGGTGTTCTTCGGCTTGCAAGCGACCCCCTTTTTCCTCCAAACATAACGATGGTCATTATGGCCAAACAGTTCTATTTTTGTTTCATCAGACTAGAGGACATTTCTCCAAAAATTGCGATTGTTGTCCCCATGTGCAGTTGCAAACCGTAGTCTGTCTTTTTTATGGCCGTTTTGGAGCAGTGGCTTCTTCCTTGCTGAGCGGCCTTTCAGGTTATGTCGATATAGGACTTGTTTTACTGTGGATATAGATACTTTTGTACCTGTTTCCTCCAGCATCTTCACAAGGTCCTTTGCTGTTGTTCTGGGATTGATTTGCGCACTAAAGTACATTAATCTCTAAGAGACAGAACGTGTATCCTTCCCGAGCGATATCATGGCTGCGTGGTCCCATGGTGTTTATACTTGCGTACTATTGTTTGTACAGATGAACGTGGTACCTTCAGGTGTTTGGAAATTGCTCCCAAGGATGAACCAGACTTCTGGAGGTCTACAATTGTTTTCAGAGGTCTTGGCTGATTTACTTTGATTTTCCCATGATGTCAAGCAAAGAGGCACTGAGTTTGAAGGTAGACCTTGAAATACATCCACAGGTACACCTACAATTGACTCAAATGATGTCAATTAGCCTATCAGAAGCTTCTAAAGCCATGACATCATTATTTTCAGGAATTTTCCAAGCTGTTTAAAGGCACAGTCAACTTAGTGTATGTAAACTTCTGACCCACTGGAATTGTGATACAGTGAATTATAAGTGATATAATCTGTCTGTAAACAATTGTTGGAAAAATTACTTGTGTCATGCACAAAGTAGATGTCCTAACCGACTTGCCAAAACTATAGTTTGTTAACAAGAAATCTGTGGAATGGTTGAAAAATGAGTTTTAATGACTCCAACCTAAGTGTATGTACATTTCTGACTTCAACTGTAGGTATAGAATAGAACTAGGTACAATATGTTCTGTCCTGACAGAGCATTACCAGTAGTTTCTCCTCGGACTTCTGCACATCTGCGTCCCACTGAATGAAGACTGCATTGAACTGGGTGCAGTAATCTTCTGTCACTTTACTCCTGCGGAATTGATATCATACAAATCAGGTTATACACATTTTTTTTATTTTATGTAACTAGGCAAGTCAGTTAAGAACAAATTCTTATTTACAATGATGGCCTACACCGGCCAAACCCGGACAACGCTGGGCGAATTGTGCGCCGCCCTATGGGACTCCCAATCACGGCCGGTTGTGATACAGTCTGGAATCAAACCAGGGGATCTGTAGTGACGCCTCAAGCACTGAGATGCTGTGCCTTAGACCACTGCACCACTCGGGAGCCCAATATACACACACACACAGTCACACACACACTTTCACTCTACACATCTCATTACCTGTTTCTTTGTTGGACCCTCTATAACTGCTCAATCTTCTGATGGCTGGTCTTCACAGAGGACTTGGTGAACGTTTTCAAGCGTTTGCGTTTTGCCAGGAAGGCTTTGTTGATGTCCGAGGGCAGTAAAGAGAAAAAGAGGCTCACAGATGCAATGCATAGTTCATTGATGAGAAACAATCGCTGTACCAATCAGTGTGCAAGGCCCAGTCGTGGGAAAAGTACCCAATTGTCATACTTGAGTAAAAGTAAAGATACCTTAATAGAAAATGACTCAAGTAAAAGTGAAAGTCACCCAGTAAAATACTACTTGAGTAAAAGTCTAAAAGTATTTGGTTTTAAACATACTTAAGTATCAAAAGTAAATGTAATTGCTCAAATATACTTATGTATCAAAAGTAAAAGTATAAATCATTTCAAATTCCTTATATTAAGCATACCAGATGGCACCATTTTCTTGTTTTAAAAATGTACGGATAGCCAAGGGCACACTCCAACACTCACACATAATTTACAAACTAAGCATTTGTGTTTAGTGAGTCTGACAGATCAGAGGCAGTAGGAATGACCAGGGATGTTCTCTTGATAAGTGCGTGAATTGGACCATTTTCCTGTCCTGCTAAGCATTCAAAATGTAACGAGTACTTTTGGCTGTCAGGGAAAATGTATGGAGTAAAAAGTACATTATTTTCTTTAGGAATGTAGTGGAGTAGAAGTAAAAGTTGTCAAAAATATAAATAGTAAAGAAAGTACAGATACCCCCAAAAACTACTTAAGTAGTACTTTAAAGTATTTTTACTTAAGTACTAGACACCACTGGCAAGGCCAGAGTATGAAATATAAGGATAGAAAGAGAGAAATTAGAGATGAAATCTAGTGAAAAAGAGTCATGAAAATCTGATTCTCCTTTGGAACACACAATACCTCCAAATCTGTCCAACATGGTCATCATACCCCTCTGTGGAAGAGGAAGACATTATATAGTTATTGAATGACAGCAATATGAACCCATCAATTAAATCACACAGGATAATACTGTATGTTCACCTCTGTCAAATAAATGTCACTTTGTGACAAATGCTTGGCCTACCCTTTGGTCATGTCAATATCATCATAATCTGGCTCTGACAGATGTTTCCTTCCTCTCAATGCCTCTGCCTCAACTACTGTAAAAATAAAGAAAGTAGACTATTAGATATTATGTCATGAAGAAAAACATGCACATTATTTTAGGCTACCAGTTTCCAGGACTAACAATGTTACCTGCCAGGTTTTCATTGTTGAAACTCTCATTGAAGTCCTCCATATAGGGTTTGCCTGAGGTGGTTATAGTGCCTTTTGCTTTGCCTTTTTGAGCATGTCCCTTGTGGGTTGCCATCTCTTGCTGGTTTGCTGGTTGTCAATAAAGAAAATAAATGTGCCAAAGAAGTGGTTCAAATGACAACTTTAGCCTATATGCTTGCTAACGTTAGCGAGCTAACAGCTAACTACTGTTAACAATCTAGTGCCAGGTGTGAAATGAACTTACTGACCTATTTTCAAAACAGAATAGGCTATCAAATTAACAATCCTTCTTTTGCTACAATACTTTTGTTTCAAACGTGTTGAAATATATGTAAATATGGTCTTGAAAGCTAGTTTAGCTTCAACTAAATTAGCTAAGCTTGCAGTGAAGTCACCAGTTGAAAACATTGGCACGCGAAAAACGTTGGCACACCAACTGAGCACAGGGACAAATTACATCACTTTGTTGGTGGATACAATGTTTGATACAATTGTGTTAAGAGACTCCTCTCTGGTGTTACTTTGTGTCAGTGTTGATATTCCCACAGTTTGTGGCTTTTTAGTTGATTCAATGGCCAACACTAATGTATCCACTTAATTGCACAGGCTAATGCTATGACCGGTATTAATACAGGATTTTCTATTTATCATATCATTTATCATAAATATGTATGCATGAATATATATGTATGCATAGAATGGACCCCCCTTTTCACTGAGGGACTTTTATTTTGAAAGGAAATCGCCGAGGTCTCGGCTTTATTTTTGATATGTCTTGCTTATTCTTGCTGGGGGAACGGAGGTAAATTTGTTGACGTTCGCTACAAATATGGGTATTTCAATGACACGCCTCTTCTGAAACACTAACAGGAAGTAATGATCTTGTGATTTTAGTTGAGAAAGAATGACAGAATACCTCATCTGGGTCATGTAGCCTTCATTTAATTATAGCGATTTAAAGAGTAGACTACAAATATTAGCTTTTTCTGCTAGCCCGCTGTTCATTGTTGGTCTTTTGTGAGACCGAATAACGTGTGAACTTTCGTGTGATGAGGTGACAGCAAAGGAACCGCTTTTTTGAAGGTACAGTTTATTGCCGCGTTCAATACAACTGGGAACTGTTTGAAGCCGTCTTCTTTGCATCTTGTTCACTCTCTACTTAATCTTATTAAACAATAGCATGTATACATTGTGGCCTACCAAATGTAAATGTAGCTCGCTCTGTATCTCAAGGAACTTGACTACATCGAGGCACATACATAGTAGAGGAACTGAGAAATGAGATCAAGTGTCAGGAATACATTGTAGTCTCTTTATACTCTACATTTATCCAGAATGAGGAAACGAGTGTGCTTCAGCTATTTATTTATTTGTGTGTGTGTGTGTGTTTGTGTGGTGCCTCACATAATCCAATATCTGATGCTCTACAGGTGAAGACAATATACCAGCGTCCGTGGTCAAACTTGGATAGGCTACTAGTGGTTTGACACACACACACACACACAGCAGAGGATATGTGGTGGTTCCAGCAGGGTATGTGTATTCTACCGGTGGCTCTGGTGTTATGGACGGCAGCCACGTTCATCTTTGCTTACATCACTGCTGTGCTGCTGAGACATGTGGACCCACTGGTACCATACATTAGGTCAGACACAGGCTCAAACATCATCCTCCTTGTCTTTTTACCATTATACCTGCAATCACTTCCCTTTATAAGTAGTAGGCACAATTTACATGTATTACAATTGTACATTACATTGTGAGAGGAGATTACATTTTTGCTGGTCATGTTTCTGTTCACAGTGACACAGGGACGGTTGCCCCAGAGAGATGTGTGTTTGGAATCATGCTGGATGTCTCAGCATTCTTAGGTAACACCATCGTTACCTCTCTGATTCCTCTTTGGAATCTAGCAGTTAATTGGAAATGTGTGACTATGTTTTGATTTGTGATCATGTTTGTCGTGGCAGGCATAGCCACCATGTACATACGCTACAAGCAGGTCCAAGCCTTGACGATCGAAGAGGAGTCGAAGCTCCATAAACTCAACATCTTGGGTTTGGTGCTGGGATGGACCAGCTCCTTTGGCATGTGCATTGTCGCTAACTTTCAGGTACCCATTGACACGTGTGTGTGATGAGTCTTGTTCCTGTTTGTTTTGATGACAATGTATGTAAATGTGATACTATAAAATCAATCTATCTCTCCTCTCTCTCTCTAACCAAAACTAGAAAACGACTCTGTTCTCCATGCACCTGGTGGGGGCGATATTAACGTTTGGCGTGGGGGCACTGTACATCCTTGTGCAGACCTTGGTGTCTCTGTACATGCAGCCTCATGTCCACGGGAAGAGCATCTTCTGGGTCCGACTCAGCATCGGAGTCTGGACCTTTGCCAGCATCATCAGCAGTATCCTCCACTATATTTCTGCAACAAGAAAATATGAAATCATGATTAATGGTTGCTAATAAGAGAATGTTGTTGCTATAAGACAATGCCATTCAATTACAGTGAATGGAAGCTGTGAACTTGTGCAACAAATTGCAAGGACCTCTGACAGCTTGTTCAAGACCCAAACTTTCTGAAATATTGCAAGAGTTGCCCTATGGAACACAGCTCTAGCCCCTGCCTGTTGTACTCCTTGACCCCCTCACCTCTCAGTGTTTGTGTCATCTGTCATCATGTACAGCAGTCTGCCTGGAGTGGACGTGGCCCATAAACTGCACTGGATACCTGGAGAGACGGTTAGTAACCTTAGTGATAATTTGTGCGTGTGTGCGTGTGTACACTAACAGCTCTGTCTGTTGCAGGGCTACATCCCTCACATCATCAGCACCATCTCTGAGTGGTCTCTGGCTCTCTCCTTCATCAGTTTCTTCCTCACTTACATCCGAGACTTCCAGGTACCTCAGCTCTCCTCCTCACTTCACTGACTCCACTAGGACCAGACAGAATATATGTTAATGCTGGGCTGCAGCAAAGTCCTGCGTACCCCATAGCTCTCCAGGGCAAAAGTTGGAGACCATGATTCTAACAACTGTTCTCCGTTTCCCATCTGTAGAAAGTAACGCTGCGGGCAGAGGTGGACCTACAGAGCAATCACCTCTACGATTCACCACACTACAGCATCACCACACCGGTCAACCAATCTGAGACCTCCCCATTGATGGCGGGGGGCATCTGAACAGGACAACTCCTAGTGGTGTGGTGGAGTCAAGCTGTAATTATTAACATACTGAATGGAATAATGAGAATATAGAATGCTGAGCGTGTAATCAACAAGCACTAATATAAACTGGGTGGTTCGAGCCCTGAATGTTGATTGGCTGACAGCTGTGGTATATCAGACCGTATACCACGGGTATGACAAAACATTTATTTTTACTGCTCTAATTACGTTGGTAACCTGTTTATAATAGCAATAAGGCACCTTGGGGGTTTGTGGTATATTGCCAATATACCACGGCTAAGGGCTCTATCCAGGCACTTCGCGTTGCGTCGTGCATAAGAACAGCCCTTAGCCATGGTATATTGGCCATATACCACACCCCCTCTGGCCTTATTGCTTAAATATACAGCTGAAAGTCCTAATTCTCAGATAGTGTAAATTCTACATGCTCTTTTAAACTGACATTTGGTTCTTGTTAGAAAGTAATTATATTTTTCTTGAACCTAAAGTGGATCGATCCTCTGATAAGACGTCTTTTTTTTTTTTCTCCAATAGTCAGAACACAACTACCGGTATGCTATTCTCTGCCAGCCACTCGGTGGTGCCAAATAATCATCCACATGTTTGGTTCTGCCTTCTTAAGTCTAACAACCCTCAGTGTCAGCAACAAAAAATAAATGGAGATGAGCTTTTGTTTGCGGGATCCTATGTTTCGCCTTTCATGAGAATTGATATCATTAGGTGGTTTGCAGCAAGGCACTAATTAACTAGAATATGATTTATTTGCTCTACTTCACTTTTCTTTAGGATAAGTTATTTGTGTTTGGCTGTAGCTTTGGTCATTACTGAATTTTCTATGAGTTTCTGTGCTTTTTATGTTTTTATTTTTAATGATCAGCACTTTTACTTCCATAATATACCCATAAAGTAATGGGAATGTATCTATTTCTTGTTGAATGGATATAATATCAGGGAGATGTAAGGAGGTGCTTATTACTAGATCTTTGGTTATTTGAAGATGTTTGTTTCTACTAAACGTTTATTTTGTTACAGTATATTAAAAATGTCAGTTGGCCACTTTTTGCCACCAGTTTCTATGACCACATGGGAGGTGTGGAGGAGGTATTGCCATCATTTTAACTGACAATTATTCAGGCAAATCTGTTTCATGTTAACCTAATCACCTATGCAGTAACTACATAGTCTTTACTTGTCTCCATTCTCATAAGAATGGAAAGCATCAAATTCACTGTTGTATATGAAGGCATTATACATTAATAAAATAACAAGATAGTTATGACATTTATTGGTATATTGAGTCGTTTACGTCGTACCATACTATTATGCAGTGTATATTTAGCCATACTGTATGTTCTTTCCAAGTGCTTCATACGAATGATGAAAGTCATACACACATCTCATTGGGCATCATTCACCAATATCTACCTAAGAATTTTCAACTTTGTTCTTAATAAACTCCCTAAGAAAAGTCTACGTCGGATTCATGACATGTTCTTAAACAACAGAATTGTTCGCACCAGTGTTCTTAGGTTTGATGAATCCCACGTCCTCGTAATTGAAAGCGTGTGCCAGTTGTTCCTAATTAGCATAAGAAAACCCCCGGCAAATTCACATATAAGGACATGACACTGCAGGGGCGTGTGCAAGAAAAGTTGGAGAATGAACAAAAGACGCACAGACGGTGGTGGTCCACCGATCACCAAACGAAAAAGGAACTTAAGTAATTCTGAAATAGAAATTCTACTGCAACAGGTAAATGCCAAACGAGGCATAATATTTAGTAGTGGTTTTAAAGCCACCAACAACGGAGGCATGGAAGGAGAACTCTGTTTCTGGACAACGTCGCTCAATTGAAGATGTAAAAAAGAAATGGTTTGACATAAAATCAGAGACCAAAAAATCCATTGCCAAACATGAGACATATGCTGACCACTGGAGGGGGGCATGCAGGCCCTGAGTTATCTGAGATTGACCAGCGCATCGGGGCCATTATTGGTGAGACCGCTCTCTCAGGTGTGCCATCAGCGGAGCAACTGGACACTGACCAGGGCCCTATATCAACAGCTTCATATCCTCCAAGGCCATCTCCCACCAGTGAATCAGACGGTAAGCAAGTATTTCTGAATTTATACAATTTCATGACATAATTTAACTGAAAGCAACGGTTAAACCATTGGAAAGGAATTTTACACCAGTTTGTCAAACCAAATGTGGGCCTATGTGACTGTGAATGAGTCCTCACCTGAATTCCTAGTTTATTCAGTTTGAAATCCTATTGCTTTTGCAGTAGGCCTATATTGAACAAACTGAAACATCAAACAAACAAAAAAATCAGTGCACTGTGACTGACTGTAATACTTTCAGTATCGTTTTTGTTATGTACAGATATCCAATCCAGGCAACCCCTCTGTGAAGAGGGACCTGACACCATTCGGCCTTCCTGCAGTAGGCCTGCCTCTGTATGTGCCCCCAGGTCCGGTCCAACTGCACATGTCATCTCCGATGCGGTCTTCGATAACCAGGAGCGGATTGCGCAAAGTCTCTGTGAAATTGCTTCAACGCTGACCACAATATCAGAAACACTCAAAAACATAAACACATTAAAACATATAAAGAACGCGCACTGAAACCTGTGTCATTTCATGTGTTTAATTCGTGGTATTTAAAGGACAAAACAAATCAAAAACGAGAAATTATTTGTTGTCTGACTTCCACGCAAAGTCTGTTGTCTGGTCCCAGCAATGCGTCAGGACGCACATCCTGGTGTGGTGGCGGAAGTGGAACACCTCGCTTCATAGCGATGTTGTGTAACACACAACAGGCCATGATTATTCTGCAAACCTAAAAACGGTGTAAAGATGATCAAAAGCTAGAAAAACTAAATAAAATGAATTGTTGGAATTAGATTATTCTACATGTTCTCCATTTTTCAAACCTGAATAAAACAAGTAGTCCTACTCACCTTCTCTGGCTCGTAAAGCAGCTTACCACCTGCTGTGTCCAAACACATCCAGCGTCCCTTCAGAATACCAATGGTGGAGCGGGTGCGTGCGTGCCTCTGGTTATTAGAGGCCTCTTGGTGCGTCTGAGGGTTTGTTAGTGGCGTCATTAGGCAGGGCGCAAGGGCATACCCCCGATCTCCTAATGAAACAAGTCATGAATGAAGAAACCCACTCTTAGGAACCAACTATTGAAATTACTGAACGATGCTTACCAATGAGCCATGCGGCTCCAGCAGCTCCTTGTTCCAGGCGCATTCCCACAGAACTGTTCTGCAAAATATAAGGGTCATGTGCACCTCCTGGGAAGCGGGAGACCACGTTCAAGAGATGGTTGTCAGAGTCGCAGATGACTTGTACATTGAGTGGTATTGCTTGCGGTTGAGGTACGGAAATGGGTCTGGTGAGGGTGCCTTAATGCGCACGTGAGTGCAGTCTATTGCCCCGATTACGTTGTGCAGACCCGCAATAGAGTAGAACCCTCTCTTGACCGGCAGCTGTTGTTGCGCTGTGTAGGGGAAGAAAATATATTGTGTGGCCAGTTGATTTATTCCATCCACAACTCGTGGGAGAGCCCGGCTGATGGATGGCTGTGATATGCCCACCCGGTCTGCTAACTCCCGCTGAAATGTCCCAGTGGCTAAAAATCCCAAGGTGGAGAGTACCTGCACATGAGGTGGTACGGGATTGGACCGTTGGGTATGGCTTCGCAGCGCTGGCTCCAAAGTATCACACAAATCAAATCAAATCAAATTTTATTGGCCACATGCGCCGAATACAACAGGTGCAGACATTAGTGATATGCTTACTTACAGCCCTTAACCAACAGTGCATTTATTTTAAATAAAAAAGTAGAATAAAAAAAAAAAGTGTTGAGAAAAAAGAGCAGAAGTAAAATAAAATAACAGTAGGGAGGCTATATATACAGGGGGGTACCGGTGCAGAGTCAATGTGCGGGGGCACCGGCTAGTTGAGGTAGTTGAAGTAATATGTACATGTGGGTAGAGTTAAAGTGACTATGCATAAATAATTAACAGAGTAGCAGCAACGTAAAAAGATGGAAGCCTGTCTTGGAAGCCTAAACCATCCAATCAAGTACTCGTCAGTCTCTGCAAATAAATCAAAGTGATCCTCAAAGATGAGTTCTGGTCCCAGAGCATGCTCGGCAATGTCGTCAAGCAGCAATAGATGTGCCATTTTGATAGCATTCCTGATGTGCAGAAACAGGCCCATTTTGGCCCTATAAATAGCGCGATCAATCACCACATAATGCAGGATTTAATCAGCTTAATTGCTGATGTAAATTGCAGTGTTAGTGTTTCTTTGCATACTAAGATTATTTTTTCAACAAATGATCAGAAATACATTACAGTAAAATACTATCATTGTAAACGACTGTAGAATGAAATGAAATGCAGTAACCAATTATTTGGAGCAAACTGTCATCACTCAAATGTACATAAGAATGCTCTTGAGTGTGCGTGGATTTTGTTCTTAGCTAAGAACAAATCCAAGATGAGAAAACATTAGTGAATGTCAGAATATTCGTAAAAAGTGCGTAAGTGGGGTTTAAGAACACATTACTTCGTAAGAACGGTTGGTGAATGAGGCCCATTGTACTTAGAAACTACACTGAACAAAAATATAAACGCAACATGTAAAGTGCTGCAATTTTTTTGGTTTACATCCCTGTTAGTGAGCATTTTATCCTTTGTCAAGATTCAGTTATGACAGAATTCGTACTCGAGCAATGAAGAGCTCTGCAGCAGTGTCCTCAAACTCCTTGGCGTCCATGTTACCCCCAGCTGGCTCCGCTCCAGCTATAGCCTGGTCCAATTTAACAGGTTATATTTTACTGCTCGCCTCCAGCTAGCGGCTACCCTTTGCGTTAGCCTCCATGTAGGGATTGGCCTTAAGTGTTAGTGTAGCGGTTTGCATCAGAGGAGCCGCCGTCGGATTGGGAGGTCTCCAGGGCTTCGTGGAGGGTGCCCAGCACCGCCAGATGCAGTGCCCGACCAGCAGGTCCCTCTGCATACAGTCTCTGTGCCCGCCATATGTAGTCAAAGAACACAGCACACCGTGCCTGAAGACGTTGTAGGGCACTGTCCCATGGAGCCGGTTTAGCAGGGGGGCTGAGGTGGAGATGGGGACACCCCCCTCGCTGCAGAGACACTGGAGAAGGGAATTGAGCAGAACAGAATATTACTTAGATTTCCATCTACAACAGAAATGGGTATTTTGCTCTGCTCCAAAACCCCTCAGACAAGACAACACACAAACACAGCACTTGAGAGGAGCAGGGTCAGCTGCAGTGCCTTGCTCAAGAGCACAACGGTAATTAATGGTTTCTGAAATCAGGGATCTTAAAAACCAGCAGTGTATATTATACAGTATGAATTATCAATTGTATACGCTACCTAGAGGGTGTGTGTGTAGAGGCGGCCCCTGAGCCCCCCACCTCCACCTCCACCTGGGCTGTTAGAGCTGCAGGGACCAGCATGGCCACTGGGTCTCCCTCCTCCATGCCGCTGGGGCCCTGTCTTGGTTAGCAGGTCATAGGCCACAAGCACGTTGTTGCTGAAGGCAGATCTGGATACAGACACACGTGTATGTAGACATGCACAGGCACACATGGAAGCACACAAACACGGACAAGAGCATTGTGTTATTTCATTGTGAGATAAAACGAGAACATAGGGCTGATGCATTTGCGACATGTATTACATAAGTTCCACATCCCTCATTGCACTAGTTCCATAGCAACTGTCCTGCCTTATCAAGAACTGAAACTAGACCTCTACCTTTTGCCTCCTTCTGTAGAAATATTAATATTAAGCAATAGCATGTTTGAGCATAACATAAACTTGCTGCGCTTCCCCTTGTCTCACTAACTTTCCATGCACAAAGTTCCTTTTCACCCTTCATTGACCACTAACATATACATTTCTTATACATGTAAAGTAATCAATACGTTCTAATATGATGACAGGAATAAGTGTATTTCAAGCCAGAATCCAACAGGTAGAAAAGTAGATGTTTCTCTGTCTCTCAACTTCATAATTGCATTGATGTCAGTGGAGTCATATTTGTAACTTGCCCTATGTTTTGACAGACACACTTCAGGATAGTCAGACAAGGCAGACGGGGCATCTCCAGAAGAACATTGAGGGGCTTTACCTCAGTGTGAAACAGAGAAAACACTACCTCTACCGTTTGACAGGTAAGGCCCAACAACAATATAACCTCAAACACATTATTAATCAAGCAGCAAAACTGATTTGTGAAAGAAAAATCATTAGTCGTACACATCAGACCATGTTTATGATCAAATGTAGGCATGACCTTTGTTTTTAATTGACCTAATGTAAAGCATTTCATTAAACTGAGAAATTACGTGACCATAAACAGCTGAGTACCTTGTGAGCCACAACTCTGCATGCCTTATATAATGTTATAACTGCATGACAACAAATGCTTTAGAAATGAGTTGATTGCTTTGTACTCTCTTTGTTTGTGCCTCTATAGTAGCTCTATAACTTATAGTCATATAATATATCTGAATTTACAGTCCGTCTAATCACCCCTTTTTATTCAGACGTCAACAAGAGGAGGCATCAGATTCAGAGAAAAATAGTTGAGGACAAGGCAGCCTTGACAGCTGCCATTGTTCAACTTCACGAGCAGCAGGCAGAGTTTAGGCTCCCACAGTGGATGAGCTGTGGCCATGGGAGAGACTTGGCACCAGTAAGTATATGATTGCAGAATGTATCTATTGTGAGGCCTTCTCTGCCTCCTGAAGAGAAGATTGAGTGAACTGACACAAGACAACACCAGGAACACCTACCACAAGCTGATTCTGGGAGAAGGGGATATTTTTGATGACTCTGATGTAGATGAAAACTCAGATGAAGATAGAAGTCCTATTGCTGAGAGCTCAGATGACGACTGCTATGCTTTCTGAAATCATACACCACCCCTGCCTCTTTCTCTAAGTCTCGCTCTCTCCCGCAGGAGAGGGAGAAGGCCGCCACCAACTCCCTCGGGAGCAGCCTGGTCTCCCGACGTTGACCCCTGACCCCTCACTTTCTGAACCCAACCAGGGAAATTGAATTTGCCTGATTATGCTCTAGTGGAAACATTCGTTGCCATGTTTCCTCTCCTCTCCTTGGGTTCTTCCGGTCCTAGACTATGGCGACATCATCAGCAACTCAGAATGTTGGTTGAGGACCTCTTTACTTAGGAATGTGGTTGTTCTTCATGATTTTTGTGTAATTGTGAGTTGCAAAAGAGTCCTTGGTCTCAATGGGACTGCTAAAATAGTAGTATTGCAACATTGTAACTACAATATCAAAGCGGTGACCCGATCCTGCAGGTTCATGCTCTACAACATTCACAGAGTACGACCCTACCTTACACAGAAAGCGGCACAGGTCCTAATCCAGGCACTTATCTCCCGTCTGGATTACTGCAACTCGCTGTTGGCTGGGCTCCCTGCCTGTGCCATTAAACCCCTACAACTTATCCAGAACGCTGCAGCCCGTCTGGTGTTCAACCTTCCCAAGTTCTCTCATGTCACCCCGCTCCTCCGCACACTCCACTGGCTTCCAGTTGAGGCTCGCATCTACTACAAGACCATGGTGCTTGCCTACGGAGCTGTGAGGGGAACGGCACCTCCTTACCTTCAGGCTCTGATCAGACCCTACACCCAAATGAGGGCACTAAGTTCATCCACCTCTGGCCTGCTAGCTCCCCTACCACTACGGAAGCACAGTTCCCGCTCAGCTCAGTCAAAGCTATTCGCTGCTCTGGCACCCCAATGGTGGAATAAGCTCCCCCACGACAGCGGAGTCACTGACCACCTTCCGGAGACACTTGAAACCCTATCTCTTTAAGGAATACCTGGAATAGTATAAAGTAATCCTTCTACCCTTCAAAAATGATGGGAATATTGCATTTTGAAAAGCAAATACGTAGATTGAATATGTAGGCAAATTCCGACATCAGTGGACCTGCGTAGGGGTGTCATGAAGAATTAAGGCGTTTTGAAGGGGCTGATACAGTGTTGCACAATTTAGGCTGCGCAGGGCTCCTGTTACCATTTGTAACAGGGAACAAGTTATTATAGCTTATTATATTGCTGACTGACCTTAAAATAGGCTATGGAATATAGGGCTATATGCGATAATAAGCGCATCTTCATAGAGGAGTTTATTATAGGCCTATAATAGGGTAGGTGTAGCTATAGATGAAAATACATATAGGCCTATGTGTATATTATCATAGCTTATATACTGTATATATAGCCTACCATGCTATTATGTTTATTACCTTACGTGCATTCTTTCTGTAGGCTACCACTGCATCATATTGACATTTTTTGCGACAGGTGCATCTATCTGCTTGGGTTCTGTGGGCTACTTAACAGAGGAATGTATTTTCTGAACGTGAAAGCCAAATCATGGCACTGCTGATCTATTTGGATAGGCGGTGAGAATTCAGCGCATAATTGCCTTGCTTATCAGAAATATGCTGTGCCGAAGACCATGGAAATAGAGGTGCGGTTATGGCCATTATGCGAATAATGGGTACAGGGGTTGGTTGAATGGCCATATAAAGGGTGTAGAATGTTTAAATAGTATACTTCCAAGGTTCTCAAGGCTCCAATATCAATATAAAACAGTTTTTATAAACATTTACATACATACACTTGTTTTCTGACAGCTCTATACACCCCTAGAAAACCTTCTATTTTAACAAGCCATGTCTGGTCACGGAATCCAAAAATATATATTTTTAGTTTTTTGTAGCTCAGACTTATGGCTTGGCACAAAATATATTTGGGATGAATCAGGCATATTTGTGCAATCCCATACCCCTGGTAGCCATGGGGTGGTCAGGGAGGTGACCAAGAACCCAATGGTCACTCTGACAGAGCTCCAGAGTTCCTCTGTGGAGATGGGAGAAACTTCCAGAAGGACAACCATCTCTGCAGCACTCCACCAAATCAGGCCTTTATGGTAGAGTGGCCAGACGGAAGCCACTCCTCAGTAAAAGGCACGACAGCCTGCTTGGAGTTTGCCAAAAGGCACCTAAAGGACTCTCAGACCATAAGAAACAAGATTCTCTGGTCTGATGAAACCAAGATTGAACTCTTTTGCCTGAATGCCAAGCGTCACGTCTGTAGGAAACCTGGCACCATCCCTACGGTGAAGCGTGGTGGTGGCAGCATCATCATGCTGTGGGGATGTTTTTCCATCGGCAGGGACTTTGAGACTAGTCAGGATCGAGGCAAAGATGAACGGAGCAAAGTGCAGAGAGATCCTTGACGAAAACCTGCTCCAGAGCGCTCAGGACCTCAGACTGGGGCGAAGGTTCACCTTCCAACAAGACAATGACCATAAGCACACAGCCAAGACAATGCAGGAGTGGCTTCGGGACAAGTTTCTGAATGTCCTTGTGTGGCCCAGCCAGAGCCCGGACTTGAATTCGATCGAACATCTCTGGAGAGACCTGAAAATAGCTGTGCAGCGACGCTCCCCATCCAACCTGACAGAGCTTGAAAGGATCTGCAGAGAAGAATGGGAGAAACTCCCCAAATACAGGTGCGCCAAGCTTGTAGCGTCATACCCAAGAAGACTCGAGGTTATAATCACTGCCAAAGGTGCTTCAACAAAGTACTGAGTAAAGGGTCTGAATACTTATACTACCAGTCAAAAGTTTGGACACACCTACTCATTCAAGGGTATACAGAATATAGCCCTTTTTGGTAAAAGACCAAGTCCATATTATGGCAAGAACAGCTCAAATAAGCAAAGACAGTCCATCATTACTTTAAGACATGAAGGTCAGTCAATACGGACAATTTCAAGAACTTTGAATGTTTCTTCAAGTGCAGTCACTAAAACCATCAAACACTATGATGAAACTGGCTCTCATGAGGACTGCCACAGGAATGGAAGACCCAGAGTTACCTCTGCTGCAGAGGATAAGTTCATTAGAGTTACCAGCCTCAGAAATTGGTGTGTCCAAACTTTTGACTGGTACTGTATATATAGCGAGTATGTTATCGTGTGTGTATGCATGTGTCTGTGCCTGTGTTTGTGTCTCTTCACAGTCCCCGCTGTTCCATAAGGTGTATTTTTATCAGTTTAAAAAAAATCTAATTTTACTGCTTGCATCAGTTACATTATGTGGAATAGAGTTCCATGTAGTCATGGCTTTATGTAGTACTGTGCGCCTCCCATAGTCTGTTCTGGACTTGGGGACTGTGAAGAGACCTCTGGTGACATGTCTTGTGGGGTATGCATGTGTGTCCGAGCTGTGTGCCAGTAGTTCAAACAGACAGCTCGGTGCATTCAACATATCAATACCTCTCACAAATACAAGTAGTGAAGTCAATCTCTCCCCCACTTTGAGCCAGGAGAGATTAACATGCTAGCTCTATGTGTACATCCAAAGGTCTGTAGGACCTGCCTTGTGATTTACAACCTGATAGCAATATTTTTTGGACTACCAAGAAATGTATTGGGGAATTATATGAATCATGCATTGAACTGCAGCCATCTATTATGCCAACAATGCCTTACTG